GGGGCAGCGGCAGCCCCAGAGTCGACCTCCGAAGCACCAAGCACACCACCCCCAGAGGCAGCACCAACACCAGCTCCAGACCCAGGCTCTCCAGAAACCGAAGGAACACCCTCACCCCCAGACGCAGCACCCCCAGACTCCGCACCAGCACCCCCAGACTCCGCACGACCAGTACCAGCCCCCGGAAGAGAAGAGTCCTCTGCAACCCGCGGCTCAGCTCCAACTCCAGCACCCCCAGAACCAGAGACCTGTACAGGGACAGTCGCAGGACCAACCTCCCGAGAGGGAGCACCTACAGGAGGCGGTGAGGAAGACTGTGGGGAGGGAGGCTGTACAGGGGGGGCTACCGAAGGGGGAGGGCTAGCCTGAGACACACCAGACGGGGCTGGACCAGGGGGGGGAGGCTGTACCGGGGGAGCAGGCGGGGGAGCGGCTGTCAGGAAGAGGGGGGGAGGAGGAACTGGGAGACCTCGACTGGGGTACCTGACGTAGTACGGGGTGGACTCCTCGAAACGGACGTCACGGGAGTCAAAGAACCGGTGAGAGGGAGGGTGGTAAAAGGTGAAGTCAGAGGAGTCCTCAGGGAAACCAAGGAAGACACAAGGAACGGCGCGAGGCGAGAGCTTGTCCGCGGAGGTGTCGCGGACAAGAGCCAAGCACCCCCAGACACGAAACCTCGACGCGACACCAGGGGACCCTGTCCAAAGACTGGTCGGTGAAGCCTCCGGCCGAGAGACGCGTGGCCAGAGGTTCAGCTGGTGCGCGGCGTACCTGACTGCGTATGGCCACAGGAAATGGGGGGCACGGGCGTGAGTCAAGGAGGTGCGGGCAATCTCCATGACCAGGCCTATGCGACGCTCAGCAACCCCATTCTGCTGTGGGGACTCCGGAAGCGTCCAGGACTGACGAATGCCCTGTTCGCGACAGAATCCAGCGAGAATGCCGGAGCGAAACTCGCCCCCGCGGTCGGAGTGGAGACAGCTGACACGACGACCACGAGTGTCCTGGGTGGTAAGCAACCACCTGATCAGCGTAGAAGTCACCTCAGACTTCCTCGCCAGGGGGAACACGGTGGTGTAGCGGGAGTAGTCGTCAACGACCACCAAAAAGAAACGCTCACGCTCAGGGCCAGGGCGAGGAGAGGGGCCCCAGACGTCCAAGTGCAGCGTCTCAAAAGGCTCGGTGGCCGGACGAAGGGAGGAGGAGTGAGGGGTGGCACGCAGCCTACCCTCGACGCAAGGACCGCACGGTGGTGCAAGGGACGGCGGCAGCGACGGCAAGACACGCGGGAGACCTAAGACCAGACGCTGACTAGACATAGCACGCAGACGTGGAAGAGAAGGGTGTCCCATCCGGTGGTGCCACAGAACGGTGGGGTGGGCAAGCGACCGACAGGAGCAAGACGCAGCGACTGGACTGGACGCGACAACCTGAGGGGACGGAACCACCTGGTGAGACGCAGGGAGGAGACTAGGGGGAGGGACAGGAACTGGGAGGAGTGGCTGCTGCGACGGCGGCCGCTGTGGCTGCGGCTGCGGCTGCTGCCGCTGCTGCTGCTGCGGCTGCTGCTGCTGCTGCTGCTGCGGCTGCTGCTGCTGCTGCAGTCGCTGCTGAGCGCGCGGGCCAGTGTGAAGAGTGTAGAGACCGGAGCCCGGCTCAGCAGCAAAAGTGGCGAGGGGCTGGTAAGAGTCCCCGTCAACACACACCGCAGTCTCTCCAGAAGGCTCAAACCACACACCCACGTGCTGACTCACGAGGGGTCGCACGCCCACCAAGTTCCGGGAGAACGAGGGGACGTGAAACCCAGTGAGAGACCCAGAAGGAGCAGCCGGACACGGCAAGGTGGTAGTGTGACGCGCGGTGACTGGTCCCGAAGTGGGATCAGCCAGCGCCACAGAAACAGGCGCAGGAAGAGGCGTAAGTGTCGTGCTGTCACGAAAGAAGCAGTGAGAGGCTCCAGAGTCCAGCGTGAACGACAGCGAACCGTCCTCTGAGGTAGCCGCTGGACTAGAGTCTACACAAGAACCTACACTAGCAACAGGCAACTGAGCAAGGCTAGCACCTAAGCTAACAACACCAGAGTAAACAGAGTCAGAAACACTAGAGTCAACAACAGCATACATAGCATGGGGAGTACCAATCAGATCAACTAACTGCTCAGCAGACATGCCCCACAGAGCGGAGCCGTAGCGCTGAACAAGAGGCAGCCAGTCAGGGGCAGGAGCACCAACCCCGTAGACCAAACGAACCGTGTCAGTGAGCTGAGCAAAGCACTGACCAGGGGGGTGAAACCGGCCACAAGGGTGGCCACGACGAGGGCCTGTCAGAACCTGGTAGGTGCAGGGAGTGTAAGCAGCACCACGCTGGGTCTGACGCAGCCCCGACCCTGGAGCCAGCTGCTGCCGCTGCTGCTGCTGAGGCTGCTGGGAGGAGAGGGGCTGCTGGTGCTGCAGAAGCTGCTGCTGACGCTGAGCCTGGTACCACGCCGCTGCTCCACCAACCGGGGCAGGAAGTACAGGAGGCGACTGACGAACTCGGGCGTCGCCACCACTAGCAGGCGCAGTGGAGTCACCAGTCACTGCACGAGGCGCCTCTCCAGGCCCTGAACCTCCACCGCCGCCAGGCGCAACGCCACCTCCACTACCTCCGCCTCCACCTCCACTACCACCACCAGAACCGCCTTTCTTGCCACTCCTACCGCGGGACCGCGACGCAGTCGTAACAGCAGCTGCAGTCGCGTCAGTAGCGGCAGTGGCAAGTGAGGCAGTAAAGGTGGGTAACTGCGGGACTGTGCACCCGTGGAAGAGTGGGGGGGGCACAGCACCAGAGGCAGCGGCTACCGAGCGAAGGTTGCTCTCGACGTCCTTGAGTGCAGACTCAAGGACCTCGACGGTGAGCTCACTAGGGTGCTTCAGCAGAAGCGCGTCGCGAACGGAGGCAAGGCGGTCAGGGAGGCTAGTGGCGATAAAATAGATAGTAATCGCCATAGGGGGAGGAAGCAGTGCAAGCTGTGCCTCAGTGCAAGCAGCGCGGTAACTAGCGTCGAGCGAGCGGAGGTGAGCGATCAAGTCAGCAGAGCGCTCAAACGAGGCGAGATCAGGAAACAGGAACGGGAGGAAAAGACGGCCAAGAGAGACAGTAGCGGGAGTAGAGTAGCGGGCCTTAATCGCAGTGAGGTACGCAGCAGCGGTGCGAACCTGAGTGAAGTGGACCTCCTCTGACTCAGGGAGGAGGCTGCTGAGTGCGATGCAGGCCGCAGCGTCACGCGACGTCCAAGCCGTCCTGTCAGCGCGCTGACGGGCAAAGCGAGCCGTAGCAGCATCGTCAGGGGCAGGACCTAAAGCGGCAGGCTCGGGGGGCTCGGGGAGGTCACCAGTAGCGTGCGACCAGAGGGTCTCGCCCCCCTGGACTTGACTCTCTAACAGACGGCGAGCGCGAAGAAGCCAGACGGAAAAGTCAAGAGGTCTACCGTCAGCGTCGAAACGAAGAACTCGCGGAGTCGCCATAGCGAGAACTAACGCGAACGAGCAGGCGAGTAACAGCAGGAGGTAAGAGGCAAATTAGGGTTCAGGTGGGGGGGGGGGACTTAGTCGCAGCGGAAGAACGGGCTAGGGCGACGGGCCAGGGCGTAGGGTCGACGGGACGGGGGAAAGGGCGGGCGCGATGCGACGGGGCAGGGCGACGCGACGGGGCAGGGCGACGCGACGGAGCAGAGGCGACGGGACGGGGAAGGGCGACGCGACGGGGCAGGGCGACGCGACGGGGCAGGGCGACGGGACGGGGAAGGGCGACGCGACGGGGCAGGGCGACGCGACGGGGCAGGGCGACGGGACGGGGCAGGGCGACGTGACGGGGGGAAAGGGCGCGACGCGACGGGGGGAAAGGGCGCGACGCGACGGGGGGAAAGGGCGCGACGCGACGGGGGGAAAGAGCGCGACGCGACGGGGGGAAAAGGGCGCGACTCGACTGGGGGGAAAGGGCGCGACGCGACGGGGGGAAAGGGACGCGACGAGGGGGAAAGGGCGGGCAGGACGCGACGCTAGGAGTGGCGCTAGGCGCGGCACTACGCGCGGTAACAACGGAACCGGGACGAATGAGAGCTAGGATCAGGCTCGGGAGGCTCGAACGGAGAACGGAGGAACGGGATCCCACAGGATCCTAACCTAACTGATACCATGTTAAAATGAAGAATGGATGATGCATTGATGTTGGTTGGGGTACATATAGCTAACCCTAAGTTTTGTACCCCCTAAGACAAACCTCACTATAGGCTACAACATTTGACAGCTATGACCCTTCGTATTCCATTGTATTCCTATATAAACCCTTGTACCGCATTGTGTTAATCACTTCTGTCAAGATTCAAATCTCCCTCTACTGACAGAGTCCGTACCCGACAGTGTTCAAACCTTCCGCTGCTACACTCCGTGCGATCAACCTGAGACGATCCTATAAGACGGTTCAGATTGTATCAGTTTTGTTCCTTTACATCCTTTCCTCACCACCCTCTCTCCATGTCCTCACTCCACCATCCCCCCCCCCCCCCCCCTCCCTCCTCCCCTCCCGGGCGCCCTTTTTTCCCACCCTCCTACAAACAGCACGCACCACATTTGATAACGCTGATAATGAGAATAATTTTGCATTTTTTATTCTATTTCCTTCAATCCAGTTTTGCAGGATCTTGAACATTTGGGAAAACTTGTGTGTGTGTACTGCCAGAAAAGCTAAAAATGGACAATTTATGCGCATTTCATCAGTGACAGCCAGAACAATACAAACTCAATGAAACTCAAGGTGTTATTTGATGCTTGTGCATTTCCATAAGGATATATTACTCGCTTCAGCCATACACCAGCACTAAACTACTTTGTCCCACAATACGGAACTAAACCAGGCACTAGACAACCACACACTAGCTTTGCGCATGAAAGAGCTATTACCCACGGCTTGTCATGTCTCTACTTAGCTACGAGGTGAATATACCGCTTCCTGCGAACCAGTTAGTTTCCACCGCCGACCATGCCGGACCAGAATCCCGACCAAAACCCATTCCAAACTTGTCTGCGAGCAGCCTTCCTGTCCTCCTTCCTCGCCTCATCATCGTCGAAGTAGTCACTCCCTCCAGACGAGCCAGAGTTACTAGGAGCCGTCTTGCAGTTGAAATCAAGTGTGAGATCGCCACTGCATTTGGGGACAACCCAAACGGAGGCCATTTGGTGAGCTAAACGTCAACAAGGAAAGCCAACCAGGGAAAACTGTTTGCGACACAATCATAAAGGGTCTTACAAGTTGCTGCCGTGGTAGCTAAGGACCTGGGACCCTCCAACAGAATGGGCCCAGATAAGACGATTCGATCCAGTAAAGTCGAGAGGGACGTTGCCCACGCCACCAGTGAGCGTGAACCTGCATCGCAAAGGGCCACGGAGAATTGATCAATACAGCCTGCGCCTCTCAGGTTAGACTACGGTCTCAAGCGCGCTTGATTTCAACTGCTTACTTGACCACGAGCGATCCTTTCTGAGATTTGCTGACGCTTGTGATTCCAACGGAGAAGGCGCTCGTCTGCTGCACCATCCAGCGACGGTAACCCGTCAGGTAGAACGCGCGCACGGCGCCGTTGGCAAGGTTGCCGATAACAGCGTCAGCGGGAACCATGCTGCCGGAGCGCGACCACCCGAGCGACATCCACCCACCAGCCACATCGCTCCCTGCTGCGGCCTCCAATGCGACGTTAACCTGGTTGGCCACGGGGGGGCTCCAATGCAGGCGGAAGCTGGCGGGGAACAACAGGGGGGATGAGAGGGGGGAGAGTGGGTTGTCAGGAAGTGAACGTATGCAAGGAAAGGGGAGATGGCAGGGGAGGGTTACCTAGTAGATGCCACGTGGTACCTAGAACTGCTGTGGTGATTACCTGTCGCCTTCGAGAGGGAGAGAGTAGGCATAGCCCGCGAGGGAGGAGGCGGGGCAGAGCGTGTTGCCGCCAGGGACGGGGGTTTGCGGCGATCCTGGCACGGCTGGGTCAATGGGGCCGGTGACATAGTCAGTGCCCACGCACGAGAAGTCAACGACCAGCGAGCCCCTGCACGCACCACCAGAGACGAGACTATCAGCTATCAATCAGATGATTGCACTCGAGTTCAGTGTGGTGGGAAGTGGGTATGAAGAGGCGTACTGTTTCTGGAAGTGATAGCCGATGGTCTTGTTGCCGAACAAGTCGTGCGCCCAGATGAGCGTGTTCAGCCCGCTGAAGTTGATAGGGACCGTTCCGTCGCCCGCGAAGCGGCTAAACCTGTACACCAGACGAAAAGCCGGAGAGATCGTTTACGAGTGCTGTAGTGCATTGCGCATTGGCCGAATGCAATCAGCTGATGTTCAGGAGACCAAATACAACCTTACAACAACTGTTCTGCTTTCTAGTTTTTTTCTTCTTTGTTCATTTTTTTCTTTTTCTTCGCCAACTCACTTGATGACCGTGCGCCCGTTGGCCATAACCACGCTGGCATTGGCGCCGATGTTGAAGGTATCCGTGCGCACCACGTCCTGCGGCCCGTAGCCCAGGATGTTGTACGCCGCAATCGGCACGTCGTCCGTGTTCGCGATAACCGCATCGGCCGGCGCCATGGCGCCGCTGTTGCTGAACCCCAGCCCGAACCAGCCCTTGGCGGCGCCGCTGCCCACCTTCGCGACGATCGCGATGTTCACTTGCGAGCCGTTGATCACAGCCCAATGCAGGGAGATCCTGATCGTAGGGAGGTAGGAGGGACACGGGAAGGGAAAGAGATGGGAAGTGGGCCAAGTGAGCGGGGCGTGTTCCTGGGTTGTCGCGAAAAACTGGGGAATGGGGACGGCGGAGAAGAAAACCACATTGGGGGTAGGGTTGCTGGGGTTGCTTGGTTGCTGGGTTCGTAAGTGGGTAGGCAAGCGATCAGTACCCCTCGCGATGCGTACCAGCTAGGCTTGATGAACACTCGCGACGTGTAACCCCTCAGCGGCGAGGCGGTGCAAGCAGGCGAGGGAGACGAAGCCGGAGCTTCCGCCATCGCTTGATCCCCACCAGGCGCCACACCGCCCGGCAGATCGCCGTCCACCTGCAGGCTGCCCGTGCCCGGGCGGCCCAGCGACACCTGCTGGTTACCGGTGTTACTGTTCTTGGGTTGCTGTCCGATAGCGTTGCCGGTTGGCGCTCCGCTGCCGTCGTTGTAGTTACCCAGAGGGTCCTGGGGATTGCGCGGCTGGACGTTGGCGGTGGCGGAGAGGAAATGTAGCGTGACTATGAGAGGGAGTAAGAGCAGTGGGGTGAGAGTCCTGGCCATGATGGTTGAACTAACGGGAGGTGATGGCTGGTGTTTGTGAGAGGCGTAGGTTGACAAACGATGAAGCTCGAGTAGTCGGAAATGTGTGAAATGGTTTGATGGAACTTAGACCAACTCAGCCAATTATATTTCGAGAGTGGGACTTTGCTGAGATGGATAACGATGTCGGTTATCACAACTCCTATTGGTTGAAAGGAGAACCGCGCTTCGTGCGTGTGTTCAAACGGAGTCCTTTTGGGAGTCCCGGACCGGGACCTAACGCTGGTTACTGTCGGTTCCAGTGCAAGGCGGGGCGAGGCGACGGCTGTGAGTGATCGCGTCGCGAAACACTCAGAACAGAAGGTGCGCTTTGGCGCGTTAATGAGTTGCGGCTATGTTCATGGAGCCACCAACCAACCACCACCAGTGGTCCTTGCCAGCAAGGCTCCGGTTCCCTAGCCCCTCCAGCCATGGGGTTGCTGCCCCGCACGTATGGGAGATACTCACAAAGCGGCTCGTTTGGTTCCATCTCTTTATTGCGCGAAGACTGTTGTCTCCCCTTATCAATCACAACACACCACAGCCACGCTGTGGTGCGACGGGATGTTGTGATGTGCGAGTTTGCCTCAGGTGGAGTTGCATGGGGATCGCAGGAGAGGGTACACGGGAATTTGTGTGCGGTTTTGATGGGTTTAGGTGTGTCTAAATAGGTGGTGCTGGTGTGTGGGTGGGTTGTCTATGTTGGCCAACAAATGTCTCCATGCCAATAGGCGCTGTGTACACACAACGGGAAAGGGCGCTGCCCGATAAGTGACCACCGAGCGGGCGACGCGTGAGTTTGAAGCATCTCTGGCCTTGACGAGTGTAGGTGTCAAGCCGCGATCGGGGGGCTCACACATTAGCACGCAGGATTCAAACGGGGGCTGAGGAATACGTAAAAGTGATATTTGTATACACCAGAAGCGTCTACGACGAACTGTACCCACTTCCATATTAGCATCTTTGAAGAGTTTCATCTAGGCCACCACGGCTCTCTGTTTTGGTCTTATGGTATAATTTTCTTAGCTCTTTTTCTGTTTCGATCTCACTTTGTAAGAACATGGTATTGATTTCGTCTAATCGATAACAGAAGACTCTCCTTTGTCTAATTATTAAAACGAGACTGCAAAATTGTGACCCCCGGCTCGCATGGGTCACTCACGGGAATGGGGGGAAACTTACTGTTAGGTCTGACATATCTGACGGGAGAAACAAGCTTGTTTAGCAACATGATTGGCCAGCGATTGAGGAAGTCAGAGCAGAGGTTTGCAATTGGTTGCGGCAACTGACAAACGTCGCTCGCAAACCGGCTATGCAGTCACTCACGGAACGCTGGAAACCAATCTACGTGTGAACAGGGTCACAATCCCGGGCACGAGCGTCAATGGACTGCGCGGTCTTTCAAGTTGGGTCCACTCGAATTTCAAGCTGGACTTGGGTTACACGACCCTTTCCGGGCCCGCTAGTTCCCATCGTTAGCTGAGAGAACAAAGAAGCTCCGTGGCCGGCTTTAGCGTGAACGTAGCCCCAGGTCCGAGCCTGGATAGATTCTGCCTATTCCAGACACACTTTAGACATTCCGTAGGACACTTTGTAGTTCGACCTTGAGTGCACATCACCTCTATTGAGAAACCCTGCAGGGCGTATATCCGCGTTTCTCACCTGTCTCGTCCCCTTCGATCCCCACTCCTCTCGCGTTTCGCAATCGCGACGATCGCCGCCGTTGTGGGCGTCCCGCGCTGCGTGTCTCGGTGCGATCGCCCTGGCCGTAACGCTTCATGCGCGAAACGTACGCTCTTGAATACAAGCGCTTAGAAACCAGTCAGGGAGATCGCCAAACACGCCTGCCCACGCACCTCGGAGTCTCGCAAGTCGTCGCGCTTCCCTCCGACCCTCGCGCACCGAAATCGAAACCGCCGACTAAGCAGGTAGCGATCCCGCGGAACGCAGGTAACCGCGAAACACGCCATGGTGATGACTAGGGTTCAGACGGCCTGCACGCCCATGAGTTTCAGGCCGTATCGTTCTTAGTGAAACCGCGAGGTAGCGTACTGAGGGTGTGGACGATGTCGCACATTCCTCCTTCCCCCATGGCCTGCTGCCCCATTCCGTGATCCCCCATTCCCCGCTCCCCCAGCAGCGGGCGCCTCAAGGTACGCGCCCTCACCGCTTTAGACATGTCTCACGGGCAGCACAGACGCGACATGCTGTCCGCGAGACGTCAGACGGTCAGCAGATGCGCGAAATGCAGCCCGTCATTTTCTGACGGATGTATAGGCGCGAAATTCGTAATGCGTCTGTCTGACAGGCGGCATTCGCGCGCTATGTGAAAAACGGCCGACAGACGTCACTGTCGGACGACCAGGATACGCGAGCCCTGCCCAATGCGGCTGTCCGACAGTGACGAGCACCCAACCGCGCGAAATGAGTGACATCCCTGCCTGACGGGCAGCAGGCGCACGGAATGATGCCCGCCACTGTCTGACGGGCAGCACGCGCGGCCCATTCCCGGTTCCCCCCTTCCCCGTTCGAACATTCCCTGCTCCCCCATTCCCTGCTCCCCCATTCCCTGCTCCCCCATTCCCTGAGATTCATTCCCTGCTCCCCCATACCCTGCTCCCCAATTCACTTTCCCCCATGTGTTGCTCCCCCAATCCCCGTCCCCCCGTTCCCCGTTCCCTCATTCCCTGCTCCCCCATTCCCTGCTCCCCCAGTCCCTGCTCCCTATTCCCAATGTGCATTCCCTAAGACAGAATTCCCCGCTCCGCCATTCCCTCACCCCCATTCCCCGCTCCCCCATCCCATGTTTCCCCATTCCCCACTCCCCCATTCCCTATTCCCCCATTCCCCGCTCCCAAGTTTCCTGTCCCCCGATGCCCTTACCACAACAATTCCTTGTCCCCCCATGCCCTATTCCCCCATTCCCTGTTCCCCAATTCCCCGCTCCCCCATTCCCTGTTCCCACATTCCCCGCTCCCCCCCGTTCCCTGTCCCCCGATTCCCAGTCCCCCTAGTCCCCGTCCCCCATTCCCCGTTCCAGCATTCCCTGCTCCCACATTCCCTGATCCCCCATCCCCTGCTCCCCCATTCCCTGTCCCCAAGGCTTCCCTGCTCCGCCATGCCCTGTCCCCGAGCTCCCTGCTCCCCCCTTTCCCTACCCGCTGGTTCCCCCTTTGCCATCTCTCTGAAACATCAATCCCATCCCTCCCATTGCCAATAACCAATTTACCCCATCAGCATCAAGGAAAGCGGAGGGGGTAGACAGAAACGTGGTGCCTTGGTCGTCTTAGCCATTGTTTACCCCGCTGCCACTCATTCTACTCCCCCTGCTTACCCGTTGTTTCCCCCCCTCTCTTTCTTTCTTCTCCCCTGCATACCCATTGACTGTATTCCTTCTTCTCCCCCCTGCTTCCCCTCCTTCTCCCCCCTGCTTCCCCTCCTTCTCCCCCCTGCTTCCCCTCCTTCCCCCCCCTGCTTCCCCTCCTTCTCCCCCCTGCTTCCCCTCCTTCTCCCCCTGCTTCCCCTCCTTCTCCCCCCTGCTTCCCCTCCTTCTCCCCCCTGCTTCCCCTCCTTCTCCCCCCTGCTTCCCCTCCTTCTCCCCCCTGCTTCCCCTCCTTCTCCCCCCTGCTACCCCTCCTTCCCCCCCCTGCTTCCCCTCCTTCTCCCCCCTGCTTCCCCTCCTTCTCCCCCCTGCTTCCCCTCCTTCTCCCCCCTGCTTCCCCTCCTTCTCCCCCCTGCTTCCCCTCCTTCTCCCCCCTGCTTCCCCTCCTCCCCCCTGCTTCCCCTCCTTCTCCCCCCTGCTTCCCCTCCTTCTCCCCCCTGCTTCCCCTCCTTCTCCCCCCTGCTTCCCCTCCTTCTCCCCCTTGCTTCCCCTCCTTCTCCCCCCTGCTTCCCCTCCTTCTCCCCCCTGCTTCCCCTCCTTCTCCCCCCTGCTTCCCCTCCTTCTCCCCCCTGCTTCCCCTCCTTCTCCCCCCTGCTTCCCCTCCTTCTCCCCCCTGCTTCCCCTCCTTCTCCCCCCTGCTTCCCCTCCTCCCCCCTGCTTCCCCTCCTTCTCCCCCCTGCTTCCCCTCCTTCTCCCCCCTGCTTCCCCTCCTTCTCCCCCCTGCTTCCCCTCCTTCTCCCCCCTGCTTCCCCTCCTTCTCCCCCCTGCTTCCCCTCCTTCTCCCCCCTGCTTCCCCTCCTTCTCCCCCCTGCTTCCCCTCCTTCTCCCCCCTGCTTCCCCTCCTTCTCCCCCCTGCTTCCCCTCCTTCTCCCCCCTGCTTCCCCTCCTTCTCCCCCCTGCTTCCCCTCCTTCTCCCCCCTGCTTCCCCTCCTTCTCCCCCCTGCTTCCCCTCCTTCTCCCCCCTGCTTCCCCTCCTTCTCCCCCCTGCTTCCCCTCCTTCTCCCCCCTGCTTCCCCTCCTTCTCCCCCCTGCTTCCCCTCCTTCTCCCCCCTGCTTCCCCTCCTTCTCCCCCCTGCTTCCCCTCCTTCTCCCCCCTGCTTCCCCTCCTTCTCCCCCCTGCTTCCCCTCACGACAGGGTGGAAGATAGCAATCAGCGGCTCGCGTCGACGTGTGTATGAGCAGCGACACAGATCGGCGGCGAGAGGAGGAATTCAGCTGCTAAGGCGCGGTTGTGCGAAGGGGTTCAAACGTCCCCCCACACAACCTGCTTTGGTATGTGAGAGGGGTCTTGTCGGGGGCCTGTTCCATATGCTCTACAGCCCCTCGCACTCACCGCTGCGGCCACACCACTCCCCTCCCCTCTGACCGCGTCTCCCTTCCCACCTTGCCGCGTCTCAATCTTCCCCTATTCTCTGCGTTACATACCCTTTGCACCTTTCTCCCTTGCTTCATACCTCCCCCTTCCCCAGGTATACTGCCTTTTACCCGTCTCCTGCCCTTCCCTTCTCCACCTTTCAACCGTCTTCACCCCTTCCTCTCCCTGCCATTACAGCCTACATTCAAACTCTCATCGATCTGCCTTGCGCCCTCATTCCCCCCGTTCCCTCTCTTCCCTATCCCCTTTCCCCCTTACACCACTCTTCCGTGTTCTTTTGTCCCCCTCTCCCTCACTTCCCCTCCCCGCCATCCTTATTCCCCAACTCTTATATCTGCTTAGCACCCCGTCTTCCCCTTCTTCCCTTAGCCCCCTCCCAAATATCCCCCCATCTACCTCATTCCACTCTGCTACACCCCTTTCGGTCCCTTACTCCCCTCGGCTATACCCCACGCTCCTCAATGCTAACCTCACTTATACCCCGTTTGTGTCCCCAAGTCCCCATGGGTATACCCCTTTCTCTCCCTTGCTCCGCCTGGCTATCCCCCTCTCTCACACTTACTACCCTCTGATACCCACCTCTAGCAATCGTACTCCCCCCGGCTATACCCATCTACCCCCCATCCTCCCCACGGGACTATCTAGGTCTGTCCCTTCCTCCCCTCTGCTATTCCCCCGACTCTCCTTGACCCCGCCCCCATGACGCGCCCTCTGTACGCAACACCCTTTGCCCCTTTCGCCCGTCTTCGGTGCCACACACCCTATTCCCCCCTCTCTAGCTTACCCCCTGCTTCCCCCTATCCCCTCACCGTCAACCGCTCTTCCTCCCCGTTTCCCCTCTCTTCCCTACACTCTTCTTCCCCACCGTCCCCTCTCTGCCTTTCTCTCTGACTCCCCCATTCCCCTGCCTCCTTACACCCCACTTCCCCCACCATGCGTTCAGCCCCACACACCGTGCATCCCCCTTTTTCCTCACTTCCATACACCCTATGAAACCTATTTCCCTTCTCCGCCATTCGCCCATCCTCCCCCCATCGCCTCACTTCCAACTTCCAGCTCTCTGCCTTGCACTCTTTTTCCCCCTATCTCCACTCTGCCTTACCCCTATCTACCTCCTTACCATCCCCGGTGCCTTAGGCGCAGCTTCCCCCATTTCCCTCTCTTCCGAACACCCTTCTTCCCCTTTCCCCCTCTCGTCCTGACGCCCTTCTTCTCCCTTCCCCCTCTCTCCTTACACTTTCTTATTGCACCATGAGTTCTCTGCCTAACGCCCTGCTTCCCGCTGCTACCCCCTTCATCTTCTTCTACCGACACTGCATTACCCCCTCCATTCAAGTTTCCACCCACGGTGCCATACACCCTCCTTCCTCCTTTTCCCTCTCGTCCCTACACCCTTCTTCCCCCTCACCCCTCTCTGCCTTACACCCGTCAACCCCCTTTCCCCTCTCATCGTATTACGCCCTTCTTCCCCCGTTAGCCTCTGACCTACGTCCTCCTTCCCATATTACCCACTCAGCCATACCCCCTTCTTCTGCCTTTCCACCCTCTCTGCCTTACGCCCTTCATCCCCCTTTTCCCCTCTGTATACCACCCGTCTTCCCCCTTCCCCACTCTTCCCTACTCCTTGCTTCCGCCTCACCACTCTCTATGCCTTACTCTTATTCGCCCTTTCACCGCTCCACCTTACACCCTGCTTCATGCATAGTGCAGTCTCCACCTAACGTCCTAAGAAACACAGTTTCCATCACTACCCTACACCCCTATTCCCCCTTTCCACACCCTAACTACCCTTTTTCCCGTTTCTGCCCTTCCCCCTACTTCCCCCCGTGGCCTCGCTTCCATACTGCCGGGTTTCCCTCGTAACTTCACTCCATGCCATAATCCCTGCTTTCCCACTTCCCTCAATTGTCTACACCCTTCTTCCCCCTATCGCTCCATGTGCCCTCTCACGCAGCTACCTCCATGCTCCACCCCTTGCCCTCTCGTGCTACGATGTCGACTGTCCACTCGCGCCTAAATCACCTTCTCCATATTACCATTCTCTCTTTCAAACTCCATCTGCTCCCTCTCCTCTCTCTGTCCGATCTCCCCTCCCTGTTCTAATTCCCCTCGCCAACACAGCGCCCTACGCATCGGCTCCTCTGCACCTCTCTGCTCAAAGTCTCCAATCCGCGACACTCGCCGCCGCCGCGCCACTCCTGGGGGTGTAACATCAACACTCTCATAGACGAACCAGGTGCATCACACCAACACTCTCCGCGCCCCTCCCCTCCCTAGACCTTCTCTCGTCTCCAGATCCTCTCCGCTCCGACTTCCCTCACGCCCCACACTGCCTTACTCCCCCCTCCGCCTTCCTTTTCTCAACCCTCCACCGGTCACAAATGCTACTCCGGAACCTCTCCTCCCCCACTTTGGCTCCTAGCCCTCTATCCCTTCAAAGCCCTCTCTCCCCTCCTTGCCCTCCCTCGACCCCTTGCACTCCCCTCCGTCCCTTCCCTCCCTCCTCTCAACGATCTGTTACCCCTGTCCCACCCTCGTGTTGCACTATGTCCTGTCCCCGATCCCACGCTCTTTCATTTCCGTGCTCGTCGTGCCCCCTCGCCCCCCTGTTCCAACCCTGGGTTGTCAAGCCCGTATTCCCACGCATCACACATAAATGTGAGTTCTACCGTCTTATTATATGACCGCTGTCTGTCCGCGTCTGCACCCACTCCATGTATTAGCATGTCCTCATGTTGCAGCAACGTTGTCTCCCAACTGCCGCACATTGTCCGTGCCCCATTCTTTGTCCTGTTGCACTGCAAGATTTGGCACACAGAGCGCTCAGCCACCCTCTCCATGCTCGTCGCCCTTCCCCACCCTTTCAAACCAGTCTACCAATCCCTCCTGCCATCAGTGTGAGGGCAGGGTGCAAATGTCGCACCGACCAGGGACGGGCAGGGGCACAGCTAAGCGCGTCCGTACTAGGGAGCCTGTTAGGTAAGCCATTCCTATTTCCCATTACTACGCCTGCAGCACCTGCTCCCTTTGGAAACATCGCTGATTGCTAGTTATCTTGTTACCCCACGCTCATTCATCCTTGTCACTGTTTTGAGCAGGCCGCGATGTCGAGCTCTCATGCGTCGCCGGCCGGAAGGGGTACGCATGGCGTACCAGGATGATAGTGAGGAGACCGAGGAAGAGATGCAGCGGGAGAGTGCTCCTAATTCATTGGAAGTGGTTGAGTCTACGAGCAGTGTTTCGAGCAAACCAGCGCCGAGGATGACTCGACGGGTCCGGGAACGCTCCGGCCTGCCCCCAATCATTGTGAATCCTGCGTTCTGCTGGACGATCAATGAATTTGCTAGGCGTGTCCCAAAACAGTATGATGTCTTGCAGAAGTGGGCGGCCAGCTGGTTATCCTTCCCTTCTGAAGATACTGTAGGTCGTTTTGCAACCCAACGTACAGTGGAGAATGTGGTACGAGTTGCGTGTGGCGCAAACCTAGATGTGGGTGTGGACGACGTGGAGGTAGAGCCTAAGAACCACCGTTTCCGATGTTACGTGGGGTATTCAGATTTGTTGGGAGAGGACACCAGTGACCAGGTCGTGCTTCCGTGGCTGATATACGTTGTGATTGCCTCCCTGTACCCAGAGCCATCATCGGGGGGGTATTACACGGGATGTGGAAGGGACGACGTGTTGTGGTTCAACGACTACAGTCCGATGCCCAAAGTGATCGACTTTGAATGCGATGGTGTTGCGGGATTTATGCGTATTCATTCGATTGACAGCCAGTGAATGCACATGTGTATTAGACACACTTAGACTACAATCTTATTAGTTGAAAACTACTTGTCTTCTGAAACAACCTCCTGCCCACGCTTGCAGTGCTCAAACATCCAGCGAGATAAGTAAGCGCACATACAAGGCATAAAAGTGATAGCCAGTGCATGCACATGTGTGTTCGACACGCTTTGACTCTTTACTTGAGAACCACTTGTGGAATGGAAACAACCTCACAACACATGCTTCGAGTGCCCCAGACATGTGGTGAGGCGTTGGGCTCGTGGTGAGTAGTAGGGCCCGTGGTGAGTCGTTGGGCTTGTGGTGAGTCGTTGGGCTTGTGGTGAGTCGTAGGGCTTTTGGTGAGGCGTTGGGCTTGTGGTGAGTCGTTGGGCTCCTGGTGAGTCGTTGGGCTCGTGGTGAGTCGTTGGGCTCGTGGTGAGTCGTTGGGCGTGTGGTGAGTTGTAGGGCTTGTGGTGAGTCGTTGTGCTTGTGGTGAGTTGTAGGGCTTGTGGTGAGTCGTTGGGCTCGAGGTGAGTCGTTGGGCATGTGGTGAGTTGTATGGCTTTTGGTGAGTAGTAGGGCCCGTGGTGAGTTGTAGGGCTTGTGGTGAGTCGTTGGGCTTGTGGTGAGTTGTAGGGCTTGTGGTGAGTCGTTGGGCTCGTGGTGAGTTGTAGGGCCCGTGGTGAGTCGTTGGGCTCGTGGTGAGTCGTTGGGCTTGTGTCGTAGGGCTTTTGGTGAGGCGTTGGGGTTGTGGTGAGGGGTAGGGCCTGTGGTGAGTTGTAGGGTTTGTGGTGAGGCGTTGGGTTTGTGGTGTGTAGGGGGGCTTGTGGTGGGTCGTTGGCCTCGTGGTGAGTCGTTGGGCTGGTGGTGAGTCGTTGGGCTTGTGGTGAGTCGCAGGACTTCTGGTGAGGCCCCTGGCTTGTGGTGAGTCGTAGGGCTTATGGTGAGTTGTAGGGCCCGTGGTGAGTCGGAGGGCTCGTGGTGAGTCGTAGGGCTCATGGTGAGTCGTAGGGCTCGTGGTGAGTCGTTGGTCTTGTGGTGAGTCGTTGGGCTCGTGGTGAGTCGTCGGGCGTGTGGTGGGTCGTTGGCCTTGTGGTGTGTTGTTGGGCTTATGGTGAGTCGTTGGGCTTGTGGTGAGTTGTAGGGCTTGTGGTGAGTCGTTGGGCTCGTGGTGAGTTGTAGGGCCCGTGGTGAGTCGTTGGGCTCGTGGTGAGTCGTTGGGCGTGTGGTGAGTCGTAGGGCTTTTGGTGAGGCGTTGGGGTTGTGGTGAGTTGTAGGGCCTGTGGTGAGTTGTAGGGCTTGTGGTGAGGCGTTGGGTTTGTGGTGTGTAGGGGGCGTGTGGTGGGTCGTTGGCCTTGTGGTGAGTCGTTGGGCTTGTGGTGGGTCGTTGGCCTCGTGGTGAGTCGTTGGGCTTGTGGTGAGGCGTTGGGCTTGTGGTGAGTCGTAGGGCTTGTGGTGAGTTGTAGGGCCCGTGGTGAGTCGGAGGGCTCGTGGTGAGTTGTAGGGCTTGTGGTGAGTCGTTGGGCTCGTGGTGAGTCGTTGGGCTCGTGGTGAGTCGTTCGGCTCGTGGTGAGTCGTTGGGCATGTGGTGAGTCGTTGGTTGAAAGGCACTCAATCCCCACACACTGCACCCCACCTCAATCCCCCGTGCTCCCCACCTCAATCCCCCATTCTCCCCACCTCAATCCCCCATGCTCCACGCATCAGCCCCCCTTGCTCCCCACCTCAATCCCCACCCTACATCACTGTCGACACCTTACTCTTTCCCACAGCCACTTCAGACGCCCTTCTTCCCGATGTACCCCACCCCTAATAGTGTCGAATCGAGTATGGGCTCTTCAGTGTCCTGGCCCACTGCCACCCCTCCGTTTCGCACCCACTGCCAGTCATGGCCCAACGTGTGCGCTGAGGCACAGGTCAACCACCTGAAGTGCATCACCCTGAGTGGTGTTGGAGGTTGCCGGCATCTGACATCAAGTATCCAAAGCAGGTTACGATGCTTGAGCAATGGGCTGCGGAGTCGCTTGTGTTGAGGTCTGACAGTGAGGTGCAACAGGGAAGGGCGGCAGTTGAGAACATTAGCAGTGTGTGTCGTGGGTGCAATACCCCAAACAGAATGATGGGTCAACCGTTGTTGCCCAAAAATCATCGCTTCCGCTGCTATGTCACAAACTCCCACTTGCTTGGTGACCACCATTTTGCACAGTTTCGATTGCCCTGGCTGATATATGTCGTGATCAGCTCACTATATCCAGAAAGCGGTGATGGAGCATTGTAGTCCGGGAGACATTGATCACTTTATTGGTGCCGGATGTCATTGACTTAGGGATAGATAGTTGGAGTAGTTGAGCCAAGCTGTCCATGTGTATGGCGGCTATTTGTACTTGTATAAGATCTACATGTGTGTGTGTACCAGACCACTAGAGAGTATGTGAAGTTTGGCAAAAGCATTGCTACCTAATCAAAGAGTAGTGAATAGGTACGCAACACGGCTTGTGGTTGACACAGGGCTGTTTGACGAGCATGGACACAAGATGGTGGTGCCTGTTTTGTGGGAAGCCCAACAAACAACATTGGGGAGAAAACGGAAGGCGTGAATAAGGATGGCAGAAACTACACCAGCACAGGAGGCCACATGAGAAATCAAGATTGCAAGCAGCAATATCGATTTTACACCTACGAACCGAGGAGCGGTTTAGGAGGTAAACGGTCTCGAGCGGGGTATAGCAACTACCCAGGTTGGGGGCAACACTTGCACGAGAGCAGTGTGAGTGGAATAAATACTCTGATGCAAAGGGGGGAAAGGGTGAGAGGAATCTAGTGATTATCGTGGGCGGGTGGTATGCGTGCCATGTAGAAGTTATGGCAGGCTCTGGAGGGTGTGGGGGGGTTTGTCACTGTGTGGGGGTGTCTGGAGGCCTGAGTAGGCTGCAGGGATGCCGGAGTAAACACTGGAGGGTAGCTTGGAGGGTAGGCTGGAGGGCAGGCTGGAGGGTAGGTTGGAGGGTAGGCTTTACGGGCAGGCTGGAGGGTAGGTTGGAGGGTAGGCTGGTGGGTAGGCTGGTGGGTAGGTTGGTAGGTAGGTTGGAGTGTAGGATGGTGGGTAGGCTGATGGGTAGGGTGTGGATAGGCTGGTGGGTAGGTTGGAGGGTAGGTTGGTAGGTAGGCTGGTGGGCCCATTGGAGGGTAGGTTGGAGGGTAGGTTGGAGTGTTTGTTGGAGTGTATGTTGGAGTGTAGGCTGGTGGGTAGGTTGGAGTGTTGGCTGGAGGGTAGGTTGGTGGGTGTTTTGTGAGTGAAAACTTTGTGAGTATTTTGTGAGTGAAGTGGAGGCTAGTAGGCTATGAGCGAGACGACCCAATGAGCATATGAGGGAACTCAGCGAATCATATGTGTGTTGCAGGGTGGATTGTGTAAACAGTACCTCTTGGAAATCTAACTGTTTTGGTGGCTCCGTAGCTGTTTTTGGGGCGGCATGAATGGTCTGTGCACTGGTGGGTCACCCTCTCCTGCTCACAAGGGATCGGGATACATATAGAACGTGAATTTAGACACTTGAATCCCGTGCGGCCTTGTTGTTAAACAAGTTACACTAAAGAACGCACAACAATAAAAACACACAAAACTTTACCCATGAACAATTAAATGGGGTCAACGTGGCAGCGAGGATGCGCGGCGCCACTCGGCAAAAATGTCCTGCCTCCATTGCCAGTTCATCGGTCCAAGCACGCGATCTTTCTTCCCACAGCGCACACGAGTCGCACGGCGGATCCGGATGATATGTCTCAGGACCAAGCAGCTCCACGGTGTTGTTCCAATGTAGAATCGAAAGTGCAATCCGTGCTTCCATACTCCCCCGAAAATGTACCCTCTTCGGTGCATATTTGCAAATCACCGAATGAAACGACTCGTTCAGCCAGCTGGACGCCCCAAGCACGAACGGTTGCATCTTTTCTGCGGAACAGTGTTTCCGTAGCCAGCTCCTGAAGGCTAGATGTGTGGTTCCACCGTATTCATACACTGCACTCTCTGGACCCCACCCATCAGCGACGCACCGAGGCACAATGCCATGTCGAGCACAGCGAGAGTGATCACCGGCCCAATGCTCGGCTGATAGAGCAAGCTCAGCCTCGACGTCTTCCGCGGTCATAGTACGGCCTTCTTTGGCAAGAGTAGCACCGCGCACCATCACGTGATGAAAATGGATACTAAACCGCTGCGGAAAACTCACTTCCTCGACAACTGCCATATCATCCGATGGACCACCCCCCCCTTCAGCACTTGGCTGCAGACTCCGCTGGTTGCGCCGCGTTCTTTTGGCCTTGCGCACCCATCGCCGTTCCCCCTCCATGGCTGTCACGCCTGTCTGAATAGCACCTCCCATCGGATCATTACCACTAGGACCCCGACTCTCGCCCGCATTGTCCCACCAACCACGGTCTCTTACTTCTTGAATCTCTGCTTGCGTGGCCGCAACCTCCTCTGCTCACAATCCATGTGGAGTATTGGCAAACAAGTTGGATAGAACGGCGGACTCACATTCTAAAAGTTATACAGCATGAACGAACTCGCATTAATAAAGTTAAGGTGTTGTGATTTTCGAAATGGCTCTTCCTTCTTACGAAACAATAGCAGGGGTGGAAATACAAACTCTTACAAAGGTTTTTCACGCATTGGATCGAGCAGTTTACCTTGCTCCGTCATGTCTGCCCCGAAGTCGAATGATGCTCCCACTGTGTCCGATCGCCCTGCAACCTCCTGTGCCAGTAACAGCGATGCATACGACGACGGACGTATCCCGTGCACTGGGTGTGGATCCCAGGCGAACATCTCGGCCACATCCTGAAAAATTTTCCATTCTCCGTCAACGTCTGTATCTGTCTCATCCGCTGTTGCCCTTGGGGCATCCACAGTTGCCGTGGGGGCAGCTGTGGGGGCATCCACTGCTGCCGTGGGGGCATCCACTGCTGCCGTGGGGGCATCTGTAGGGGCATCCACTGCAGTTGCAGCAGTAGCTGCAACTGTGTGGTCTGATCCCGTGGCTGATCCGTCCATCCGCACCACCACACGTCGCAAATCTGGGTGCTTGTACGACGCCTCCCCCACATCACAAGTCTTGTACTCGATACCAGCTAGGTCGCCACATACCGCTCTGATGAGCGCGTCTCTAGTTGACGTAACACTCAGCTTCCCTTTCGTCCCAGTTTGGTCCAACCAACGGACCAACAACTTCTTCTTGATATGCCATAGATCCTCTATGGTCGTGGCATCCTCAACAATCATTGCGTCATCTTTACGACTATCCACTAACTCCCTGAATAATGATTTCACTAGGGTCCTCGCCATATGCCACACGTCTTGCTGATGCTCCAAACCCATTTCTGCACATACCGTTTTAAAACTGGTTCCACCATCAGTTATCACTCCGTCCACCCTAAACCCAAAAGCTGCCAGGTCGCGCAAGCCGCGCTCAAACGCTAACTTCTCCATTGCCGTTGAGGAGCACCCTTCCTTCCACTTGTTGACTGTAACACAGTGGAGCACCTTTCGAGTCTCTCTATCCATTAGTGAAACCGTACACCATTCACCTTCTCTCGCTTGCGACCATCGCCCATCCGCTGTAATCCATATCTTTGCATCACCTCTGGCCATAACTTCCCGTCGTGCATTCGCCATAGACAACGCACTCTGTTGTACTATGGTCGCCCATAGACCATAAGGACTCTTCATGTAGGAATAGAACGTTCCTGCTGCTGGTATTGGGACCCCTATGTTGCGCGAAACTGACTCTAGTGTCTGATATCCGCAACCACTAATCACGTAGGCTTCCATCACCGTTCTAGATAGCCAAGGCATCTTGGGACCCTTTTTCGACTCCTGTCCAACATCTGGTGTACGATCACAGCTCCACCACACCTCCGTACGTTTACATCTTAGGCATCTCCATAGCAACCCGAACGCACCCAATGAACTTTTCCATGATTGCAAAAGCATTGCCCCTCCACATGCCATGCCAGCAGTGCACTGGACTGAAAAATGCAGCATTAGTTTCACGAACCAGACGGTGTCCATGTAGCACATGGTACCCTTACGTGTTTCGGTAAGGCCTGGAGAAGATGGCCAGCCTTGTGGGACCCCACAACCAAAATTTTGATGTCGTGCGGCCTCCCTGGTGGGTACGTGTGGATCAAAGGCACGCTCGAAATCGTGTTAAGAGACGTTGTCATTAATAAACAGAATATGGACAATAGGGGCACACATGAATCTTGCAAGGGTTGCAAGCATAAAACTCACAGTATAGAAGAGCTTTGGGGCTCTTCACATGACGAAGCTTCTATCCCCTGTCGGCCAGCATCATCGCCACTCGGCGTGCGTTGCACCCCTAGGACGCCCAAGCCAGACATATCAGGAGGGGGTTCCACACAATCGGTCTCGCACCCGCAAAATCCATCCATCGCAACCCCTGCAGAGCCTTTCTCTTGTTGTCGATCGGCTGCCTCGTCCCCATTCTTCTCTATGCTACCATTCGCTGCATTTACAACCGTATCCATGGACTCGTGGGGCGACCCTTCAGCCAAAGGGACAGGTTCGGTTTCTCGTAGTATCCCTGAGCGTGTAGTGATGCGCGGCAGATGAGTGACGGACCTGGATCTCGCCCTTGTCTGAAAAGTACCAGGCACTGTGTGAATGGTGATGGGTGAGTGGGACCCAAACATGACAGCACACAACCCCAGAATAAGGAGAGATTATGCGGTATATGAAATACACCCAAGGTCAATATTGTAAGAGCCACAACAATTGGAACCCAAGGATACAAAACACATTTACAACTTACCCGACCCAATGAGCGCCTGATATGCTGCACCACGTCTAGCCCCACCCCACTGGAACCCTGGCCCAGTGCTATCCACAGTCGTCTCCTCTGTCGACCGCACAAAACTATAAACAAGTCCACGGATCGATGTCGTGGGAAGTGCATACAGCTCCCTCACGGATGGCAGTCCACTCCCTCTCTTTTTCACTCGCGCAGTTGCAGCATGTGCGTCCACTCCTACCGTAAACGCTGCCCTGATGCCATCTCCCCGCACCCCTGCGACCACAAGCATACATGAATTGAACACATATTCTGCCCCCAATACATGTGACGCACCATCAAAGCTTGGGCATGATTCATACCTGCCCCTTTTGCTGCTTCTAGTAGATGCTCCACCAAGGTTGGAGCGGCTTCTATCAACAAAAGTACCATGTCACTGTCCCGAGGAACCTAGCCACCACCCATAAGGCTTGCTAACCCGCATCGTAGGATGGCCCATGGTGCAGTCAAATGGCCGCTAAGTGAAAGCTTCCTTTTGTTTAGCATACCATTCAGGGCCAACCCCACCGACGTGTTCGAAGTACCGACCTCACCCTCTGTATTAGACATCTTGGGCCAGCCCTACGTAGGAATCGTTCTTGTGTAGTATAATGAATGATGGGCAATAGGAGGGGGGGTGGAAAAGGGGGGTTGTGCTGAGAGACAAATTTTGGGGCAATAGGTTTAGATTGATAGCTACTGGCGTGGTATAACGGCTTGCCATGGAGTGGCAGCAAACCCATTACACTCACTTTTTAGGTTCAGTGAATGTTTGAGAATGGCAACAGTGTCATGGGATGGCAACAGAAGGGCAAACATCTGGCTGCTGATAGATTCAACGAATGACAGCAGAGAGGACCCAGGAATGGCAGCACATAGTGAAATTCAATGTCTGCAGTGTGTGGAACACAATGGCCACAGAGCTCTTCATGCGTAGGCAGCAGTAAGAGTATTGAACCGGAGGCAGTGAGTATAGTGTGACAGCAGCTGTGAGCATAAAGGAATGGCAGCATTGACTGAAATGTGAAGGCAGCACATGGTGAAATATTACTGTACTTGTGTATGGGACAAGGCGTGGGGGAACATGGAATAGAGGGACAGGGCATGAGATAACATGGAATGGGGGGTCAGGGAATGGGGGGACAGAGAATGGGGGAACATGGAATGGGGAAAAGGGCAATGGGGGAACAGGGAATTCGGGAGCAGGGAATGGGGGAGCAGGAGATGGGGGAAAAGGGAATGGGGTAACGGGGAATGGGCGAGCAGAGAATGTGGGGAATGGGAATGGGGGAGCATGGAATGGGGAGGCAGGGATTTCCCATCAGGGAATGCGGGATCAGGGAATAAGGGAGGGCTGTGATTGGGGGACGAGGATCAGTTGAGTGGGGAATGGGGGAGCAGGGATTTCCCACTCAAGAAATGGGTTGGAGGGAAACGGGGGACATGGAATGGGGGAGCGGGGAATGGGGGAACAGGGAATGAGGGAGCAGGGAACGGGGGAGCGGGGGATGGGGGAAAAGGGGATGGGGAACAGGGAATGGGGTAGCGGGGAATGGGCGAGCAGAGAATGTGGGGACAGGGAATGGGGGAGCATGGAATGGGGGGCAGGGATTTCCCCATCTTGGAATGGGGGTTTAGGGAATGGGGGAGCAAGGAATGGGGGAGCAGGGATTTCCCACTCAGGAAATGGGAGGACAGGGAAACGGGGGACAGGGAATTGGGGAGCGGGAATGGGGGAACAGGGAAATGGGGAGCAGGAAATGGGGGTTATGGGAATAAGGGGTCCAATGAATGGGGGAGAAGGGAATGGGGGAGCAGGGAATGGGGGATCAGGGAATCTGAGGACAGGGAATCGAGGGACAGGGAATGGGGGGAACCGAGAATCCGAGGAACAGGGAATGGGGGAACAGGGAATGGGGGAGCAGGGATGGTGGGGATCAGGGAATGGGGGAGCGGGGGTTGGAGGAACAGGGGATGGGGGAGCAGGACCTGGGAGAACATGGCAGTATTGTGTTTTTCACAAAAGATACCGTGGGAGAATGACTAAGACTCGTGCAATTGAAACTTGGAAGGTACTTGGATTGAACATTCAGTGCAAGAACGAGGCAGTGTTACTCACAAGAGAGCTGTAGTCAGTGAGATCGACTAAACCTCAATGCTTGGCGGTTGAGTTGCGGGCCTAACCTGGCAAGAAGATCTAGTCACGAACGTAGCTTATAGGCCCACTGCTATCAGTTGAGGAGGTGACAGCGATCTTAGTGGGGTTCCTACAGGCAACTGGGGGTTGGTGTGGCAGGTGAGAGTGATTTCAGACGAATGAGTCGGGCAGCATAAGAATGCATGAACGCTGGATAGAAGGTGACATAACTGACGTGTACTGGGTGTGAGGGATCAGGGAATGGGGGATCAGGGGATGGGGAATTAGGGAATGGGGGAGGGCGGAATGGGGGAGCAGGGAATGGGAAAGGTTGGAATGGGGGACAGTAAAAGGGGGTACAGGGAATGGGGGAGCAGGGAATACCGAAGCAAGGAATGGGGGAGAGGGGAATGGGGGAGAGGGGAATTGGGGGACGTGGCATGTGGGTACAACATGGGAATGGGGGAGCAAGGATTTCCCACTCAGGGCATGGGGGGACATGGAAACGGGGGACATGGAATGGGGGAGCAGGGAAAGTGGGGACCAGGGAATGGGGGAGCAGCGAATGGGGGATCAGGGAATCTGGGGACAGGGATTCGGGGGACAAAGAATGCGGGGACGGAGAATCCAGGGAACAGGGAATGAGGGAACAGGAAATGGGGGAACAGGGAATGAGGGAACAGGAAATGGGGGAACTGGGAATGAGGGAACAGGAAATGGGGGAACAGGGAATGAGGGAACAGGAGGTGGGGGTACAGGGAATGGGGGTAATGAGTATGGGGGGACGGGGAATGGGGGGATGGGGAATGGGGGGACGGGGAATGGGGGGACGGGGAATGGGGGGACTGGGGATGGGGAAGCAGGGAATGGGGGAGCAGGGAATGGGGGAACAGGGAATGGGGGAGCAAGGAATGGGGGGACGGGGAATGGGGGGACTGCGAGTGGGTTTTGCAGGGAATGGGGGAGCAGGAAATGGGGGATCAGGGAAAGGGGGAGCAGGAATGGGAGAACTGGGAATAGGGGAACAAGGAATGGGGGTACAGAGTATGGGGGGACGGGGAATGGGGGAGCAGGGAACCGGGGAACACGGAATGGGGGAGGTGGTAATGGGGGTGGAGGGAATGGGGGGGCAGGCAATTGGGGGATAGGGAATGGGGGAGCGGGGAATGGGGGAGCAGGAATGGGGGGACTAGGGATCGGGGGACAGGGAACCGGGAGCAGGGAATGGGGGACCAAGAATGGGGGAGAAAGGCTGAAAGGGAGCAGGGAATGAGGGGACAGGGAATGCGGGAGCGGGAAATGGGGGACAGGGAATGGGGGAACAAGGAATGAGGGGGCAGGGAATGGGGAAGCAGTGAATGGGGGGACGGGGAATCGGGGGACTGGGAATGGGGAAGCAGGGAATGGGGGAGCAGGGTATGGGGGAACAGGGAATGGGGGAGCAGGGAATGGGGGGACTGCGAATGGGGGAGCAGGGAATGAGGGAACAGGGAATGGGAACATGGAATGGGGGAGGGGGGAACGGGGGAACAGGGAAATGGGGGAGCAGGGAATGGGGGAACATGGAATGGGGAACAGGGAATGGGGGAGCAGGGATGGTGGGGATCAGGGAATGGGGGAGCAGGGAAGGGGGGAGCAGGGCATGGGGGATAAGGGAGTGGGGGATAAGGAGTGGGAGAAGAGGGAATGGGGGAGCCAGGAATGAGGGGACAGGACAGCGAATGGGGGAGCAGGGAATGGGGGGACAGGGAATGGGGGGAACATGGAATGGGGGAGGGGGGAATGGGGGAACAGGGAAATGGGGGAGCAGAGAATGGGGGAACATGGAATGGGGGGGCAGGGGTTTGGGGGACAGGGATTGGGCGAGCTGCTCGTTTGGGAAACAGGGAATGGGGTAGCAGGGAGCGGGGGACAAGGAATGGGGGAACAGGGAATGGGGGGACGGGGAATTGGGGGACATGGAATGGGGGAACAGGGAATGAGGGGGCTGGGATTGGGGGAACGGGGTATGGGGGAACAGGGAATGGTGAAAGGGGAGCATGCGGTTGTGGGACCAGTGGATGTTGACGTCAATGGTGGGGATACCGGCCAGCTGAGCGAGGCGCAGCTAGTCATGCGCCTGCTGCACGTCAGCCTTACCGTTATTCAGGCGCCTGCAGCGCGTATTGCTGACGCACATTAGCATTTTCGCGCGACTGCTGCCCGTCAGACTGACGCGGTAGTGCATTTCGTGCGAATGCCTCCCGACAGTCCCAGCGGGCAGCACTTTGCGCGCCCGCTGAGCATTTCGCGCGGGGGCTGCCCGTCAGACAGCCACACTCTGCCCTGCGCGCGCATGCAATGCGTCACTGTCTGACGAGCAGCATTCCGCGCGGCCGCTGCGCGTTTCGCGGTGGCTGCCCGTCAGACATGCGCATTCCGCCATGCGCGCGGAATGATAACCGTCGGACAGAGACGGCATTTCGCGTGACCGTTGGGCATTTCGTCGTTTGCTGCCCGTCAGACAGGCGCGTTCCGCCGTGCGCGCGAATGCTGCCCGTCAGACAGAGACGGGCGGCATTTCGCTCGCCTATTTCGTCGACCTAAACCCTATGCGTATGTGTGACTGTCACCATATAGTATCCATGCAATGCGTACAATAGCTGAAGAGTCGGGGAATAGCGGAGGTATAGGCGATCCAGCGGCCGGCCCTCCGCGTCAGACCCCAGTCTCGGTCGAATGCAGTGGACGTCTACTTTTGCTGGACTAATTACCGTAACGTCTTTAGCTGTGGACGGCAGCGTGCGAGAGGAATGCGGCTGGGTGTTGGCAATATGAGGATGAGTGTGCTTGGCGTGTCGAGTTTGCGTAGTATTTTGGTAGGGCGTATCCAGTGTGTGTTGTGTTGCTCTAGGAAACGTTGGGTGGGTGTGTCAGAGGTCCACTGGTGATCCCCGATGATCCTAGGGAAGGGTTACAGGCACGTTGGCCTGGGGGGTTATGGGCGCACTCACCCGCTACACAAACAAGCCCTTTTATCCCAGTGGTTAGTGGCTGGGATTCTGACATGGTATCAGAGCGAAGGTCTCGGGTTCGAATCCCGGTGTGTGCACCTCGGGCATCCCAGTGCGGGGGGGTGTCAGAGGTCCACTGGTGATCCCCGATGATCCTAGGGAAGGGTTACAGGCACGTTGGCCTGGGGGGTTATGGGCGCACTCACCCGCTACACAAACAAGCCCTTTTATCCCAGTGGTTAGTGGCTGGGATTCTGACAGGGTGGTCAGTTTGTTGATTGGGAGCGGCGGAACACAGTCGCACTACTGTGCGAAAACCATATGGGCCCGTGTGTGTCTCTGCACATTGGGGCGATGCTCTTGATTGGTCGTGATTCCTGCCCAACGTTTGGGTACACCAGCCCTGCTCGGTTGCTGTGAAGCTCGATATATTTCTATCTTATGCAAAAAAGAAGATTCAAGTTCGACCCAACTAGAAGGGGGGGGTCACTATTTTGCCTGCTGGCTTTAAAGACATGCGTTATGCTTCGTCTGATGCCATGTATCTCCTCTTCCAAATATGCTCCTCTGTTTTCGTGCCCCTCATGTTCTGTCGCCAGATGCGCTCCCGTTACCTCTTACGTGTCTCCTCTCCTTCGTTCTTTTACTTCCCCTATTCCACTTGTCCTGTGGTACCACGTGTTTTTTCCTCCATTGTCATCGACCCTACGGCTCCACTTCAGTTCTTCTACACTCTTTTCGTTGTTGTAGCTAACCTTGATTCCACCCAGCTCCTTGAATAAGCCACCCAATCAACGGTTTTGCATACAATTGCATAGGGTTATTATATTATTCTTGCATGTCTATTATGTTGGCCCGTTTGAATCAAACGGAGTTGTTACTGTCGATTTGCTTCGACGCTATCCTTCCAATGTCAAGTTCTAGGCGAGGCAGATGGTGTCAGTCAGCACGAACGGCTGGTGTGTGTTTCGGTGTAGTGCAGTAACGTAACGAGTCGAGGCGACTGGGAAGGAAGGTAGAAAATCGAGGATCCCTCGCCAGTTGCTCAGATTTGCTGCGGGAAGTTGGGCGTTGAGAAATGTACCCCTGATATTCGTTACTTCCTAAAATATCAGAAATCTTCTCAACAATTATCCCAAACGTTTGTTCCAACTGGTTGCACCCCGCCAATTTCACCCGGGTTTCAATCCACTACACGTTACACAATAATTGCGGGAAATGGCATGGTATACGAATCACAATGATTTCGTGCATTCGTCGGCAAATTCTTTTCGACAAAGAAACGTCCATTCGAGGGAAAAACGTTTTCTTTTATTCTGCCCTGCCCAGATCACCGTGGAAAGGTTTGTTCCCTTGTGGGCAGCCGTGGCTCGTACGTGATCCGACGTGGCGACACGGTAGCGGCAGCGCAGCTGCTCCCCCCTCCATCCATCCACCCCTCGATGCTCCTCCACAAATTTTTGGGCAAGGGAGGGATCCACTTTCCTCCCTCTCAGGCCAGCATCGCTTTCCCTTCCGACCCACTCCTCCTGGCTGGAGCAGAATGCAGAGCCGCAGGTTGAAGTATTGGACTCCCTTCCCAGGGAAACGAGGGTTTGTTGCCATTTCCTTTCCCATCATAGAATGGCAACCCCTTGAAGCCTTCCAGCTAAGGGGCGCAGCAGCAGGAGTACTTCACGGCCTGCATCCCCTACTCAGCCTGCATCCCTTACTCAGCCTGCACCCCTTACGTGAAGGCCGGAATCATGTGCAGCACCGCTCCCGTTCTGGTGAATATGCCAGACGTAAAGGCCGACTCTTTGGAACGGAGGAAACCGCGAGTAGTCACCGCTACATCTCCACAGTTTTCGAACTCTACATATGCATTCCCTAGGCATGTCCGCGCTCCTGTATTCAACGCATCGGACGCAAGGACTCGAAAGACCCGCAGGTCCGTGATTATTCATTTGCCGAATCGAACTTGTTATGCTTCACATCGACGTGACTCACGATATCCATTACTGGTTTGTTTTTTTTTTTTTTTTCAGTTGCGGGCCTTTGAAAGCGGATCCTGACGTTGGAAGGGAGCTTTTGGAGATTCTACGCAAAGGGGTGAGGGAGCGTCCCATTTATTGTTTGAGCTTTTCGAAGCGTTCAACCAATTTGGTGTATTCCTGTTTGTAGCAAACGCTCATTAACTTTCTGCTCGTCTTTCAGGATTCGTTGTCAGGAGATTTCCCGGTCATGTCCCCGCCCAACCGTTCTACTAACCCGATAGTCAACGATAACAACTTTAGGCGGTCTTCTGCGTTTTCCAGCCAAATGCCGGCCTTGGATTATCCTCGATTGGAAACTTGTAAAGTGAGTGTTGCGGTCGCACCGAAAGCTCGAATCGAGGGCTTCTTCTCTCCGCTGAAGGCAGCGGAGAATCATTGCAGCCTCCTCACGAGGCTCGCCTAGCTCTTGGTCACGCACGAGAGGAACAAGCAATCCATCTTGGGGTGTGAGATCCCTCGTCAAGCTTCGAGCTAACCTTGTAAATGAAGAAATTGTTGAGAGAACTGTACAAATATTAATATTGGGTAGTTATTGTTCTTCGGACGAGGTTAGTGAAGCCCATATTGTAGTGTCGATATGCTATTTTTGTGTGGAGATACCCAATAGTCATTATGCCAATTTATTCCGCCTTGGCAATACCGGTAACAGACTGGTCTTGAAATGATAATTTTTGAAAGTGTAATGAAATGTAACACTTTCTAAAATTTTGTATTGTGAAAAGGGGTACGTGGCCAACACAGCAAAGGTAGCGCCGAAGCGCTACTCACCCTCTTTTGCCTACAAAAGAGGGACGTGGGGACATTCGTCCCCACCCACGTTTTCATTTTCAAAATTGTAGTTCTAATTTCCCACCCGCCCACCCATTGTGTATGCTGTTATGTAGATTTATATAAGACGAGAACGATGTACTACAATCCATATGAAATGATAACGCTGCCTTTGCCAGTCAGCCTAAGTACACTTTCACAATGATACTATTGTATTAAACCTGCTCTACAAGGATAGCAACCTCTGATCTGGTACAGTAATAAAATTTTCGTAGGAAACATGAAGTTGGCAAGTACCAGGTGTATCAGGAAGATCCATCGTGTAAATGCAAAGGACCGCGTGCAAGAATGAGGTGCGTGGTGTCATTCATCTTCACCAGATGCCATCCTCTCCGAGCAGTATGGCGGAGAATAGAAATGGATGTGTTGTCAATGCCAATGTTGTGGGTGAGGTGGGGGTCAGAACCCAACACGCCACGCACAAGGCACCGTATGGCAGTGCCATGAGAGAAGACTGCCACACGGAAAATATCATCAGCTGCTGCTGCTGCTGCCCCACTGACTTGTGCACTGACGGTGCTGTTGACGAAAGTACTGCTGCTGCTGCTGCCGTTAGCAGACGCTAGAGTGCTGCTGGCTCCATTAGTTGAAAATGCAGAGGCAGCGGGCCTCGAAGCACCTGAATCAGCAGCAGCCTGGGTGTTGGAAATCTGCAATGGTTCAGGCTTGGTGGATAGATTTGAGGGTGGGGCAGATGCGGGGTTCTGCGCGGTGGAAGGTGGTGCAGAGGGAGTGGAAGCAAGGGCTTCCAGATGCTGCCGAACGAAAACGATATTGCTCACAAACTCGACCATACGGAACTCAACCTGACAGTTATTCGGACAAGACAGGGAAAGTGAGCAGGAGAGGGGGGGGGGAAGGGGGAGGGGGGGGGGGGGGAAGGGGGAGAGGGGGTGGAAAGGGAGGGGGGTACGGGTAAGGGGAAAAGGAAAAGTAAGGGGGGGGGGGATGGAGGGAAAAAAAGTGGTGTGGGAAGGAAAAACACAAGGTAACAGCACAATTGAAGAGTGTCAATCTCAACTGGATCTCAATCGGAACCCCAACCAAACTCATCCTGCACGGATCACAATCAGGTTTCGCAAAAGCCTTGCGACCTTGATCCACCACACCCTTAACCCCAACCCCACACCCACGTCACACTTAGTCCATGCTCATGACCCACACAACTGCATCCTTCCTTCCCACCATAGCAGCCCCCAAGTCTTACAAGATGAAAAGCTCAAACGTGTGCCTGCCCTCGGCTCATCCCTACCCAGAACATTACCTCCCTATTACCACCCTCCCTGGTAGTACTTCCCACCCCTCCAAACCCTCCCCTCCCTTCCCGTCTCCCATCACCCCCCCATCCCAGCCCATGCATGCCTGTCGTTGGCTCTCTCCCCCAGGCGCCCGGAAGTCAGGCTGAGCGGCCACCATCTGCTCCAGCACGCCGCGCTGGTAGATGCGTGCGCGCGGCTGCCGCTCCCACTGCCCCTGGCTCAGCTCCTGCAGCTCGTCCGCGTACCGGATCACTGCCTCTGATACCCCCATCTCCTGCCGTGGCACAGGGGAGTGGGACAGAGTGGGGAGGGGAGTTGGGGAAGGAGTGGGGAGGGAGGGAGAGAGGGAGAGGAGGGGAGACGGAGGGAGGAGGGTGGAGTGTGCGGAAGAGGGGAGGGAGGAAACGGAGGTGAGGGATGAGAGAGGAGGGAATGGGAGCGCTGCTGCTCCCACTGCCCCTGTCTGAGTTCCTACAGCTCGTCCGCGTACCGGATCACTGCCTCTGATACCCCCATCTCCTGCAGGAGCCATGCCCGTGGTGGGACGGGGAGAAGAGAGGAGAGGAGGTGAGTAGGGTGAGTAAGTGTGATGGGAAGGAAATGGGGTGGCAGGTGGGTACGGGAGATGAGGGCAGCAGGAAAGCCAGGACAGGCGGAGCCCCTAGGCTGACCGCACTCCCTTCCCTAGGCGGATAATCACTATCAGCTTAGGTCGATAGGTTCAATGAACTCACCTGGTCCGGCTGCTGACCTGGCAGACAGGCGAGAGAATGGCAGTGCGTTTGGTTTGGAGTGGTCAAGCGCGAGGAGAGAATGGAATAGAAACGCCCCCCCACGTAGTCCCCAAGGTGAATTTCTAGTCGACTCAGTAAACACCACGCCCCTTGCAACCAAACGGCACGCACCTGGCAGGTGAGGATGGCGGTGCGCTTGGCGCGCTCGATGGGCGAGGAGAAGAAGATGGCGTGGAAGCGCACGCCCACGTAGTCCCTCGTCTCACCTTTCAGTCGGCTCACTCAATAATCACCGCACAACCATGCAAATGGCTCACACCCTTTCAAACGGCTCGGCTCACCCGGTCCAGCGGCTGCTGACCTGGCAGGCGAGGATGGCGGTGCGCTTGGCACGTTCGATGGGCGAGGAGAAGATGGCGTGGAAGCGCACGCCCACGTAGTCCCTCAGGTACCGTCCCAGCAGCACCGCCTGCTGCTCGCCCAGAGGGGTCAGCGCTGCCTGCGGCGACCGCCCCCCTATGAGCGTTGACACGTTGTGCGCTGCCTCCCCGTGACTGTGGGGGATGGGGACGCGGGGAGGTCAGGAAGTTGCGGAAGTGGGGGTCTGTTTTGAAAAGACCTCAACAGAAGGTGAGAGCTGCCTGCGGCGACCGCCCCCTTATGAGCGTTGACACGTTGTGCGCCGCCTCCCCGTGACTGGAAACGAAGGGGCGATGGGAAGGTGGGGGAGGGGATAAGTGGGGAGGGAGGTCATCTTTCACGCGTGTCAGGAATTGGTGAGATCTGCCTGCGACGACCGGCCCCCTATGAGCGTTGACACTTGTGAGCTGCCTCTCTGTGACCGTGGGATATGGGTGGCGCTAGGGAGGCAGGCAGGCAAGCAGGGAGACGGTCAGACAGAGAGACAGAGAGATGGACAAGCAGAGAGACATGCGGGGCTCTCAAGGATATTAGATGATGTCGGCGTGCCGCATGGCAGGCAGGCAGGTAGGGAGACAGGCAGGCAGGGAGACAGAGAGGGAAAGACAGCTAGGCACACAGACAAACATGCGGGGGCTCAGAGGGGGCTCAGAGGGGGCTCAGAGGGGGCTCAGAGGGGGCTCAGAGGGGGTACCGGATGATGTAGAACTCGGTGCAGATGTCGGCGCGCGGCATGGCAGGGCCGTGCATGAAGGGGTGCGAGGAGAGCGGGCGCGAGGCGTCCATGAACGACGCGCCCTTGCCCTCCGCGAACTCGTCCCACGCCCGCGCCATTCCGCCGCTCCCTGCCTCCCCTTCCGCGGACCTGACAGCAGCCGCGGCAGCACCAGCAGCAGACGCCGAAGCAGGAGCAGCGGCCGCTGGAGCAGCTGGAGCGGCAGGAGCGGTCGGCGAAGCAGCAGCAGCTGCAGCTGAGGCAGATGGAAGAGACGGAGCGGAAGGGGCAAGATCATTAGGCGTTACTGGCGGAGCACCACCTGCAGTTGCCGTAGCAGCAGCAGCAGCAGCAGCAGCGGCAGCAGCAGCAGCGGCAGCAGCAGCAACAACCCCTGCACTGCCAGTCGCACCCGCATTGACCTCCTCCTCCCTTTCGCCGCCTTTCGCCGTCCCTGCGGTCTCCGCGTCCCCTTTCTCCTCCGCCTTCCCCTCCGCCTTCCCCTCCGCCTTCCCCTCCGCCTTACCCTCCGCCTTCCCCTCCGCCTTCCCCTCCGCCTTCTCCTTCTCCTCGTCCGTCTCGTCATCCCATGCCAAATCCCAGTCTCCTGCATTCCCGCTGCTCTCCGTATGCTCGACCGAATCGGCGCGTCCCTCTAACCCACCCACGTCGCTGGACGTGCTTCCAGCTTCAGCGTCTCGTACCTCGCCGCCGTGTCTTCCTCTCGCCGCCGCGCTCCCTCCGTTTCCTAATTTCCCTTCTCCTTCTCCTCCTTCTTTTCCTTCTCCTCCTCCTCGTCCTCCCCCTCCTCCTGCTCCTCCTTCCCTCGCGTCACTTCCACCCTCTGCTGCATCAGCCGGCTTTCCCGGAAGTAACGCGGCAGCGCTTTCGCTAGCAGTCCCGCCACGAGAGGCGGTCTGCGCTAACTTCCCGTCCTGGTCAGGCTCGTTGCTCAGTGACCTCTTCTCGTCCTCTGCGTCCTCCTCGTCCTCCAATTCTTCGTCCTCTTCTTCCGAACCGCTAAGCTCATCCTCGGTTCCCGAGTCGGAGTCGTCATGCGATTGCCCGTTTCCCATGGAATAATTTTACCTGAAGCCGCTTAACTGAGGTGAGCTAAGAGGGTAGTCGAAGTAGTTGGAAAATATGTACGTTGGACTAGAAAGCAAATGAGCAGGAAATAAATTAGGCCGTGGAACAGGACAGTGGGCCTAAGAACGCCACAGAATGCCACAGAACGTCACAGAATGGCCGTTGCTTTTTATGTACGATGTGTGATGTGCGTGGATTAGGGAATAAATTGGTGAGACTGGCGAAAACGGCGGAGATCGGCACTGCTTGAAAGGGAAAGTGCCGTTGGGCGCTTGAGGGATTGTGTGCTTCGTTTTAGACACAATCTGATTGACTGTCCCGTTCAGGTGCACAATCTTCGTTTCAGGTGCACTCTTAGGTGATATGGAGAGGACTAATGTCTCAGCCTATCAACGCTCAAGGGAGAACACATTCATAACGTGCAGCTGTTTTCCATTATTTAATAAGGCAAAATACTAACGAATTCTCGTTAACATTCATTTTTGTTGGCTTTGAGGTATCTTTTATATAACAAATTTTAACACTGAAGCCGTACAGTTTCTACACTATGTGAAACAATACGGGGCATTCCTTTCCTGAGATCACAATACCCGTGCCCCCAAAACCAATACGGTTCAGCACTGTACTCAGGTTTCCAAAAGGTTCTGCCGTGGACACCTGGTTGTGGCGATTTCCCCTGCCCTCTGAAACGCCCTCCTTTTTGCTGCATCACGGGGGAAGACGCCCTGTGGTTTTGTGCCCCATTCCAGCGCACCACCACGGCATACAACCTTCCCTTCCCTGCCTCTTCTCGCCCAGAAAGAGCTTGGGAGGGACCTCATAGGCTTTTCCCTCGCTCTCCATTCCCACCAAGTCCCCCCCACCAACGCCTTCCCCTCTGGCATGCTCCCCCTTGTGATCCCATTCCCTCCGCAGCTGCTGGCATTCGTCCCGTCCGAGCCCAAGGCGAGTTGTGGCGCGAGGGACACGCCGCTGTGCTCCTAGCACTCACAATGCACCTGTATCCTCCCTTCTACTCGTCCCGCTCGAAATTCTAGTGCTTCACCACACCGCCGTGGTGACATAAGGCACCCCCTTTTGCCGTCGCTGAGCCGACCTGCGTGGGACGGTTTTTTTTTTTTTTTTTTTTTTTTTTTTTTTTTTTTTTTTTTTTTTTTTTTTTTTTTTTTTTTTTTTTTTTTTTTTTTGTCACACGAGGTTGCGACAGACTAGTAGCTGTGCGCGTCCGTCTGCATCTAGTCGCGATCTGTATCACGAGGAAGGATGCGGTGCGCAGGGACGGTCTCGCCGCCTCACGTACGCAAGAAATGCGCTTTATTAGACGATCGCTCGCGTTGGCACTAGACACACTAGACAGAGCCGCACCAGAAGCGTGAGAAAGCTTGTCCGCGGATTTCGTATTCCTTTTACAGTCATTGCTCATCCACGTCTGGCCAATGATGGGGCCGCAAGGGGCGGCGGAGTTTCTGCTCGTCTCGTCGGAAGTGGACACGTCAGGGAGGGTCATGGACACGGCGGCGAATGCCGTCGACACGTCAGCGAGTGCCACGTCGGCAGCGGTGCGCGCGTGGGATGCGATGACCATAACGGGTGACAGCTGGGGAAGCGCGATAGCAGGAAAGCGCAGGCGCGGAAAAGCGTGGATTGCGGGAGAGCGGGAGTTCCAGGACGAAGCGCAAGAAGAGGCGGAGGCGGAGGCGGAGGCGGAGGCGGAAGGCGGAAGCGGAAGCGCAAGAGGCGGAGGCGGAAGCGGAAGCGGAGAAACGAGGGGTCCAAAAGGAGGGGGATCGAGCTATGGTGGGAATGCTGGTGGTTATAATGGCGAGGACGTGTGTAGTGATGAGGACGTAGGCACGCCGACTGTGTCATGTGGTGTTGGTGCTGTTGCATCACGGCACATGGCCGATGGGATGAATCTCGAGGATTCCTCCCCCCCTCTCCTCCTCCTCCTCCTCCTCCTCCGCCTCCTCCTCCTCCTCCTCCTCCTCCTCCTCCTCCTCCTCCTCCTCTCCCTCCTCCTCCTCCTCCTCCTCCTCTCCCTCCTCCTCCTCCTCCTCCTCCTCCTCCTCCTCCTCCTCCTCCTCCTCCTCCTCCTCCTCCTCCTCCTCCTCCTCCTCCTCCTCCTCCTCCTCCTCCTCCTCCTCCTCCTCCTCCTCCTCCTGTTTCACCACTTCAGCTCGATCCCCTTCCGCTGCAGGCCCTTCACTTCGCCTCACTCTCGTCCGCGTTATTGTGCTCCCCATTACAAGATGATGCGGCGGAGGAGAGGGACAAGCAGCTACCATTGTCAGCGTTATCGTCATCGTCAGCTGTAGCAACAGCAACAGCAACAGCAATAAGAGCAGCAGCAGCAGCAACCATAGCATCACGCGCAGACCCCTCGCTCTTAACCTCCTCGTACCATCCCCAGTCAACCGATTTCCCACGCTCCTCTCTCTCACCCTTCCCACACTCCTCGTGCGCACACTTCCACTCCCCTCAACATCCCTCTCCCTCCTGCTATACCCTTCAACCTCAACCTCAACTTCAACCTCAACCTCAACCTCAACCTCAACCTCAACCTCAACCTCAACCTCACCCTCAACCTCAACCTCAACCTCAACCTCACCCTCAACCTCAACCTCACCCCCAACCTCAACCTCAACCTCACCCTCACCCCCAACCCCACAATCGTTATCAACACGAGCGTCAGCTGCGGCACCACCACCATAACCCTAACGATAACGATATCGAGAACCAAAACCATAGCCATGACCACTTCCACGTGCGACCATACCCATACGTTGTTGTTGGTCAAGAGAGTGGCAGTCGCGACGGGGGCAAGGCCATGACGCATATGGATAACGTTTTTTTGGACGGGAATAACGAAGGGAGCGGCGCGGCAAGCAGTGTGGCAAGTGGTTGCGATTGCAGGAGCAACGGCAGCAGCGGCAGCAGCAGCAGCAGCAGCAGCAGCAGCAGCAGCAGCAGCAGCAGCAGCAGTAGTGAAGGATCTGGCAGAAGCAGCAGCAGGAGAAGCAGCAGGGAGTGCATGCCGCTGCTTCACTCCTCTGCCTCGTACGTGCCTCCCTCTCTGCCCCACTTCGTTTCGTGCGTCTCTGCTATGCTTCGTGCCTCTCCTGCTCTGCTTTGTGCCCCGCACTACTGCTTCTTCCGTCTCACCTTCCCTTTTTCGTGTTTGATTGCGCTGAGTGATCTTCGTCTGCTGCTCAGTAGCTCTGTTACCACTGGAAGAGTTGTGGGCTGGTTTTTAACCGTTTCTTTTGTATTTTCACGTTATTGCTCACCCACGCTGCTACCCCTCTGTGCAATCTCCTGTTGTTGCTGCTGCTGCTGCTGCTGCTGCTGCTGCTGCTGCTGCTGCTGTTCTGCTGCTGCTGCTGTGTGGGCGCCCAGCAGTCCGTCCTGGGAGAAGTATCATTCGCATGCTGCTCTGCTCGATGCTGCCGTTGACCTGCTGCTGCTGCACATGCAGCGACAACAGGAGGAACAGAGACAGCCGGATGTGCGGCAGGAGGAAGAGCATGGGGGGGAACAGGAACAGCATCTGCCTCAGCTTAGTCTGCAGCAGCAGCTGCGACCACAACAGCAGGAGAAGCTATTACGTTCTCCACAGAGGCAGGGGCAGGAGCAGGAACAGAAGCAGAAGCAGGAGCAGGAACAGGAACGGGATCAAAAAGAGGGGCAGCTGTGGATCACGCGGTATGGCACAGAAGATAGTTGTGGAGTGGATCGTGGTAGGGACAACGGATGCGATGATCAACCATGTTGGCATGGCTGCGCAGGGCAGGAAGGTTGCAAGGCAGGTTTCCAGGCAGGGTGCGAGGCAGGGCACGGGGCAGGGTACGAGGCATGGTGCGAAGCAGGGTGCGAGGCAGGGTGCGAAAGAGATGCAGGGTGGGCGCACCACGAACCTGTGTGCGTGGGGGAAATGGAATGTTGTGCCGTGCAGGGTTCTTGTGAGTGGCCCCCGTTACAGAAGGTGCAGGAGGAGGAGCAGCAGGAGGGGAAGAAGCGTGTTAGCAGCAGTAGCAGCGTTCCTGACCAGCAGAGAGCTGTGTGTGCTGCTGTGGCGGCAGTGGCAGCAGCAAGCGATCGCAATCTGGTTGCAAGCCCAGACAGGGAATCTGAGCACTGCTGGACTGCTGTCAGCAGCAGCAGCTGCTGCTGCATCTGTGAGGAAAGGCAATGCTGTGCTGCTGCTTCCGTTGTGGGGCCTGCTTCCGTTGTGGGGCCTGCTTCCGTTGTAGGGCCTGCTTCCGTTGTAGGGCCTGCTTCGGTTGTAGGGCCTGCTTCGGTTGTAGGGCCTGCTTCGGTTGTAGGGCCTGCTTCGGTTGTAGGGCCTGCTTCGGTTGTAGGGCCTGCTTCGGTTGTAGGGCCTGCTTCGGTTGTAGGGCCTGCTTCGGTTGTAGGGCCTGCTTCGGTTGTAGGGCCTGCTTCGGTTGTAGGGCCTGCTTCGGTTGTAGGGCCTGCTTCGGTTGTAGGGCCTGCTGCCATTGTTTCTGGTGACAGTGCTTGTGCAAGTAGGGGCTGCGATGGTGCTGCGAGGCGTGAACACGCTGCGCCTCCTCCTCCTACTCCTCCTCCTCCTCCCCCTGCTGCTGCTGAAGCAGCTACTTTGTCTTCTCCTACTGCCACTGGCAGTGGTTGTGCCAGTGCTGCTGCTGTTACCAGAGGCACTCCGTCCCCAGTGCGCCAGGCCTCTCACTGCAAGCATGCACATTCACAGCCCCACCACACCTGCACCTGCACCTGCACCTGCACCTGCACCAGCACCGGCACCGGCACTGGCAGTGGCACTGGCACTGGCAGTGGCACCTGGAATTCAAACACCTGCACCTGCACCTGTACGCATGGCACCACCCAACCATCCCAGCAAGGCGGATGCTGCCTCGACAAGCAGCACATTGGCCTTGGCGTGCTCTGCTTTCTCGGCGGCATGTCTGCCGCCGTTCTCCTTCGAATCCTCACCCGTTTACTCGCCCGTTACTTCGCAGCTCTTCCTCCTGCCGCCGTGCTGCCGGCTGCATTTGCCGAAACTGTCAGCACCCCTCCCACCCGCCTCACCACCAGCAGCATAGCACATACTTTCCTACAAATACTCCTCACCCCCCTCTCCTCCCTCCAATCCTCTCTCCTCTTCCCCCGCTCCTCCCGCGTCTCCTCCCACGTAATTTCCCCTGCAGCGACCCAAGCAACCCTCTCTCGCCTCCTCTCTCGCTGCTCCTCCCCCCATCAAGCTTCCCTCCTGCACTCCCGCTTCCTGCTGCTGCTCCAGCGCCAGCGCTGGCAGGCCCTGGCTCACACACGAGCACGCGGTTCAGTGCGGTGCGGCAGGGTTTGGTCTGGTGTGGTGGGAGGAGCGATGGGTGCGGGTGGAGCAGGAGCGGGAGCAGGGATGGGGAGGGAGTGGGTGGAGATGTGGAGAGACCGCAGCAGCAGGCTGGATAGAGAGAGAGGGATGACCTGTGCTGCCAGTGATCCTTCTGCTTCCGCTGCGGCTGCTGCTGCTGCTGCTAGTGCTGCTGCTGCTCGTGATTGCCGTGGTGGTGCTGGTTTTGCTTCTAGTGCTGCTTCTGCTGCTGCTGCTGCTGCTGGTGTTGGTGGGAGTGACGGTGGTGCGAGTGGAGCAAACAGTTTCCTCGTGTGGTTTCTTCAAGCGCATGAGAACTGGTCATGGCTGCACATGCTGCTCACCCGCGCCCTGCTCTCCTCCCGGCCCGCATCCCCATCACCAAAACTCGCACCATCTCACCAGCAGCATCATCAAATAACTGATGCACTGATGCTGGGGGTTTCATACGCTGATGTGCGGATGGGGTTGCATCAAGCACAACCGGGTGCTGCAGCAGCACAGCTGCATGCTTCTCAACGCCTGCCTGACGATGCTGTTAAGGCACTAGGCCGACAGGTGTGTGTATGTGTGTGTGCGCACATGCTCTGCTTCTGAACTCTTTCGAGTCGCACTCGACCATTCATTCTCCCACCTTGTCTTGTCACCCTTTCTTTCCCCCCTTCTGACCTCCGACCACCCCCACCCTACTCCTTCCTGATTTTTGCTCACATTCCCCCTTTCTCCCCCCATCCACGCTTTTTCAATCGCACGCTCTCCCTCACCCCTCTTCACTTCCCTCTTCCTTCACTCTTGGTAATTCCCTCTGATTCTCGCTTCACCCCCCCACTTCCTCCCCCCAGCATGACCATGCTGCCCTGCCCCTCATTCTTTCACTCCTACTTCTACCACTTCCTGCAGAAATTTCACGCCCTCATTCTCGTTTCACCCATCACTTGAGCACACAATTACTCAGCTCCCATAACACCCGCCTCTATCGTCCACCCATGTGTGCCTCTGCCCACCAGGCTCTGCTCTTCCTCCTGCCACTCACACATGACGCAGCCATGCTTCTCCTGCGCTGCTTTCTCGGCCAATTCTGGTCTTGACTCCTCGCCTCCTCTCCTCCCGCTGTTGCCTCAGCGCTGCTTTGCCCATGGTTTTCCATCGTGGCGCCACTTGCCGTAGTGCTTTAAGCAAGCATAAAACATACGGTAGGTGTTACCATTTCACACATAGGGCGTATTCCTACGGCCTCCTATCAAGAAACCTCCTATCAAGAATGCACATTTTGCCTGGTGAAAGTAGCGAGAGATTTTGGGTTTAGGCAATTTTCCTGTGTGGGCTTGATAAGAGGTTTTCTTGATAGGAGGATAGGAATACGCCCATAGTATAAACTGTTCGGACCTGGTCCATCCAGTGCCGTACTGTGCGGCCCAGTCCGGTGTGGTCCAATACTGTCCGTCTCCAGTGGTGAGTGGTCCATCCAGTGACTGGTCTAGTCCAGTGTTGTGGTCCAGGGGTATTTACCAGTACCAAAAATCTTACAGCTGAAAAGTACCATACCATACTACTACGTGTGTGTTGCTTTGGTGTAGCGTACATATGTATCTTTAGTGAGTTACGTACGCAATTGCTCTTGTAGTAGCAGGCTGACACCGCACATGGTACGGTACAATCCCGTTTATCCCCTCTTTGTAATGTTCCTTCCCTGGAAGCACATACACCCGGTACTGTAATCAACATTCCTTTCTCATTCGGTGCCGTTATAATTCCCATATTTCATAAGGGATTGTCCCTGTTACCTCCACCCGAGACCGCGGGTGGTGGTTTTTACATCAAGTGGGGGGGCATCAAACGAAACTCTTTTTGATGAATGGTACATTACAAAAGCATCCTCTCCTATCCTTTGACATTCAACAGCATATAGCTGCACGTATTTACTTGTGTAGCTGCAAGCGTGAGTGGTGCTTCTGCAATGTTCCCTCACCAACCCCTGTCCTTGTTGAAATGCACTGCAAGTCACACCCTTCCACCCATCACTCTCCCTGAGAGCGCCACGTCAGCGCCGGAGAACCCAAGGTACAGGTCATCGTTAGTGATCCCTTGGATCGCTGCCAGCACATCCGCCACGTCAGCAGCGGACGCCCTGACAACATTGGCCAGCGACCAGGACACAGGGCTCATAGGCACCCACGTGCCAGACAGGGCCAGGGCTGCTGAAGCAGCAGCGGTGCCGCATGCGTTGCCCTTGAAAATGGCCTGTGAGTCCGGGGCCTTAGTCACTCCTGCTACGTACAGGTAGTATGTGAGCATGTAGTCCGTGCCACTGCATAGGGGGAAAAAGGAAGGTAGCAGAGAGGAGGGTAGGAGAATTAGCATGAGATAGGGACCAATGTTCACAGTGGAATGGTGTAGAGCAAAAACAAATAAGCCTGGTGGGTAGGGGAACTGCTGGACAGTGGGTCAACATAAGTCAACACAAGTCAACGCGAGTCAACTCACATCTTGAGGATCTGAATGTCAGCAGCGCCGGCTTGGAGAGACAGCAGGCCATTGCATGACGTCAGCACGGCGCGCAGCATGCCTGCCTGCTGGGGAAGAAGGTTCGCGAGAGTCCCCACCACGCCGCCGCTCACGCCGCCGCCGTTCAACCCCCCATTCAGAGCGCCGTTCAAAGCGCCGTTGAGAGCGCCGCTCAAAGCGCCGCCATTCAGAGCGCTGTTGAGAGCGCCATCCAGAGCGTTGCTCAGCGCGCTATGCAAGTCAGTCACCATCCCGGCGAGCACGGACACGTTCCCGTTGAGCCCCGCGACTCGCTGCGTCACAGCCTCCAGCCGCTGCCTCACCGCCGCGCGGATCGCCGCGCTCCCACTCGCGGAAGCCGCCCCGGCTGCTGGACGCAACGCGCCCGCCAAGCCTACGCCCGAGCCTACGCCCGAGCCAATTATCCCGGCCAGGTCCTTGTTCAGAGCGGCGATGCCGGTGCTGATCGAGGAGATGTTGGATCGGATTCCAGAAATCTGGGAGGAAATCAGATCCGTGACGTTTAGATCCGATTCTGAGATGTTCAGCGCGTTCAGATTGACTAGGCTCTCGTTTAAAGCAGCGAGGTTTGCTTTTAGCGCGGATATCTGCGCGTGGAGCGCGTCGTCTGCAGCTGACGGGCTGCTTTTGAGAGCCGCCGAGATTTTGTCGAGCGATTGTTTGAGAAGCGAGTCGAGAGACGCGATCTGGCCGTTGAGGGACGACTGGAGGCCCGAGAGCGTCGATTTGAGCGCCGCTGCGGGGTTGTTGCTGCGGGCTGCTGCGGCTGCGGCCGAGATTGCTGAATTCAAGCTGGGTGGAAGGCGGTTGGAGGGTAAAGAGCCGGCGCTGGGTACTAGAAATCGGCCTGCTTCGGCTCGTTGCGTTGCGAAAAGCACTGCAGTTATTGAAAAAAGTAGGAGAGACTAGTTTTTTAGGACGAGTGGCAAGTGAAGGTGCGTGGAACAGGTTCAGAACATTTGTGAAGAATACCTGTTTAGTGCTATCAGACACGGCTTGAAAACGCGCCGGCTAGGAAAATGGCTCACCTGTGACGAGCAGAGCTACAAGCGCTAGCGTGAAACGAGCGCGTGCCATGGTTGCCGACTTGGAGACGCAAATGACGAGGGGCTATTGATAGAAGTGCTAACTGGTGAGCTAGCTCAGGGAGGCTGAATTTCCGAAATTGACACGGAACGAGAAGCGCAGTGATCCGCGAGTGATAATAATTGAGAACAAAGGGCGCAATATGCGAGTGTGTTGCTCTGGTAGCAAAAAAATCAGGGCGTTGCAGAGGGCTTGTTTGCGATGTTGAGGTGAGAGTTGATGCCCAAATGAATTTCTGGTGCTCTATTTATATGTTACTGGGGGAGTGGGTTGGCGGGCCCCTTGGATTTGCATGAAGGAGGTGGGCTGGAGCTGGAACTGGAAATTCGAGAATTTCAGCGCGGACCGTGGATTGTCTGCCTATGATTGGTTTATCCGCCACCGTCGAGTCGCACGCGGGGTGGCTAGAGAGCGGTGCTGGCGTTGTCGGAGGTGAGCGGTGCTGCAGGTGAGAGAATTTGCGGTGCGGTGCTGTGGTGTGGTGTGCTTTTGACGGCGGGTGAACGAACCAGCCAAATTCGTTGATGGGGTGCTTCATTTGAAGGTCAAACGCTTTGTATCCGTATTCCCCTTACGATTCAAACGTTAGAAAACACTTGTTAGAAATTGTAGGTGATCCCACTAACCTACATTATGCTCAGGCCCGTGTGCTACTTTGCAGCTGGAGTGTGATTGCATTTTTTATGCTGCATCAAATGATGTCTGCCATTTGATTGGAGGCTTTAGCGTGAAGATAAGGAATTTCTCACAACGAATTTCTCTGCTACTCTGCTGCATGCTTGAGCGTTATTATAAGATAGCCCGCGGGGTCGAAATCTGCCCCGATCACCTTCCCCTGAATGGCTCGTCCTAACACACGCCACAAAAAACTGGTAGGAAAACACTGTGTCGTGAGCTGTGCCATTTAAATGTCATTGCAACAACCTCCCTATACCAGTGATGTCCGGACTCAAACCCGCCAGTGTTTCCACTGCAACACCCTGGGGCAGTGGAAGGGGCACCACCTACCGTACCTACCTACACACTACCTAGCTGTTCGAGAAAGTTAGCAGCGCGGGTGACTAGCGGCGAGCTGCCTGCTTGCCCCGAGACGAGAGGAACTCGTAGGCCGTGAGGACACGGCGGAAATTGACTGCTGCTCGCTCTGGAAAAAGAGAATCAGAGTAGGGGGAGTTGTGAGCCAAAAGAGCACCAAGAAGAGAGTGAGTTGACTTGTGTGAGTCGACTTAAGATCAGCTCGGCGGAAATTCACTGCTGTTCGCTCTGGGAAAAAGAGGATAAAAAAAGAGGGAGTTGCGAGCCAAAAGAGCACCAAGAAGAGAGAGAGAGAGAGCTGAGCACAGGCACGTGGGGGTAGAGAGGAGGGGAACCAGCCAGTGTGGCACAATGGAGAAAGAGAGAGAGACAAGAGAGGTGCTGGCTACCTTGTGAAGAGGCAGTGAGTGAGGAATTGAGGTGATTTGGGATGGGGTGAGGTGAGGGAGGTGAGGTTAGGCACCATCAGGATTGTCACGCCATACCTTGATTGTCTTGGTTCCTGTCAGGATGATGCTCCATGGCCTTGGCACGGAATGCAGCCTGGTTGAATGGGGTGTGTAAAGGTTAGTAAGTGAGTGAGGGAGAGAGTGAGTGAGTAATTGAGTGGGGAAGCGAGCGATTGAGAGGATGAGTTTAACTGGGCCAGCAGAGAGGGATAGTATGAGAACTAGAGGCTGCGGCCAGGGAGAGCAAGGTAGACAAGGGTTAGAACATCGAGAGAAAGAGGGACGGGAAGAGCGTGTATTGTTGCAAGGATCACCGAATGAAGAGCATACCAGAAACCGGCCAAATGCATAAGCCGAAAGCACACGCGTAGCCACAGAAAGCGAGTGAGTGCGATGTGCGATGTGTGATGATGAGTGTGGTGGATTACAGCTTCTTGGAATGGAATGAAGGGCATTAGAGGCGGAAGGGATCATGAAGACCTACCTTGATCTCTGCTTTTGGAATGCTGTGACCCCGGGAGCTGCATGGATCCACAGGGGCATGCATAAAATGCATATGCAATCACATGCACAGCCGCACAGGCACACACAGATAGGGATGTTGATAGTGATTCAGATACTTAAACACATACATACATACACACACATAGAAGCATGAGGCCATGCCGGCATGGGGGCATGGTTGCGTGTCAGTATGCAATCATGGGGTATATGGGGCCACAGGTAGTAAGAGCACATGCTGCAGGCATACACACCTGTCAAGGCCCAGCGCGTGCCAGTGATCCGTAACCATCTCCATCTCCTCTCCATCTCGAATTGTGTGAACTCTCAAAAACAGACGCACCTGTCAAGCCCCAGGGCATGCCAGTGATCCGTAACCATCTCCATTTCCTCCCACATCCTCAATGAGTGCATGAGGGCATGGTCGAAAAGGAGCTTAGGAGCATGGCGTCATGACGGCATGACGGCATATGGGCATGCGGGCACACGCACCTATCAAGCCCCAGGGCATGCCAGTGATCCGTAACCATCTCCATCTCCTCCCACAGCCTCCCTCCCCTTCCCCCTCCTCCTCCTCCTGCTCCTCGTCTCCGCCGGTCCTCCTCCCGAGCCTGCTCCTCACGTTCGTCCCAGCCGTGGCCGAAGGATCGGCCGTCCCAGTACCAGTTGAAGGTGTGCTGCGTGCGGCTGGCGTGTTGGTAGCGGTGAAACGCCCGCCTGAACTTGTCCTGCTGCCGCCTCAACTCCTCGTCCGCTGCTCTCTGCCTTGCCTGGAGGGAAGGAGAGTGGGGAGGGAGAGGAGAGGGTGGGGAGGAGGGGGGAAGGGAGAGGGGAGGGAGGAGGGAAGAGGGAGGGAGGAGGGAAGAGGAGAAGATAGGAGAGGAGAGAAGAGGAAAAGGAAGAAAGAGAGGAGGGAAGCGGATAGGGAGAAGAGATGAAATGGCATTTCCCACTAGTCACTGCATATCTAGCCCGCACACACACCACGTCAAGCACTTTCACACAACCTCCAAGCTTACGTAACAGAACTAAAATCAGCTCGTTTCTCTCACCTCCTCTCGCAACCGCTCCTTCTCCCGTTCAGCTTGCCCCTTCGCTGCAGCCTCGCCTTCTCCTCGTGCTTCCCCTGCCCCTCCATTCGACCCAGCTGAGCCATAACTTGTGTCAGCCCCACTGGGACCCTCTCCTCTCACTCCAGCCCCGAGCCCTGCTCTCTCGCCCTGCCCCACCCCTCCCTTTCCTGAATCCGGTCTGCCTTGCTGTGAACCGCTTTCAGCAGCACCCCCTCCACACCTCACTCCTGCACTCCCTGCTGCTTCGGCTGAAGCACTGGTGCCACCCGCACTACCTGCGCTGCTGATTCTGCTGCTGCTGCCGCTGCTGCTGCCTCTGGGAGCGCTGTGGCTCTGCATCGCTTCAGAAGCACGAGAGCTCGGCACAGCCTCTCCCTGCTCATGCTCCCCTCCCACATGCTTGTGCTGGTGCTGCTGATACCCCCCTGCTGCGTGCACCCCTGTAGCCTGCTGCTGTGCTGCGTGGTGCTGCCACCGGCTCTGGGCTTGCCTGGCCTGCGCTTGCACACTCTTCAGTTGGGAGGGCGAGGGTGCAGCGAGGTGGGGAATGGGGAGAGGGCGGTTGAGGGAGAGGGCGAGGAGGATGGGGAGGGGGTCGAGTAGAGGGAGAGGGAGTGGGAGAGGGAGAGAGGAGGGGAGAGAGGGGGAGAGGGAGAGGGAGAGGGACGGAGGTGGAAGGAGAAAAAAGGGACACAGTGGAAAAGAGAGAAAAAAGGTGGGAAAACGAAGGAGGGAGTGTAGTGGGAGAAGAGAAGGGGAGAAAGCAGGAAGGTGCTGCAGATGGCGCATGAGGGGAGACCTACTGCTGCTTGCTTGAGTCGCTCGCCGAGAGTCGGCCGTGGCCCTAGCAGCAGCAGCAGCTGTCAGTAGCAGACAGGTGGGCTGCGGAGAAACGCTTTCTTATAGAGAGCCAGATTGAACATATTGTCAGCTTAAAATGGGGAGACGTACTGCTGCTTGCTTGAGTCGCTCGTTGAGGGATGGCCGTGGTCCTCGCAGCAACAACACGGCAGCAGCAATCTGCACACGCGGTTTGGCAGAGGAGCGGGTGGGCGACGGAGGAGGGAAGAGTACGCGTGAAGGGAGAGAGCGAGGAGGATAGTCAGGACAGGCAGGGCAGGGAAACGTAGGAGGAGGAGCGGAGTGACATGCGCGCAGGCGGGACAAATGAAGGCGGCCCATAACAAGCAGACCAAATGGGATGGGCTCTTCTTTGAGGATACTTGGAAAATGCAAGACAGTGACCGGGCATGGGACGGGACCGTAACCGTAGGTCATTACGGGCATGGGACGGGACCGGGCATGGGAGGTAGGTGGAGCTTCGGGTGGACCCTATGGGTGATTCTCACGAATGAGTTCAAGAGGGGTGAATATAAGAGAGGTGAGTGATTGAGACAAAGAGAGATTTCTTTTCTGAAAAGTGGCGCGTCGAAGTCTCTGCATAGACAAACAGCATTGCGCAGCAGCGGGCCGGTCGGGCAAGCTGTGACGCGTTTACCAGTCGATCACAGAAAAAATAAAGAGGGTGACTATGAAGATGTTCAGACTCCTGAGACTGTAAGGCGAGTTCAGACTGACCATACCGCAGCGCCAGTGACTATAGCGAGTTGCGTGCGGGGATGAAGCATACGGCCTCCCCTCTCGTCGTCGCTGATAGTTTGGGGTCTCAAACCGCCAGCTCCTGTCGTGATTGCTGCACCAGCCGCAGCGCTAGAGACGCTACCGCCACCACCCCCACCACGGCCACTACCTCCGTCAGCCATAGCCCTTAACACGGGTTTCTCAGCCTTCGCGATCCGTCGCCGGCGTTGAGTTCACCACAGCGCCACCGAACGAGCCCGATTACTCATGGGAGCTCCACGCTTCTCCTCTCTTTAGGTACCCAGTCATGAGCTCACTTCCGGAAATTTCTCCGACGTAGAACGCGGATGCGAGAGAAGCTTCGTGGCAAGGGCAGTTAAGAAGGTTAGACGAAAGGCTGCATGGAGGTGGTCGAGGTCGCGGGTGCGTGCTACGCGAAACTAACAGTCACATCGCGAGAGGCGTGGTTTTTTGTCATGTGTGGGTCAGAGCTAGTGTGAAAAATGGACAACACAGAGAAAGAGACCGAGGGAGAGGTGGGAAAAAAGAGCAGAGCAGGGGCCAAGTTGTACTAATTGGAGTTGAAAAATTATTCCTGGCCAAGTTATTCCTGGTGGTGTACTAATTGGAGTTGAAAAAGCGTTTTGGGGGGAAAAAAGGCCAAGTTGCTAGGGGGGAAAAATCACTAAACCCGACGGTTTTCAGATTTGTGTCAAATCGGTCGACCACTCGTGCTCCACGTCAGCTCAAATTAGAAAACCAAAACTCCGATCGACCGATCCTTTTTCTACAGTTGAAAGTACGAATTAGTCACCCTGTCGCAAGTGTTACTTCTGCGTTAGGGTTTCTCGAAATTCGTGGGTTTGTGGGTGGTAGCGCTACCGAGTGAGTCAGCATGCTGACCGCGGGCAAAAAATGGCTTACGGCATGCCATTTGGGAGCCTCAACCCTAAATTTTTAGGGTTGAGGCTCCCACGGATGACATGTCGTCCGAGTGGATATTAGTTTTTTTCTTGCCCGCGGTCAGCTTGCTGACTCGATTGCAGCAGGCAGTGCAATATATATTCCAACCTACACGACACCTCGGTATGTACTGTGCAGACCAACACCACGACAAAAACGATATCATGCGGGCCAGCACGTGAGCCTAAACCAAACCTACTTTGACAAAGTTACGTACCTACTCAACACCAACCGATAAACATTACTTCATAACGCTTAAGCTTTTGTAGGGTCGATCGGAGTTTTGGAATTCGAAATAGTGCTGACGTGGAGCACGAGTGGTCGACCGATTTGACACAAATCTGAAAACCGTCGGGTTTAGTGATTTTTCCTGCTAGGGGCATCGTGAAACGAACACACAACCTGAAACTGGTTCGAATATCGATTGGTCAACGGCATAAGTTCTCGAAATTTGGCGACTTGCTGTAACTGAAGTGTCTGTTGGATCACGGGAAATGATTGGCTGCGAAAAAGCACAAGCGGGATTCGTCTAATATAGTATGTGGAGCTTACAGCACACTAAATGAAGCATCTGTTTGACTAAAGGGTTATCCTTGACTATAAGCATTCTGTTTTGCCAAGTTTGGCAGCCATTATGCATCTCAAGCCAGCCTCCTAGAAGCATCGATAGTCACCATACCGCACAACCAGATTCGCTCGTCCGCTCGCCTGCTCGCATCACGCCATGCTGGCAAACCCGCACGTCGCGTTCGCTCACTCGCGCCCCACCAGTCCCCTCATGGCTGTCTCTCTCCGTCATTGCGACACAGTGTCTCCTGGCGCCCACTCTTCGCTGCTCCTGATTTCTCACGCCCCCAAGCGCCACTCAATTTTCGACACGTGGCAATGCGAGCACGGCGTTGCTTCCTCCGCGGACTTATCGGGTCCACACCTTTGCTCATCAAACGCAATCGCGAGTGGTTACCCGCTCGCTGTTGGACGAAAGTGGCTTCGCGAGAGTGGATTTCACGCCAATAGTATTAACGGCTCCATGCCTGCTTTTATCAAGGCAATGCGCGTCAGGAAACCTCCGATCCCAAGCCTCTTGAGAGCGATTCAAGCACCAAACCAGGTGTCTCTGGTTTCACGATATTCTGCAGCATCTTCCGCCAATCGCGCTGGTAACCGACGGATCTTACCTTCTGCAACTTATAAGGAACGGACTTTCCGTACGGCGAACAGCAACAGTGGGACTAGCATTTTCGCTAACTCTTCTTGCTTCACTAGCTCCTTCTCAGCAGCAACCACTAGTTTCTCAGGCAACCGGAGAAAGGTCAGCTGCAGCAGCGTACACGATGGATACGAGAACCAGCCACCTGCTGCTTCTTCTGAGTCAGCTGATACCGGGAACTCGTTGCAGGTACCATTGGCTTCTCCCCTTCTTCCCACTCTGCTCCCCTCCTTCCCCCTCACAGTTCAGTCGCTCTTCGCCTGGTACAATAGTCTCTCTCATAGTACGAGTCTCTCTCGCTCGTTAAGTTGTCTCCTTCGCCTTCCTTGCCCTGCACAGCCCCCACTTCTTCCACACCATCTGCACCCCTCTGTCGTCCCCACAACCCCCCTCCATTCCTCTGCACCGCGTGCAGGCAGCAGCGCCCCTGCGAGTGGCAGTGGTGGGAGCAGGCTTTGCAGGAGTGGCGACCGCATGGCACCTGCTGCAGGTGGGGGAAGAGGAGGAGGGGGAGGGAGAGGGGGAGGGAGAGGGGGAGAGAGGGGGGGAGGGAGAGAGGAAGAGTAGGTGGGTGTATGGCGTGGCATGGTATACATACAGCATATGCACTGTACAGCGCGTTGCCCCCACATCCCCGACAGCACGCAGTCACCACCTCAAACTTCTACACGGTACCTTTGAGATGTCTCAGTTAATCTCAACCCTGTGTGGTGGGGCATGGCATGGCGTGGGGTATATAGCATGGCATGTGGCTCCGTACAGCACTTTGCCTCCAGGTCACATGGGTGTAGTGCAGCAGCAGGCCCATGCAGGTGAGCGCTCGTGCTGCAAGGTACCTTAGAAAGATTTCTACGATTTCTACGAAATTCCTATTAATAATAATAATGTGTTCTGCACGGACGCTTCGCTTCTATGTGCTGTGCGCACACACCTTCTGCGCTCCCGTGCCCACCCCCACCAGCACACGAGCAGGATCAGACCTGTGCAGGTGACTCTGGTGTACGCTGCCAGGTACTTGTGTGAGAACACTCAAAAACCGCCCACCCATTCCATGTGCTGCGCACACACCTTCTGTGCGCCCACGCCCACCCCCGCCAGCACACGAGCAGCAGCAGGCCCGTGCAGGTGACGCTGGTGGACGCTGCAGGCATTGGCGCGGGTGCTTCCGGCGTCTCAGGAGGGCTGCTGCATCCCTTCTCCCCCAAAGGCACGTTGCTTTGCCGTGCCATGCCGTGCCATGCTATGCCGTGCCATGCCGTGCCGTGCCATACCATGCCATGCCATGCCATGCCATGCCATGCCATGCCATGCCATGTCCCATACTCCATACACCCCTGTGCTCTTAGCACTTTCTATCATCTCACGTTACCCTACTGCTTTCCTTCCCACGCCCTTGCCCCACACCCCCACAGCCTTCCCCTACACCCTTTCTCCACAACCGTTCCCCATCCTCCCCCTCCCCGCTGCCCCTCCCAGGGCGGCTGCTGTGGAGGGGCGAGGAAGGATGGCAGTGCACTCTGGAGCTGCTCGCCCTTTGAGCCGTCTCAAAAGGCCCTTTCCGCTCACCCTTCCCCCACGCCCTTCCGCTTCCCCTTCCCCTGCCCGCACCCCCCCAGGGCGACTGCTGTGGAGGGGCGAAGAGGGATGGCGATGCACTCTGGAGCTGCTCGCAGTGGCTGAGGTTGGGCTCATGGCTGATGTCTTACAGTCATTCCCCATACTCCATACACCCGTCCGCTCCCCACCCTCTCCTGTCCCTAACCCCCTCAGGGCGGCTGCTGTGGAGGGGCGAGGAAGGGTGGCAGTGCACTCTGGAGCTGCTCGCAGTGGCACAGGGGGAGCTCAGGCGGAGGGGCGAGGGGGAGGGGAACAGAGAGTGGGGAGAGGGGGAGGCGGAGGCGGATGAGGTAGAGGAGCAGGGCGAGGGAGGACCTCCTAGGCGCTCTCTTATCTTGCGCCGGTAGGCTGATTGCTTGAGGAGGGAAGTCCTGTGGCGGAAAGGCCATGGTGTAAATCTGGGGAGTCAACTGGGGTAACTTATGGGAGAAACTGGGAGAAACCTGGAGAGTCGCACATGGGGGGGATATCGTGGCAAGAGAGTCTCAAAAAACAAATGGTGCCTGCATGTTTTTCTGCCGCCCTGTCTGTCTTTTTTTCCGTCCCCCTATCTGTCTGCTTATCTGTTGGACTCGCAGTCAGTTGGTACGTCTGTGCGTCTCTCTGTCTCTCGCATGTCTATGTTGCATGGCGGCATGGCGGCATGGCGGCATGGCAATGCATGCATGCACCCATGGTCCACAGCACAGGGGGGCGCTCAGACTCCCGGAGAAGCCAAGCCACTCGCAAGACTTCCTCCAGGTAGCATACCCACTCTGCGCCCAACCCCCGTTACACGCCCAATGCTACGGGGGCCCAGTTTGAACTTTCCAAGCTTGCAGCGCTCATGTGTGAGTGTCTGAGGCCTTGGGTGGTTTCACCCCATGTGTTGCGCAGTCAGACTTCATAGAGGCCACCACAACAACAAGCCATGAAGCCATTCTCACTGGCTCAAACAGTGCGTGGGTCTTTCTGGGCTAAGATGCTCTACCAGTCGATTCACCATCCCATATCTGTGGTATCAATCAAATGACATGGAATGGCTTGACATCGCATCGCATGGCATGGCATGGCATGGCATGGCACTTGCTGTGAGCGCAGTATGCAGGTCCCATGGTGGAATGGGAGGGACAGCACCCCATCGGCATGACAGCAGAGGGGAGCAGCACAGCAGCTGAAGCCCTCGCCCCTCTCCCCCCTCCTCGTCCTCCTCCTCCTCCTCCTCCTCCTCCTCCTCCCCCCCCCCCCCCTTCCACTCCTCCTTCCTCCCCCTCTCCCTCTCCCATCTCACCACTCTGTCTCTCCGCTTCCTCCGCACTCGCCCTCTTCCCTCCTCACATGCAGCCCTCTCTACCCACCTCCTCCCCTCACCCCAACGCCCACCCGTGCTGTGCGATGCTCGTGCCAGAAGCCCTCACCATCCACCCGCGTGTCTATCTCAAGGTGAGCAATCTCCCTCTAGGCGTCTTTCGTATTGAGGCGACTGTATATTCGAGTCGCTGTTGACTGAACTCAGGCCATCACCAACCAACCACCCTCACCTCTGCTTCAACATGAGTCAACTCTGTTACCCATACCCTCTCCCATTCGCATGCTCAAGCACACACCCACTTATCCCCTTCAACCCCTCTCCCACTCCCACTCCCACTCCCACTCCCACTCCCACTCCCACTCCCACTCCCACTCCCACTCCCACTCCCACTCCCACTTGACCCCATCTTCACCCGCTCCCCACCCCCATTTTCCAACCCCGTCCGCCAATCCCAACTCTCCACAGTCCCTGTGGGGTGCGTGTGTGCGCTTTTCCCGAGAGGCAGCAGCAGGCAGCAGTCCGGGCACCCACACTCGCCTCGTGCTCGCCTCCCTGCCCTCCCTGGCCGCTCTTGCTTCCCTGCCTGCCACCACCTGTGAGGCGACTGAAGGTCAGGGACATGATGATGAGCCTCCTCCAGAACACGGCAGCGGCGGTAGCATCAACAGCAGCAGCAGTGGTAGTGATAGCGGCGGCACCAGTGGTGGTATTTGCAGCAGCAGCAGAAGCAGCGGCAGCAGAAGTTTCCCCTTTGACATTGTCTTCGTGTGTATGGGTGCCCACACTCTCGCTCTTCCAGAAATTGCTCCCCACCTCTCCTCTCTCTCACTCTCTCGAGGACACATCCTGCACCTCTCCCCTCCTCCCCACTCACATTCCCCTCCACCCTCCTACCCTCCTCCTCCCTCTCACCCTCCTCCGTCCTCCCACCTTCCTCCCTCTTCTCCTTCCGCCACACTCTCTCCCCCTTCACCCCCATTCTCGCCTCCCCTTTACCCAGCATCTGCGCCCAGTCTCCTGGGTTCCACATGGGTGTCTGCTCGCGCTCCTCACCGCATTGTTATTGGTGCCACCAACCACAACCTGCCGCTCCCGCCTGTGCCTTCCCACCCACCATCGTTGTCTCACGTCGCGGCCCATTCTCCCAGCAGCATGAAAAGCGAGTGCAGCAGCAGCAGCAGCAACACCACCACCGCCACCACTCCATCATCTCAATCCCTCACACCCTTCCCCCCTCCCCCTCCGGCTGAAATCGCTGCAGCCTCTGCCACCCTTGTCACCTCCCTCACCTCCCTCCTCCCAGCCCTTTCCTCCTGGAAAATCGTGCGCAGCGTGACAGGCATAAGGGCTATGCCCCCTCGCTCGTCCCTAGGCCGTGTGCCGGTGGCGGGACGAGTGGAAGGGGTGGTGCTAGGGGTGGCGGGAGGAGGAAGCGAGGGGATGAACGGGGGCGGGGAGGAGGTGGAGAGGGGCAGTGCGTTGGAAGGGAGTGAGGGCGTGGGAGAGGAGGGTGTAGAGGCAGGTGGTGTTGCTGGCGCTGCTCCTGCTGCTCCTGCTGCTCCTGCTGCTCCTAGGTATTGCCTCACAGGGCCCATCGGTGTGGGTGGTGGGGGGCCTTGGATCACGCGGTCTGATATACCATGGGTGGGTGGCGAAGCATGCTGCTGCAGCAGCAGTGCGGGGAGATGAGCAGCTGCTGCCGCCTGAGCTGCTGTGGTGGAAGCAGCAGGGAGGGAGGAAGAGGAAAGAGGGAGGCCGGGAAAGAGAGGGGAGTCGAAGGGATGGTAAGGGAAGAGGGGGAGGGAAGAAGTGATTGTGGGTGAAGGGAGATGAGGGGCTGCTGCCGCCTGAGCTGCTGTGGTGGAAGCAGCAGGGAAGAAAGGGCAAGGTGGATGGGGGACGGGGAAGAGAGCGGAGGAGGATGGTAGAAAAGCAGGAGGAAGGGGGAAAGAGTGAGAGTGGGTGAACGGTGATAAGGAGTTGCTGCCACCGGAGCTGCTGCGGTGGAACACATCCCATGATCCCACACGCAGAAAAGCTGCCTTCGAGTTGGGGTTCTGATGAAATACACCCCACACGCAACAACACCATGCATTGTGTCCATGTCGCAATTTAAACATATAAAACTGTCTCTTCCTTTCAGCACACGGTTGTTTCTCCATGGTTAATTGGTGTTACACTTGCACACATGTTCAAAACTACCGGAGGATATCCTAATGGCCATGCATTCCATGACGCAGGCACCTCTCACAGCACAAGATGGAAAGAAATCTACACTAGGTAATAAATATACACCGGTACAAACTGGAAGTACAAGGGAAGCTTTCGCTTCCTCTTTCCCTCCCTAACAGATTTCCCCTACCGGAATCACTTTCCCTTCATTTCATTTTGATAGGAAAATCACACCTACCGACATACATACATACACCTCTGATGTGCAGCTCAATTCATACTACCGTAAGGTACCGTTCTAAGGATCCTCCAGTTTCTCCCTTTCATAACATCTTATCCTGCTGATGCCACTCCCTGGCAGCGGCTCCCCGAGTCCCCCCTCTCCTCTCTCCCTCCCCACTTCCGTTCTTGGAGTTAGATCCAAGGGATCAGTTTAGATAAGCTACAGCTACCGTATTTTCGACTGACGCTTCGGTTGGAACAGTGTTCTCAATTAGTTTCACCGCCACGTGTTTTCTTCCAGCTCCTCCATGACCCGAATGCTATCCCGCACTGTGAATCGCTGTACGTAGCCTGACAGACACGCATAGCATGCAGACACGGGGAACAGGACACGTGGTGGGCTGTTTTGGCACGCAAGTGCGTAGGGAGACATGGCAATTGGGGAATAGGGTGGCGAGATGGGAGCGAAGAGAGTGGGAAAGCGAGAATGGTAGAGAAGCAGAGGGCGAGAGAGAACGGGAGAGAGAACAGCGAGCGAGCGACGGGAGGAAATGGAAGGGGGCAACGTTTGTGATCGGATCCGATTGTGAATCCGAAATGATTCAATGTCGTACCGATGCCGGAGCAGGTGATGCACGTGCCCGTGTAGTCCTTGCCTCGCTTGCGCCGGAACGAAACGTACCCAGTGCCGCTGCACCGCGTGCACTTGCCCGTCCACTGATACACCACCTCCTTGCAGTCCTGCATAATCAAGCATCGCCAGTTCGTGTCAATTCTCGTCGATTCACGCCAATTCCGGCCAATTTCACGCCAATTCGCGCCAATTCCCGCCAATTCGCGGCAATTCGCGGCTATTCGCGGCTATTCGCGGCTATTCGCGGCAATTCGCGGCAATTCAGGTCAGGCTACGCCGATTCGAAAACCCGGCTCGAGGTGCGATTGATCCCGAAGTACGCGGCAGTCGTACCTGCATCTCAGGGTCGCAGCGAACCATCTCTTCAACCGCCTCCAGCGGTAACGGCTGCGAGTTAGGGGCGGTCATGGGCAGCGGTAGCGCGCGGCTGATGTGCAGATCGCTGCGCCAGCCGGATCGCGCCTTGTTCTTCGCGACCGCGGGCGAACGCGCGCCTACTCCTGTTGAAACGGCGGCAGACGCTGCGTTAGCGGCGGTGGCTGTAGCGGCGCTGGTGGCGGCGGCATCGGCGGGGGTAGTCTTGGTGACTGTTTTCGGAGGAGCTTCTGCAGTGGGTTGGGGAAACTTAAAAGGCACGGCAATTGCAGCGGCACTTGCAGCCTGAAAAAACTTTTGCAGCATGGGTACGGGCGAAGGCACGTGGAAGAATCCTCCGGAGTCCGGCATCGGCTGAGATGTCACGGCCGCCCTGCTCGCCACCGAGCCGCGCCCTGGGAGCGGAACTGCAGCGGAATTTCCGCCATGGGCAGGCGTAACGCGGCTGGAATTGGTGGGCTGTTCGGCGGCTTGCGCGCGAGTGAGTTTAAGGGGAGAGGTCGGCTGGAAACCGGTGTGCAACTGGTGATGTCGGTGCGCGTGATGCGGCGGCCAGGTTCCGAGGAAGTGCGCGCGAACGGAGGAAGGTTGCGCGGAGAACATGGCGGACGCGCATGCGCGCTGGTCAGTGAGGCATGGGCACAGCGGAGCGCGCACTGCCATGTGCTGACTGTGCGCGTGCACGTGGCGGTGGAGTTTAATTGTCCCCGGAAGTCGTGGTAACGCGATGAGAGGACGGCTTGGTGAGGATAGCCGTGAAAATTGTAATTAGAGCAGACTTGAAATGATAGGAGGATAGGCCTGGAGAAAGTTAGTGACAAAGCGCCGAGATGGTGCGTGAAGAAAGCTGTGAGCCGATGTAACATCAACAGTGACACTATGGCTAAAGGGTCAGCTGCCAATCTAGCTCGGCTCAACGAAGGTCGAGGACAATGCGGGACTGGAGCAAGTCACAGGGGTAATGAAGTGTGTTCCCTCGCTGGTTGGCCTGCGTCGGCGGTCGACAGTGGACCAGTGGCTGGAGTGATCAACTACCTCAGCGATCAGTGAGTGGCTATGCCAGTGTTGTGTGGTGTCGCATGAGAAAAGGGTTAGTGGTTTGGCGGGAATCGCTGGGCTTTTTGCAGGCGACTGGCTGGTTGGTGGTGGCAGGGAGAGCGCAATGCTGGCAAAAATATAATTCAGATAGGAAAAGCGAATGGAAGGGGAGGAGAGGTGTGACGCGGGTTGAAGAGCTTTGTAGAAGATTTTTGTGGAGTCAAGAGAATTGGAGAAATGGGATCTCTTCGTCAGCGTCAGAGGCGACCATTTTTCGCGAATGTCGCTGGTGAAAGCAGGCATGGCCGCAGAAGGCGCTGCGTCTCGACCAAGAGATCCAACCAGCAAGGCGAGGCGAGAGTGCCCTGTAAACATTGGTGAAAAGCCTAACCGGAAATGGGCTAATCAAGGCGTGCCACCTCATAGCGCGCCAGGACTGCGGCTTCAACCAGGAAGAGCCGTGACATGCGAGGCGGCAGCTGGGCACCCGGTGCGATTCGGCTTCAAATGGATCAGGGGGCTGGGAAGCCACAGAAGTGGGGATCTTGTGTGGCGAGGCGCCGAGGATGATCTCTATGCGCGCCGTATATCCTCGTGGTGCCAGCGAAGATTTTCCTGAAGATGCTGGAATGGCGTTGGAAAAAGTTCTCCTGACCGTGAGGCCACGAAACTTCTAGGGGAGGCTGACTCACCAAAGCGTACCCGCAGGTGGAATTGAGTGACACGTGTACACATCCGTGAAAGTACCCGGAGAAATCAAGGGCCCTCACAAGCTCATCTCCAACATAGGCGGCGCCGAAAATTCAGCGCACCAGATCTATCAAACGTGTAACCGAGCCTCGTAAGAGGCTAGTGTTTATGTAAACAGTCGTCTGGCATGTGATCAGGTCACGCTTGAGCGCGAGGAAGTGTCAGGTGTGCACCATTTGTGAAATGAAACCTCTTGCCACCACCTTGAGCCTGGCGAACGGAAAGGTTGGGCTGAGGCCGAGGGGGAACAGTGCCACAATCCAAAATCCAACAGTAGCATATCACTCTATTGTGACAAACGGATTATAGCTACAACATATCTATAATGTACAAACCACTACCACATGTTCTTGTCCTTACCCCACATGTTAAAGGTTCCCTTTGAAGGGATCTGAGGAATCTATACCTTCCTTAGAACATCCTCTGTCACCGATATCCTCCCCCCTTTGCTGCAGCGCCTCTCCCTGCCCCTCCCCACCTCGCATAACCCTACTCGACCCCGCAAAACCCTCTTCACCCACATCTTCGAGATGCACATCGATGCCACTTCCCTTCACTTCTCCCTCAGCAGCAGTGGAGCTCCCCCCCTCATCTCCCTCCCACCTCCTCCCCCACCTCCTCTTCCCCTTCCTCCTCTCCCCTCTCTACCTCTTCCTTGCCTTGTTCCTGTTCCATCGCCTCCCTTGTCCCTGGACCAGCCATAACTGCTGGCTGCCCCTGCAATTGGATTCTAATAGATACAGAAACGGTTTGCCTGTCTCCCTCTCTGCCTCCAGATGCAGCACAATCAGTTGCTCTTGATTTCTCTACTTCTAAACTACCCTCTCCCAACCCTCCCTCTCCCAACCCTTTCTCCCCCAACCCGCCCTTCTCCATCCGCCACACGCCAACACTCTTCACTCCACCAATCAAGTCCATGTGAACCTTCCATTCCCCCAACTCCCTCCTACGCACCCCCTCCCCTCCTCCTTTCTTCTCCTCTTCCTCTTTCTCTTCCCGTTGCACCGTTCCCTCACTGATAACCCTGGCCCCGTCTTTCCTACCTGTATCCCTCCCTCCCTCTCGCAGCCCTCTCCGCCAAGCGTGCTGCTTCCACTGTGAAACCAAGTGGTTTGGCTTCGCCCCACCTTGGCGCGGTTCCTGTCGCCCTCTCTCCTGCTCATGCTGCTCCTGCTGCTGCTCGAATTCTCTTTCCGGTTGCTGCTGCTGCTGCTGCTGCTGTTTCTGCTGCTGTTGTTGTTGCTGTTGCTGCTGCTGCTCTTGCCGGCGCGCCGTCTGCTGCTTGCTCAAAATCTCATTTGCCCCATTTCCCTCTGGACTGCCTTCGTCCCCCACGGTATACAACCACTCGTCCACGTCATCAAACGAAGCAGCCACGTTGGACGAGGCCAGCGAGGCAGGAGGCGGCAGAAACGACGGGTTGGGAGCAGCAGCAGACGCGGCAGCACCGGCAGGAGCAGGGGGGTGTAACCACAACGGGAAGGCCTGGGAGGGTTGAGATTCCAAGAATGCGGCAGATGATGAGTAGGAATAGAAGGAGACAGGTGGGGAGACCGAGGGATGGGAGGGATACTGCGTGTCGGGAAACGACGAAGTAGAGGAGGAGGCAGAGGAGGAGGAGGAGGCGGAGGAGGAGGAGGCGGATGAGGAAGAGGAGGAGGAAAGACGGGACCTGTTGGTCGCTCTCCACCTTGCCTGCGGAGTTTGTCGCTCGGGCTGAGATTCAACGAAGGTGTTTTCAAGGGTGAAGGCTGCGCGGGCTTTAGCGAGCTGAGCGGCGTTGCAGGGGTGGTGTTGGTCTAGCACGTGGGGGCGCAGGCGCAGCATGACGATGCGGAAGAGGTGGAAATGCTCCACTAGCCACGGCATGTGCGTGCCATGCACGTCTGTCATCTGCTTGAGGGCACATGACACACCGTGGTAAGGACGAAGGGAGTAGGTACGTGCATGTGATTAGCAAGGAGGCAGGATGCACGTAGGGGCGCAGGCGCAGCATGATGATGCGGAAGAGATGGAAGTGCTCCACTAGCCAGGGGAGGTTAGTGGAGAGAAAACTGTTCGCAGAACACACACAGATTCCTAACACACCTGTTCCCACCGTGAAAAGCGGCCGGTCACATCAGTTGCAGTGAGGGCACTCATGCAACGTTAAGGACGCATGTCACATGAGAAGTTAAGCACTCACAGTGGGTCGGCGGCTGTGCCTGCGAAAGAACAGGTCGCTCCATGGTTGGATGGCCGTTCGCAGAGCCACATAGCGAGGCAGAAGCGCAGGGAAACTGGTGACACAGTTTGGATAGTTAGGAGGGGGAGGGATGTGATGTGCAGGGGGGAGGGGAAGGTGGAGCTCGTGCAAGGGACTGGCCTGGGTTGCAGGTCAAAGTGCACACCAGGATAGCATGGGAACATGGAAGCATGAAAACATGGAAACATGGAAGCATGAAAACATGGAAACATGGCAACATGGAAGCATGGAAACATGGAAACATGGCAACATGGAAGCACGGAAACATGGAAACATGGCAACATGGAAGCATGAAAACATGGAAACATGGCAACATGGAAGCACGGAAACATGGAAACATGGCAACATGGAAGCACGGAAACATGGAAACATGGCAACATGGAAGCACGGAAACATGGAAACATGGCAACATGGAAGCACGGAAACATGGAAACATGGCAACATGGAAGCACGGAAACATGGAAACATGGCAACATGGAAGCACGGAAACATGGAAACATGGCAACATGGAAGCACGGAAACATGGAAACATGGCAACATGGAAGCACGGAAACATGGAAACATGGCAACATGGAAGCACGGAAACATGGAAACATGGCAACATGGAAGCACGGAAACATTCGTAAGATTAGATACCGATTAGGTGGCAGCTTGCGCACGCTCTCAATCAACGACTCATCGGCATCCTCGTTCCTGCCGCCACTCCCACCAACGCCACCGCTGCTACTGCTGCTACTGGCGATGCTGCTTGCAGAGCCGAAAAGCCCCTGTTCATCACCTTCCACCCACAGCATGCAGTCCCCTACAGCCGCACGCCACTCCCTCTCTCCCACCGCCTCTCTTTTCACCTCCCCCCCTCCCTCTGCGCCATCTGCGCCGCCTGCGCGGGTGCCCCCAGCAGAGGGGGAGGAAAGAAGCACGTCCGCAGGGAGTGCCGAGAGCCCGTGCGCGCGCACAAGGCGCGCCGCGTGCCGTGCTGCGTGAACCTCGCTGATAGGATCGGGACGGGCAGCCCTTCGCCTTGGTAGACCAGCTTGCGCGGAGGTTTGAGTGGTATACTGTTTGAGAGGTTCCTCCCGTTCCATTTTGCGCCCTCTCGCCTTGGCAGACCCACGTTTCCTGCCGACCAGGCCGCTGCTGCTGCTGCTTCTACCCACGTTTTCCAGCGCATTGCAGGGTGTCGGTTCTGCGGTAGTAGTGCCGGCGCGTTCGGCGCTGTTGTTACCCGCCGTGGCGCCATCGGCAGACGTGCTATCACCGCCAAAGCCATGGCCATCGATGTTGCTGCTGCTGCTGCTGCTGCTGCTGCTGCTGCTGCTGCTGCTGCTGCTGCTGCTGCTGCTGCTGCTGCTGCTGCTGCTGCTACTGCTCGCGTTGCTCGCGTCTATTCTCTCTTTTCCTGGAATGCCGGAACTCTCGCCTTCTCTCCAGATGCTCCTCCTAATTTCTCCCCTCGTATCATCCCCATCGCCGGCGTTCGCGCCGCCATTATTCCCCTGGCTGCAGCGGCAACTAACACAAGAGCTTGCACGAGCATCCGCCCTAAACACGGCGCATCGCGCGAATCCGGATCCGTCGGGTGCGGTGCGCTGGGCAACGAATTCGCAGCCGGATGAGTATATTACGCATCCTCGCGGCGCGTCTGCTTGTGGATGCAGCCTACCACGTCTCTTTAGAGCGTCCGGAGCAGTGTGGGTACTGGTTCCTGACTTGGCCTGCGTTGAATAGGTTGAAGGCAGCGAGAGTTGCCTTGTTGAGCAAGTAACGTCTGGTGAAACTGGAACTGTCCGAGAAGCAGCACGCGCCGAGAGTTCGCCGCCAACGGCGACCATGCCAGCCATTTAGGCGATTGAGTTTCCTAATTTCAATGGGACGTATGGCGATGCGGTCTAGGCCTAGAAGGAATCTAAGGTGGTCTGAATTTCTGTAAGCCCTTTGTCCAATACAAACTATTCCGCCAGAGTGTAAATTTGGCACCAATTAGTACCCACATCCTTCATATGTGTTACTCAATCGACTGTCATGGCTGTATGTGCAGTGTCATGGCTGTTGCACCTAATATATGCAATTATATCATTTCAACATTTGATACTTAAATAAACGCAGCTATGTACGTATATAGTCATTGGGCTAGAATTTGTTTCCAGTGTTCAGGTAATTAGAGGGAGGATGGCCCGTTATTCACAAGAGCAATCAACTTTAGCGGGTCAAGTGCATTAATGGCCTTCTGGTACATCGCGTCGCAACGTCGTTTCTTGTTCGTGCAGCCATTCACGCGTCATTCCGATATCTTCGAAGGCGCCCAGCGATACATTCCATTGGTGCATTCCCCTCCTATTCTGCTACGTGGCATCCAAAGTGCTATGTGCGCTTCGTGGATCCAAACAACAAGCACGATACTTCTTTTCGCCACCCGGGTTACACAACCTGCTTTCTAGAATATGGCGATCTATCAAATCGCCAAACTTCGTTCACTCCGCAGTACCGAAGCATTCCCTAACCTCCATGCGAAACGGTTTACAGCCCTTCCAAACCTTGCCACATGCTACGGCCCCACGGCGAAGCACGGCGAAGCACAGCGAAGCTGACCCGCGCTTGGGCAACGAGGCACGCCATCACCTCCCAACCTCTTGGTACGAGCGTCGGACTGGTTCGGCTCCCCCTCGGTGTTGGTTGGGGTGGTATGGTACGGTAGAGTTCTTCGGCTTTGCAGCTTGCACCTCTTGCTACTACTGTACTGATGCTCGGTGGTAGGTTGTGCCAATGCTGCCTTGTAATCGTCGCCATTTTAGCCCCACCTCTGCTCCAAGTGATTTTGGTTCTGGTAGTCGTAGGAAGGATTAGGTGCTCCTCCTCCGCTTGTTATTTATTTAGCTCCTGATTCAAGTTCAGCCATGCTAACCTGTTACCCCTACGTAAGAATAGGAACAGTTAGCCCTAGAAGTTTCATTCCGGTCAACTGAAAGAGTCCATATTGCGAGCATACTATCGTGTAGCTAGCCACCTGTGTCATCATTTCACCGAGCGTTTTTTCGAATGCCTCTAGAAGAGGCATCAGCAGATAAGTTCTAATTATGTATTTGTAGGGTTTTATCCTGCATCGGTCCTTCCGACGACGATTCGTAGTTCTTCAAACAAGGAGCAGCCATGGGCTGTTGCCACAGCACAGACCAGTTCCTGACCGAAGAAGAGAGGCGCGCTAGAGACGCAAAGTCCGCCGCCTCTGGCGCAGCGTCGGGCGCTCCGACGACAAATCGCGCTGCGCCAGCAACCACCGCGGGAGCGCCTTCCTCAGCCGCGGCCGCTGCAGCAGCCGCTGCGGCAGCAGCGACAGCCGTAGCGCCAAATGGAGGAGCGCGCGAGAAGGCCGAAGAGGCGGAGCAGGGACAGGAGCAAGGGCGAGAGCGAGAGAATGAGCAGCTCACTGCGGGAGAGACGCCAGTGGTAGCATCTAAGAGTGGCGACGTGGGATTGGCTGCCGTCGTAAGCCTTGCTGCAGAGAGTGATGCTGCAGAGGGTCGGAAGAAGGCAGCGGGTGAGGGGTCTAAGAGCCCTGACCGAGGGGCGAAGGGTGTCGAAGAGGAGGGAGTTAAGGACGGCGAGGGCTCTAAGGAAGGTGACGGCGGGACGGCGAGTAGCACACCCCGAGAAGACTCGTCGGAGCAATCGGTGAGAGTGTGTCGGGCGGGGTGCAGTGGGATGGGGTAATGTGTCGCTTGTCAAAACCGCCATGAAAGCAAGCAAGGAAACAAACAAGCAAACGTGCAAGCAAACAAAACGGAGCTTAGCCGAACAATTGCCATGGGAGCCCCTTATCTTAGCACTGGAGAATCAAGGGTCTGCAAGAAGAATCACACACCCACGTGTAAACGCCCTTATTTTCCCCCCCATTTCTCCCCGTTCCCTTGCTCCCGTTTTTCCACTGCGTGTTACCCTGCCGTTGGTGCTGTGCTGCAGAAGAGGTCTCTCGGCAAGACCAAGAGCTCGAAGAAGGGCAGTGGGAAGGAGAAGAAAGCGGGGAAGGAGGACGCGAAGAGCAAGGAGAAAGACAAGGACTCGAGCAAGGGCAAGCAGGAAAAAGCATCAAAGGGTTCGGGCAAAGAGAAAGAGAGCAAGGAGAGCAAAGGTAAGAAGGAGAAGGAGGGCAAGGGGGGCAGCAGCAGCAAAGGAGCCGAGGCGGAGAACGTTGGGAGTAACAGCAGCAGCGCTCCCGTTGCGACAACCAGTAGCAGTTCAGCGGGCGGGGCGGAGGAAGGAGCGCGCGGCGGGAAGGACGCTGGTACAGACCAGGCTCCAGGCGATTCCGCTTCCGCCTCCGCCTCCGCCTCCGCAGTTCCCGCCGTCGACGAACCCCCTGCGACCGCGGAGGAGAAAGCTACCGGAGCTGCGGGGAGAGCGCCCGGTGCCACGTCATCACCAATCTCCCACGCCGGGCTCCACGTGGACACTGCCATCGCGTCTGTCGTGGAGGATTTTTTCAGTGACGACCCGTTCAGCTCCACCGGCGGCGGCGCCAGCGCCGTCTTCGGCGGAAGCGCTGACGTGGAGACTCCGCGAGGGGAAGCTGGGGTGGATGGGGGGGAAACGACCGCGGAGAGCGGGGAGAAGGGCGCGCCCCAGCAGAAGGCGGGGCTGGCGGAGAAGATCCGCGCAGGGGGGCGGGGGATGCTGCGGTCGGTGTCTGCGGTCGCTGCGTCCCCGCGCGGGGGGAAGGGCGCAGCTGCGGGGACGCGGAGCGCGGACCTTCCGGAGGTGAGTCCGCGGGACCGCGGGTGGGGCTTGGGGTTCGCGCGCGCAAAGTCTTTCTCTACGGGTGAGGGGAAGAAGGGGAAGGGGAAGGAGGGGAAGAGCAAAAGCGCGGAGCCGGGGGGAAATGCGGAGGCGGAATCGGATGCTTCCGATGCGCGGACAGCGATGAACGCGCTGAAACGTGTGGAAGAAGGGGAAGAAGCGGAGAGCGCGGAAGGTGGGGGGAAGGGGGGAGAGGTCGCCCGCGCGGATGGAGGGGGAAAGGAGGGGGGAGGGGGGGATGAGGAGAGAGTTGTGGTTGGGGATATGGGGGGTTCAGTTGGCGAAGAGAAGGCGGAGGAAGAGGGGAAGAAAGGGGAGGAGGGGATGGAGGGAACGGCGGCAGTGGAAGGCGAAAAGACAGCGGGGAAGGATGAGGCTGGGGCAGAAAAGAAAGTGAAAAAGAAGGGGAAGAAGAGCAAGGGTAGTGCCAGGGCTGCTTATTATGGGAGTGATGATGAGAAGGAGGAAGAAGAGGATGAGGGGGAGGAGGAGGAGGAGGAGGGTGAGGTTGAAGGCAAGGATGAGGAGGTGGGAGGAAAGGGAGCAGCCGAGGAGGATAGTTCGGAGGAGGAAAAGAAAGCTGCAGAGGATGAAGAGGACTCGGAGGATGAGGAGGAGGAGGCGGAGGAGAAGGAGGAGGGGGAGGGGCCAGAGGGGAGGAGCAGTGGTGGAGGAGCGAAGGAAGAGGCAGAGGAGGAAGACGAGGGAAAGGAGGAAGGCAAGGATGAAGCTGAAGAGGAGGAACAGGAAGAGGAAGAAGAGGAGGAGGAGGAGGACGACGACGAAGACGAAGAGGAGGAAGAGGCTGCGTTTGAGTTGATGCCGAGCGGGCAGAGAGCAGCAGCAGCCGCCGCGGCAGCAGCAGGGGCAGCCGGGGCGGTGCGGAGAGGCGCGAAAGGCGGAGGGCGGATGATGATGGGCGAATCAGAAGCCGCCTCCGCCGCCGTCCTAGGCACGGAAACCGGGCAGCATATGGAATCGCTCCGCAAGTCAGCGGCCGCCATAGTTGAAGTAGAGGGGGGAGGAGACGAGGTAGAAGCGGCGCTGCTTGCGGTCACCCCCTCCACGCGGGAAGAGCTCGCCGCCATGAGCCGCCTCGCGCCCGCGCTCGCCGCGGAAGCCGCCAAGCTGATGCGCATGGGCGAGGCGATCTCCGCGACGATGCAGGCGCGCGGGCGCGCGCGCGAGCCGCTGCAAGACGCGGACGTGCTGGCGAGCCGCGAGCTCGCGGTGGCGGCGGCGGCGTTTGTGGAGCGCGCGAGCCGCGCGGGATCGGGGGACGGCGCGGGGCTGGGGGGATACGCGGTCGTGGATACGGTAGTCATGGGCGTGGTGGCGGGGCTGGCGGAACAAGCCGCGGCGTACGCGCTGGCGGTGCTGATGGCGCACGCGGGCGCGCGCAAGGTGCAGGAAGGCGCGGACGTGGTAATCATGGCGGAGAGCACGGTAGATCTCGCTACCGCCGTCGTGCGCATCTTCGAAGCCATGGCGCCCGGGGCAGGCGGCGGAGCCCGCGACGGGTCCGCGGGCGGGGGCGGAACGGGCGCGGGGGGTGGCGGCGGCGGCGGCGGAGGAGGAGGGGCCGCGGGAAGGGGGTTCGGGCCTGTGCCTTGCGCGAAGCTGGCGGAGCTAGCCATGGGGCATTCGCGCGCGCTGCACGCGAATATGCTGAAGCAGGCGTATCTGAAAGCGGCGGCGCTGGGCAAGCAGCTAGACACAGACGTTCTAGAGTTCGGCCCCCGCACCATCCACTTCTTCTCCTCGCACTTCCGCCTCGCGAAAGACGCGACCGACATGGCGGCGGCCGCCACGGCCTCGCTCGCCGCGCAGGCAAACGCCGCCGCCGGCGACGGCGCTGCTGCTGCTGCTGGTCCGGGCGCGGCTGGTGCTGGTGCGGGCGCGGGCGCTGCTGCGCCGTCTGGCGGCGTTACAGCGGCTGACGTGGCGGAGATTGAGGAGATTAAGCGGCGGTCGCAGGCGCACGCGGATCGCGTGTGCGAGACCGCGGGGGAGGTGGACAACGGGATTCTGTTAGAAGGCGCGGAGCTCGCGACGATAGTCGCGGCGCTCTCGCGGCGCCAGCAGGAGGAGCAGGTGGGCGGGAAGAAGGGCCCCGTCGCGAGCGCGGTGGGGGAGGGCGCGGCGCGGCTCATCCGCAACGCGGCGGTGATGCTCGCGTCGCTGGCGGACCGCCTGCAGCGCGGCGGCGGGGGGGTTAACCGCGGGATCGTGGCGGAAGCGGCGTGCGTGCGCGCGCTGGCGTGCGCGTATACGAAGCTGCTGATTCTCGTCGTGCGGAGCAGCGCGGCGGTGGGGCAGCGGGGTGGAGGGGGTGGTGCGGAAAACGGCGCGGAAGGCGGGGCAGGGGGGGCTCCGCCGCCCCTGAGCTGGCGCAGCTTCCCCGGGCTGATCATGGACCCGTCCGCCGTTTCCGCGTATGCCAAGCTGAGCGGAATTGCCGCCGCGTTTTCCGCCAAGGTCGCAGCTGCAGGCGCGGCGGGGGGCCTGGACGGTCTAGGCGGAGGCAACAGCAGCAGCGGCGGCGGAATGGGAGGCGCGGCGGGAGGCGGAAAGGCAGGAGCTGGGAAGGTAACGGAAGGGCTGGTGTGCGACGCGGCTGTGCTGGTCATGACGGCGTGTAGCAACGCGAAACTATCTCTCTCCGCGGATGGCGGCGCTGCTGGCGGGGCCGGCATGGGCATGGGAGGCGGAGGCGGAGGCGGAGCGGGGGCGGCGGGGTCGTTCCCCGTGGAAGTACTAGACGAAGGGGCGGAACTCGCGAGTAAAGCCAAGGCGTACGTTGCTAGTCTGCAGCAGCGGCTCAGAGCAGCAGCAGCAGGGGGAGGCGGGGGGAGCGGGGAGAACAGGGAGGGGGTGTGGGACGCGAAGTTGGTAACGGAATGCCTGCGCGTGTCTGTCTTAGCGGGCGCGCACGCGCGGCAGGTGGTGGAGCGCGCGCGCCAGATCATGTCCGCGGGCGCGGGCCCCGCGGCCGTCGCCGCGTCCGCCGCGTCGCTCCGCGCGTCGCAGCTGGCGGAGCGCGCGGCGCAGCACGGGCGCATGGTGCTGCACAAGTGGACGGAGGACTGTGCAGTAGACACCAAAGCGGACGAAAGCGCGCGCGCGCTCGCTTCACTAGCGGACGCGCACCTCTCCGCCCTCCAATCCTCCGCGGGAGAACAGCCCGAAGTCCCGTTCTTCCTAGCCGTCCGCTCCGTCGCCGTCGCGGAAGAGGTATCCGCGCTAGTGCAATCCCTCGCGCAGTGGCGCGTGAACGGCGCTAGCATAGGCCTCTCTCTCGTCAACGGCGTCGTGCGCGTAGTGGGCTCTATCGCGCAGCACGTGATCGACTTACAATCCGCGAACGCCACCGTGCGCTCGCTCGTCGGGTGGGACGCGGCGGTAGTCGCGGAGGAAGCGGGGAAGCTGGCGTGGCAGCTCGCGACACAGGCGGCCGCGGGAGATCCGGTGTCGGAGACGTTATTAGTCGACGCCGCGGGGTTGTTATACCGCGCGGTGACGTACGCGCGATCCGTGCAGTCTATGGCGCAGCAGGGGAACTATTCGGATCCTTGCTTGGTGCTAGAGGCGGTAGAATGCGCGGATCAGGCGCAGCGCAGCGCGGAGTCCGTCGCGCGCGCGTACGAGCGCAACGTGGCGGTTAATACGGACTTAACCGCGTCCGCGTCGCGGCTGTCCTCCGCGCTCGCGACGCACGCGTCGCGCCTGCGCCACGACGCGGCGTCTGTGGGCCCCTTCGCGGTGGTCGCGGCAGGCGCCGTCGCGGGGGACGTCGCGGCGCTCGAGATGAACCTGCGCGCGCGCCTCGCGGAGCGCGGGAAGGCGGACAAGGCGCTCGCGGTGGCCGCGGCGCGCGTCGCGTCGCGCGTCGGGTCGCACGTGCAGGTGCTGGGCGCGGGCGTCCCAGGCGCGGATCCCGCGCTAGCTGCAGCAGCAGTGGCGCTAGCCAGTCAGGTAGCTAAACATCTCCAAGTGCTCGCGAGTAAGGCAGCAGCAGAGGGGATAGTAGACGAAGAGGTGGAAAATGCAGCGTCGCATCTGAATACCCTAGCGGGGGGGCATAGAGCGGCGTTGCAGGCTGAGAGCTGGTTCGCAGGGCAGGTGGAGGACGGGAGGGAGGAGGAGGAGGGGGATGGGGAGGGGGAGGATGGGAGGGATGGAGTGGAGGCTGCGGCAGGCGGGGCTGTTGCTGCTCTGATCGCTGTTATTACAAAAGGCCACACACCTGATGATGGTAAAAACGGCGATACCACCGCCAACAACAACACCTCCTCCGCCGCCACCGCTGCTGCTGTGACTAACGGAGTGCTAGCCATCACTCGCATGACCTCGTCCGTGCGAGTATCCAAGCTCGCAGAAGCAGCAGGGCAGCATGCGCAGGAGCTGTGGGACCGGTGCACCAGCAGCACGGCGGTCGACAGCGACGTACTCGCAGGCGGAGCGAGCCTCCTTGTCCTCGCCGCCGGCCACGCGCACGCACTGCAGGTCCAGGCCACGCGCTGCGGCTGGGCCGACCCTGCTTCGGTCGCCGAGGCTCGGGAACTCGGTGAAATGCTCGTGGCGCACGTGCGCGCGCTCGCTGCTCGAAAAACCGAGGGGATCGGCGTGGACGCGGCTGTGTTGGCAGAAGCGGTGAGAGTCACCGCGGGGGCGGTGGGGCATGCGCGGAGGTTGCAGTTCCAGGAGGCTTCTGTCGGGTTTGGATCTGTAGGGGACGCGGTGGGCCTGGCGAAGCAGATCGCGGGCCATCTGCAGATGCTGGCGGGGAAGGCCGCGGTGGGCGCGACGGCGGATGCTACTTTGGTGGGGAATGTGGAGATGTATGCTGGGCTGGTGGAGGGGCACGTGCGGGGGCTGCTCACTCGTTGCCGAAAGACCTGGGGCGTGGGACCGGCGGCTCTGGCAGCAGCAGGCGGAGCAGCAGTGGGAGGGGGAACAGGCGGGGGAACGGGAGGAGGAACAGGAGGGGGAGTGGCTGGTGCGATGGACGATTCCGGTCTCGCGCTGATGTCGGTGCAAGTGGCGGTGCACGCTGCCTTCTACGGCAGTCTCCTGCAGTTCCAAGCAGCCGCCAAGGCCAAGGTCACCCGCGAGGTGCTCGCGGTCGCGCAGGCGTTACTGGAGGCGGTAACCGCGTTACGGCAGGGGCTGGTCCCGCGCGTGGAGGCGGGGAGCGTGTTTGACGACGACTGCGTGACGCGAGCCGAGGAGCTCGAAGCACAGGCCAAGATGCACGCGCCAGCCGCTGCTGCCGGAGCAGGAGGAGGAGGCCGCAGCGCTGCTGGCGCCGGCGGCGGCCGCGGCGCCGGCGGGGGAGTGGGAGGAGCTCTGCTCGCTCTCGGCCGAGAAGCTACCGTGAAAGTCGCGGCGGACGGGGCTCGCCTCGGGGCGAAAGCGGCGTCTCTGGCGCTGCGGCTGGTCACCAGAACGATCGCCTCTGCGGCGTTCCCTGCGGACGCCGGGGTGGAGGCGCAGAGGGTGGCTGAGCTCGCGCTAAGTCAGGCCGATCTGCTCAAGTCTGTGGCGCGCAACAACGCGCACATCGACGCGTCGACAGCTGTCGCGGCCTTCCGCGTGGCGGTCCAGGCGTTTCGGCTGGGGAAGAGGATGCGGGAGCACGGAGGGGAGGAGCGGACGGTGGTGTTGAAAGCCGAGATGGTGGCGGAAGGGCTGCAAGTCGCAGAAGAGGTGGTGAAACTCGCCGGAGATTTGTCAATCCTAGCTATTGATCAGCCGGAGCTCGCGTCCTCGCACGTTGTCACGTACGCGAATGTGACGGCCCGAGTGGCAGGCCATGCTCGGATAGTCGATGGGCAGAGGTCCGCCGCTGCTACTGCGGCTGCAGCGGCGGCGTCGGCAGCAGCGGTGCAGAACCCGCAAGCAGGGGTGCCTGGCATGGGGATTCTGTCGCCTGTGGGGCCACCGAGCGTGTCTGGAATCCCCCCTGCTTCGCCCAGAGGAGGCAGAATATTCGGAGAACGGGGCAGTCTCAGCAGTGTATCTGCTGCTGCTGCAGCAGCCGCAGCTGGTGCCGGTGCAGCAGCAGGCTCGGCAGCCACGGCAGCAGCTGCATCCGCAGCAGCATCAGCCGGGGTGCATGCCGAGCTTTCCTGCTCCGTAGCCCGTCTCTTGGTAGACGCGTCAGTGGAGCTGGCAGCGGCTGTAGCAGGGAAGGAGGCGAAGAAAACCGTGGACGCGCCGGCTGTAGCGCGATCAGCGCAACTAGCAGCACGAGCAGCAGACCACGTGCTGGCTCTGGTCAGCTGGGCAGCTCCCGCCGGCGAGGTTCCCGCAGATCTCATCGCGCGTGCATCAGTCCTGCTAGAGGTTTCCTCCGCGCACACGCAGTCTCTTGCAGAGAAAGCAGTGGCGGGGACGAGGGTGGACGCTGGGTGCGTGACGACAGGAGCGCTGCTCACAGCCGACGCTGCTGCTCATGTAGACGCGCTGCGATCGGCGCCGCGAGTGCTCCCAGCAGAGGTGTTTTCAGACGCGGATGCGCTAGCAGAGTCCGCCAACATGCATGTGGATATCCTCGCGTCTAAGGCCGCGTCTGGCATGGGCAGTATCGACACGTTAACTGTCTCTGCCTCCGCCGCTCTTGTCGCGTCCGCCGCTGTCCACACCTCCCGACTCCAATCCCTCGCCGTAACAGCCGTCGCTGCCTCCACTGCTACACCAATCCCCGCCGCGTTGCTTGAATCTGCCGAGAATCTTGTAGAAGATGTGGGGGTGCATGTAGAGTCGCTTATGTCTCTGGCAGCAGCGCCGGGCACAGCAGCAGCAGCCGGCGGTGGTGCTGGTGGTGGGGGGGATGGAGAGGAGGGAGGAGCAGCAGGATCGCCAATGGCGGATGCAGAAACAGCAGCAGAGGCGTCGAGTCTGGCGTGTGTGGTGATGGGGCATGCAAGGCAGCTGTATCTTGCGCTTCCGCAGTTAGGTTTACCTGCTGTGTGTGCGGGTGTCTCTCTAGTGAGAGACGCTGCGGCGCATGCGGAGGTGATTGCGAGGAAGGTGGCGGATGGGGAAGCGGTGACGGCTGCTGCGGTGCGATCAGCGGAAAGGCTTCAGGCGGGGATGAAGCAGCATTTGAAGGTGCTGAAAGAGAGGCAAGAGGCTGCTGCTGCTGCTGGCGCCGGCGCTGCTGCTGCTGCGGCTGCGGCTGCTGCAGGGAGGGGAAGCAGGGACGCGTATCTTGAGAATGACGAGGGGGATGACAATGATGAGGATGATTATGATGGGGATGGGTTGGCTGCTAAGAAGAAGGCGCAGAGGAAGCAGCAGCAGAAGAAGGCAGGTGCGGCAGGGCATTCGCAAGCAGCGGCGGCGGGAGCGGTGATGAGCGGTGCAGTGCTTGCAGGGCTGGTGCTGTCGCATGCACTGCTGACGGAAGCCAAGGCAGCAGCAGGCGAGAGAATGGATACCAACATGCTCCTGCGGATCACCACTAGCCTCTCCGATGCCTCCTCGGCTCATCTCCAGGCGCTAGCGCTTGCCACGGCAGCATCAGGCGCAGGCATGTTCAAGACCATGACAGGTGGCGGCTCGCAATTGGCCAAGAAGATCTCCACTCATGTGGACGCCCTGCGAGGGAGAGCCTCGGCCGGCGGACGCATCGACTCAGGGCTGACAGCTGTCGCGCTGCGATTGGCCGTGGATGCGGTGGCGCATGCTGCGAGCCTGGAGGCTACAGTGTTCCAGGGTGGGTTGATGGAAGGGGGAGGTGCAGCAGGGGCTGGTGGGAGTGCGAGGAACTTTGTATCTGCGCAATCTCTCAAGGAAGCTAGGATGAAAGCGGCGGGTGGGTCTGGGGTAGGGACGGCAGGGGCTGGAGGGAAGGGGAATGGAGCGGATAGTGGGTTCAAGGTGGATGGGTTGCAGGCGCATGTGAAGATGGTCGAATCACGTGTGTCTGATGCAATGCCTGTGGATCTGAGGCTGCTTTCAAGCGGCACGTCTCTGTTTGCGTCGCTACTTTCCCACGCACGCCAATTGACGGTGCATTGCGCGGCGGTAATGGGGAGTCATGGAGGGAGTACCGGTAATCGTGGATCTGTTGCAGGGGGTGGTGGGTTTTAATTATGGTAAGCGATGCTAGCTTGATTAGGGGTGGCTGCAATTTAGGTGATTGCCTTTGTTCCCACGTCAGGTGGCTAACATTACAGTATGTCTAGATCTATGGTAGCTGAAATTAGAGGCTGGCTTCTGGGGTTGTTAGTGAATTCGTTCAGGGAAAATATGTTGCTGTGGTTGCTGTAGTGATTCTGTACTGAGCCATGTTATTATTTTGACCTTGAATAATGGAAACTGGCATCAAGGAATCGCAGTCAGTTTTGCTGAGGAGGAATGAAGGTCGGGGATTGGCGGAATTTATTGCTCACATCGACGCCCCTGCGTCACGCCAGCTGACGGTGACGTGTCACACTCTTCAGTTGCGTGGTTCGACAGCAGCATCTTCCATCTGTGAATGGGAAGGGCGGTCAAAACTTCATGTGGTCCCAGCTTCCCAGCCCAGTTCGCCGAATCGCGATACTGTCTGGGATGTATACCTACGCAACCGCTATGTACCGCTTTGCTAACGCCAACCATCTGCACCTGGCGCACGAAATTCCAGCCATGCCCTGAATGCTTCATCTCCAGTCAGAATTCAATTGCTGCTTTGCCTGACTGTTTCACACACATTCCAGCCATTCCCTGAGTGCTGCCGGCTTAGCTGCTTCAATAGCCGTATTAGCAATCCGGCTGTTTTGTAGAACCAGGCGTCTATTGAAGAAAGTTGCCGCAGCATACCTGATATCCGCGCGAACAGTGGTAAGGCAACCAGCAATCAGCTAGCCGCGGCGGCACTATATTCGCTCTCTCCACAGTTCCGAACCCTCCGTTCGCCAGACCGTCCACCCATCCGCTCGTCACCATTTTACCATGTTTCTCCGCGTAGCCGCCAAGCGACAGACTCATTGCGCGCCGTTGACGGGAGCCATCATCGCGCCGCAGCTTTCCGCCTTCCTCTCCGCGCCCTCCGCTTCAGCCACCTCCTCCTCCGCGGCTCTGCTTACACCCGCCGTCGCCTGCCGCCCTCCAATCAGCGAAGACCACGCGACCGTCAGTAACTGGGGGCTCTGCAGCGTAAACGACAGTGCCGGCGCGTTTCCAGTTAAGGTACAGTTATATGGTATGATTATCTTGTTGGTGTCCTATGAATCGTGTCTGGGTTGTCATGTCAAATCGGTTTAACTCGTTGAATACAAACACACACACACACACACACACACACACACACACACACACACACACACACACACACACACACACACACACACACACACACACACACACACACAAACAAAAAAAAAACAGATTGAAATTTCTGGGGCATATTAAGATGGCTTCACAAGTTACGAAGTTATATTTCAAAGCACGCGAACCTTTAAATACCTCAAAACACTTTTACAACGTAATATGCCAGTCTCGCATTCGCTTTCTTCCTTCCTCTGCTTTATACCCCCTCGGGCCCATTATCCAGGTGCCACGTCAGCCCGTAGACTGGCGCGGGTTCTCCGCTTCCGCTTCAGCAGCGGCGTCGCCACTCACCGGCAGTCCCGCTGGAGCTCCCAGCGCTGCTCCCGCGGCTAGCGAAGGGGACGTGGTGAGCGCAGAAGCTGCGTAACGGCGCGGGCATGGCCTAGCTTTCCCGCTAATCCTAGTTAAAAACGGGTCTGCACAGGCAGCGTACTTGCATACCCCGTACTCCCATTTTCACACACACTCACACACTCACCCACTCACGCACTCGCGCACCTCCCTTCCCCGCACGCGTGTCACTTGTGCGTTGGAGCTGATTTCGCCCGTACGTTTTTCTACCCTCCATTTTTTTTCCCTCCGCTCCCTCCTCCCCCCATGGCGCCTGGCGGCATTTCAGCCCCGCGTGAAGCTGCTCATAGGAGGCAAGCTTGTGGACTCTACGTCTGACCAGCATGTTCCCGTCATCAACCCGGTACGTCTTGATGTTGTCCTTGATTCTTGGCTTGATGACAAGCCTGGAAAAAGACGTGAAGAATGGCATGTGCGGGTATCCTGGATAAGCCAGGTGACGGCGGTTTGCTATCAGGTATCCTGTGCTGCGCACGTGAAGTCACGAGCATCCCCTCTTCTCACCCCTGCAGTCCCCTTCACCACCTCACACTCTCTCACCACCCTCCTCTCCCTCATCACCCGCCTTTCCCCCGTCTCTCCTTCCCCAACCCCCCACTCCCCCCTCCTCCGCACCCCTGAACCTTACTCGTCATCCCCCCTTTTCTCTCCTCCCTCATTTCCCCCCCCGTTTCCCCCCCACTCCCAGGCGACACAGGAGGTGCTGGCGCATCTGCCCCTGGCGACGCGCGGGGAGTTCAGTGCAGCAGTGCGCGCAGCCGCGGACGCCTTCCCTGCATGGCGCGCCACCCCGCTGCCTGTGCGCGCGCGCGTCATGCTCAAGCTGCAGGAGCTCATCCGCCGCGACATGGTGCGTGCAGCGTGGTGTTGTGATGGGGTTGTGGGCGTAGGGGTGATGTGGTGGTTGGGTCCGCTCTCTGCATGTTGGCTGACTGAGTCCGTCTTGCAAACGTGGTGGTTGTAAATTTAGGATCTTTTGGTGTGGCGGTTTTTGGGGTGGTGTGGTCCGTGTAGGGGTGGGTTTGGCGGATGGGTCTATTCTCTAGGTTGCCTGAGTGAGTGCGTGGGAATGGAGACAGCAGGAGGGCAACAGCATCACTGACACACAGCTCAAATGAGAAAGATGTTCTTGCAGCCCAGGTGCTTCCTCCACCTGGGTATTTGAGCTTCTTCCACCTGGGCAGCTCAGATGTTGTTGCAGCCCAGGTGGAAGAAGAAAAAGCAGCATATGAGCCAGAAATCAAGCCTGAAGTCTCCCTTGGAGCCCTCCATTTTTATGCCCTCATCCCTTGCTCGTCCACTTCCTCCCCATTACCCTGCTTGGTTCCGCATGCCATGCCATGCCATGCCATGTCAACCATGTCATCATGCCATGGCACACCATGTCGTGTGATGTGATGTGATGCCATGCCGTGCACCACATGTGTCCACAGGACAAGTTGGTTCTGAGTGTGACCACGGAGCAGGGCAAGACACTAGCAGACGCACGGGGGGACGTCTTCCGTGGCCTTGGTGCGTGCCCTTCTCCTTCCCTCCCTGCCTCCTTTTCTTCCTCCCCCCTTCCGTCCTCCGTTGCTTGCTCCTCATTTTTCTTTCCTCTCTCCTCCTCGTTCCTCTCTCCACAGAACCTCTCATTCTGCTTCGCCCCCTCTTTTGATGCCGCTTTGACCGAATGGATGGATTGACTTTCCTAGCCTCCTCTTACAGCATGACCATTCTGTCCATTCATGTGACGTAGTCAAATCCCTGCCATCACGATACTTTTGAGAACTCTCAAATACACCCTGCCGTCACGATGCCATTCATCAAGCGTATGTTTGTTTCCGTGCGCATGCTCTCGTGCTCACGCTTTCTCACACTCTGCCGATGTTCTGGTGCTCACCTTTTCTCAGGGTTTAGGGTTACCCTCATGTTCTTTCTTTCTCTCTTGTACTCTCTCATGCTTTTGCTTCCCCCCACGCCCTCCCACTCCCTCCCTCCTCTCCGATTGGTGCACGGCAGAGGTGGTGGAGCAGGCGTGTGCGATGGGAACGATGCAGATGGGCGAGTTACTGGAGAACGTGAGTGCGGGCGGCGACACCTCTTGTTCACGCTCTGCTCATACTCTCATGCTCTTGCTCCCTCCCACACGTTCCCACGCCCTCCCACACCCCTCCCTCCCACGCCTTCCCTCGCCGCTCACTTGCACAGAGGTGGTGGAGCAAGCGTGTGCGATGGGAACGATGCAGATGGGCGAGTTATTGGAGAACGTGAGTGCTGGCGTGGACACCTACAGCATCAGGCAGCCTCTCGGCGTGTGTGCCGGCATCTGCCCGTTCAACTTCCCCGCCATGATTCCCCTCTGGGTGAGGCCTCATCTTTTCGTCTTCCGTGTAACATAAAATGACTGCAATCAGTCTTCTGTTCCCGATGCTGGGACAACGGCCTGCCCAACTTTTCCTCTTATTCTTTTTGTTTTTATTTTTTTGGGTGGCTAAGTCTCCTCAGACATAGCCTCATGTTCGCGTCCCAAGTCAACTCCGCCTGCCTGTTTCATTGCAGATGTTCCCGTTTGCAGTGACAGCGGGCAACACATTCATCCTGAAGCCATCGGAGAAGGACCCGGGTGCTGCCATGATGCTCGCTGAACTCGCCCTGGAGGCTGGCCTGCCCGCTGGCGTGCTTAATGTCGTGCATGGCACGCATGTGAGTGCTGTGTGGTGGTGGTTGTCGTTCACACATAGCAGGGGATGCTGTTGCACATGGTGTGTTTTGCAAAGTTCACATCTCGCCCTGGAGGCTGGCCTGCCCGCTGGCGTGCTCAACGTCGTGCATGGCACGCATGTGAGTGCTGTGTGGTGGTGATGCTGGTGGCACTTAGTGCCATACAATGTTATGACCTAGCTCGTTTAACCCATTGTGATGCTCAGCATTCATCGGTTCGATCGGTAGACTGCTTACTCGACTCACCAATTCCGCTCCTTTTCCTGCTCTTGCCCATCGCTGTGCCATGCCACGCCATGCCATGTCATGCCATGTCATTGCATGTCGTGTTATGTCCATAATGTGATGCCATGTCATGCCATGCCATGCCATGCCATGCCATGTCATGCCATGCCATGCCATGCCATGCTGTCTCAGGACGTTGTGAATTGGATGTGTGACGAGCCTGAGATTCGGGCAATCTCATTCGTTGGATCAGACAAGGTAAAGAATCTCACCACCCTCTCAGCTGATCCGGTGGCATTTACGGCTTACTCGTCTTGTCGTTTGTTTACTCACTGCTTACCTAACCTTCACCACTCATTGCTTACTCATCTCATTCCCATCCCATCCTATCTCATCCCAACCCATTTCACTTGAATTAGACTCCCCACTTGCGTACAACACCACAACATAACGTCTCCCTCACCCCTTATCCCCTCTTCTCCTCTTCTCTTCGCATCATCTTTACATCACCTCGGCTACGTTGCACGCACCTCTCGTTTCCCTCATGCCCACCCACGCAGGCAGGGCGACACATCTATGCACGAGCAGCATCACATGGCAAGAGAGTGCAGGTGAGTGGTCGACTTGCTACAGCAGGCGTGCTCAGGCTATGTTGGCAAATATGTGTTTAGCGTAGTATACGTCATCGTATAATAAGCAAGAGTTTTTACGGAATATGTGACGGGACTATTTCTAGAAACACATGAGAATCCGCGGTTTCAGGCAGTATAGAAAATGTCGGGCGGGGAAGGCAAGACACATCTCTTCCTCCGAAGTTTGTCTTCTTTTAAGTATCCGCGACAACTCCTACAACCATCAACAAGAAGGCAAGGAAGTTGAGGTGAGTTTGGTTAAATGCAAACGATGCGGAAAGGAAGCGTCTCGACAACTATAAACCTGGAGGTAGGTGGAACACGTAAAGAGGAGCGAACATGGAGCTTGGAGAATGAGCTGGGGAAAAAAAGGGGCTCGACAGGCTGTTGAAGAGGATGGTAGAAGCGATACATGAAGGATTGGAGGAAACGAACAAGGAGAATAGGGAGGCAAGTGATGCTCAAGTGTCACATTTGATAGTGGAAGATGCGAGGCTAAAGAAGGCGGTTGAGGGCGTTGAAAAGAATGTGTTGCATTTGTCGTTTGTTTCAGCGTCCTCAACCGCCTTCTTCAGCCTCGCAGTTTCCGCTGTCAAACGCGTCTCCTGAACGTCAATTGTGTCCCTATTTTTCTTGTTCGTTTCTTTCAATCCTCCATGTATTGCTTCTATCATCCTTTTCAGTAGCCTGTCGAGCCCCTCTTTGTCCCGCAGATCATTCTCCAAGCTCCAAAACTCTCTCTTCTTTTTCTCTCTTTTTTTTTTCCTTCTTCTTCTTCTTCTTTTTCTTCTTTTTTCCTATTTTGTGATGAGATGTCTGAGCGTGTTTTGCCATAGTCAGTACGTTTTAAGAATTGCGTATAAATGCTTACGTTTGTATGCGCTACCCCCCGACCCCCCCACACATCGTATTTCCCAACATAGTGCTCAGGTAGGGGAGGTGAAGATGGGGGCCATTGAACCTGTTTTGTTTCCTAGGCACATTTCGCTTTGTTCTGTATTTTGGAGATCCCATGCACTGCCGTGCTACCAAAATGGCTCATTTCCCCCAACCCCACAACCCCTCCCCCTCCCCCTCCTCTTCCCACAGCTCTCCATCACCTCTCCTTCACCTCTTCTCCTCCCAGTCGCTTTTGAGAACTCTCAAAAGCGACATTTATCCAGTCAAGCACATCCCCTACTTTTCCCTCATCTTTCTTCACATTCTCCTCCTTGCCGTCTCACTCTCCCCCTAACTTCTCTCTCCCCGCGCCCTGGAACAGTGCAACATGGGAGCAACGAACCATGCAGTGGTGTTGCCAGACGCGGACCCACACATCCCTGCCTCTCCTTCACCTTCCTTCACATTCCCGCCCTTGCGCTCTCTCATTCTCTCCCCGACTGTGCCCTCCATCAGTGCAACATGGGTGCCAAGAACCATGCAGTGGTGTTGCCAGATGCAGGCCCATACATTTCCTGCCTCTCCTTCACCTCTCTTCACATTCCCCTCCTTGCTCTCTCACAATCTCTCCCCCCGCGCCCTGTATCAGTGCAACATGGGGGCGAAGAACCATGCAGTGGTGCTGCCAGGCGCAGACCCGCACACTCCCCTTCACCTCATTCTCCTCCTGTCTCTCTCACCCACCCCCCCTTTAACTGTCCCCCTTTCTCCTTCTCTCTTCTTGCCCTGCAATAGTGCAACATGGGGGCGAAGAACCACGCAGTGGTGCTGCCAGACACCGACCCACACAGAGCACCCCCCTTAATCTCATTCTCTATCTGTCCATTTCTCCTTCTCCCTTCTTGCCCTGCATCAGTGCAACATGGGGGCGAAGAACCACGCAGTGGTGCTGCCAGATGCGGACCCGCAGGCAGCAGTGAATGCGCTGGTGGGGGCGGCCTTTGGGGCAGCGGGGCAGCGCTGCATGGCCATCAGCACTGCCGTGTTTGTTGGGGGCTCGCAGCAGTGGTGAGATGCGCGAGAGTGGGAGAGGAAGCGAGGAGAGAGGGTGAGAGGACAGAGGGCGAGGTGAGGTGAGGCGCGTCAAGAAGCGTTTGGGGCAGCGGGGCAGCGCTGCATGGCCATCAGCACTGCCGTGTTTGTTGGGGGCTCGCAGCAGTGGTGAGATGCGCGAGAGTGGGAGAGGAAGCGAGGAGAGAGGGTGAGAGGACAGAGGGCGAGGTGAGGTGAGGCGCGTCAAGAAGCGTTTGGGGCAGCGGGGCAGCGCTGCATGGCCATCAGCACCGCTGTGTTCGTTGGGGGCTCGCAGCAGTGGTGAGTGGGGGGCCTGTCCTTTTCTAGTGTAGTCTGTTCGCGGAGGCCCTCAGAGTGTTTTCGAAAAAGCACGCTGCATGGCCATCAGCACAGCCGTGCTCATTGGGGACCTCTCTTGGTGGAGTCAGCATCGCACACCTGTGTGTGTCAGTCAGCACAGACCCAGGAGCGGGCTTGGGCAGAAATCCCCTCAGCCCTCACCAACCCCCCCCCCCCCTCTCCCCCCCTCCGTTCCCCCATTTTCCTCGTCCCTCTTCCATCAACCGCACCCAGGGAGCCTCTTCTGTTTGAGGCAGCAACGCGGCTGCGAGTGGCAGTGGGCATGGACCCAGCAGCGGACCTGGGCCAAAGACACCCAGATACGCATGCTCAAATCCCCTCACCACACGCCACCGCCTCCCATGTACCTGTCCCCTCCTCCATCCCCCCTCTCCCAGGGAGCCTCTTCTGGTGGAGGCAGCAAAGCGGCTGCGAGTGGCAGTGGGCACGGACCCAGCAGCAGACCTGGGCCCGGTGATCTCGAAAGACACCAAGGCACGCACAAGCAAATCCGCTCACCCCTCACCACCACCTCCCGTGTACCTGTCCCCTCCTCCATCCCCCTCCCCCCAGGGAGCCGCTGTTGGTGGAGGCAGCAACGCGGCTGCGAGTGGCAGTGGGCACGGACCCAGCAGCGGACCTGGGCCCGGTGATCTCGAAAGACGCCAAGGCGCGTATTCACTCCCTCGTGGACAGCGGCGTTGCTGATGGCGCCCGCTTGCTGCTGGATGGCCGCAACGTTCAGGTGAGGAGTGGGTTGGAATGAGGGGGATGCAGGGAGGGGGAACGTGGTGAGGGGGGAGCTGGGAGGGTGGACGCGGGGAAGGTTTAAGGGGAAGGGAAAAGGGCGCTAGGGAATGTTGAATGGGTGAGATCCCATGCCACCTAGTTTTCTCCCACCAGCTTCGCTGTTTATTTGTCCCTTGTCTTGCCCATCAATGCACCCTCTCTCATTCCTATCTTCCAGTTTCTGTGAACCGTGCCTCTTCTCCCTCCCCATCCTTCCATACTTAGTCTTTTCTCCTCCCTTCCCTCCCTCCTCTCTCCTGCCTTCCTGCCCTCCTTTCCCCTCCTAACTTCCTTTCCCCTCCTGCCCTTCTTTCCCCTCCTGCCCTCCTTTCCCTTCCTGCCCTCCTTTCCCCTCCTGCCCTCTTTTCCCCTCCTGCCCTCTTTTCCCCTCCTGCCCTCCTTTCCCCTCCTGCCCTCCTTTCCCTCCTGCCCTCCTTTCTCTCCTGCCCTCCTTTCCCTCCTGCCCTCCTTTCCCTCCTGCCCTCCTTTCCCCTCCTGCCCTCCTTTCCCTCCTGCCCTCCTTTCCCCTCCTGCCCTCCTTTCCCCTCCTGCCCTCCTTTCCCCTCCTGCCCTCCTTTCCCCTCCTACCTTCCTTTCCCCTCCTGCCCTCGTGTCTTCCTCCCCTCTCTCCCCCTGCCTGCCCTCACCCCACCCTGTGCACTCCACCACCCAGGTGCCAGGATACGAGAGCGGCAACTTTGTGGGTCCCACCATCCTAGCGGACGTGAGGGAGGGCATGGAGTGCTACAGGGAGGAGATATTCGGCCCCGTGCTGCTGCTCATGTCTGCTGACTCACTTGATGATGCCATTGCGCTTGTTAATCGTAATCCCTATGGCAACGGCACTGCTATCTTCACGTCCTCAGGAGCAGCTGCCAGGAAGTTCCAGAACGAGATCGATGTTGGGCAGGTGAGCGAGAGGAGAGGGGAGGGAGGGAGTGAAACAGGGGGTGCTGGGCTGGGTGTTAGAAGGGATGGAGAGAGATTGGAGAGTGGGGAGCTGTGAGGCGGTGTGAAAAACGAAGGAATTGATGATGTGCTGTTGCTGTGCACTTGTCCCCTACGAACGCCACTTGCTCTACATTCCTCCCTTCGCCTACCCTTAGTCCCACCCCCATCCTCCATCACCCATCACCCATGATCGTTTGCTTTTCCCACTTCCTTTTCTGTGCATGTGCATTCACAGGTTGGCATAAACCTGCCCATTCAAGTGTCTCTGCCCTTCTCCACATAACTTCCTCTCACCCCAACCCCACCCCATCCCCTTTGCTAATGTGCAATTTCTTTTTCTGAACGCGTGTATGTGCATCCACAGGTGGGCATCAACCTGCCCATCCCAGTGCCGCTGCCCTTCTTCTCCTTCACCGGCTCCCGGGCCAGCTTCGCGGGAGACCTCAATTTCTATGGCAAGGCAGGTGTACAGTTTTACACGTATACCAAGACTGTTACTGCGGCATGGAAACAGCCAAGCGGGTCCGAGTCTAAAGTGGCCATGGCTTTCCCGACATCTCAGAAGGTTTAGAGGGGATGCGGCGACGTGTTTGTGGCTGTTAGAAATTTTTCATGTGAATATTTCGTTCAAGCTGTTGTTTTAGTCACTTAGCTTTTGCTGTTTACCTGCTTTTTTCTGCATTACAGTTTTTTGCTTGTTGGATATGGCACTCCGTATTGTCCATACTGTTAATTCTTGCATTGTGTTCCCCCAAACAAAAGACCCCTCTGAAATACACCAGGTCTTAAATAGTGGGACGGATATTTTATTTAGGCATGTTTTCATTGTAACCCCCATAAGAAACTTTGTAATGCGCATCAGATCGTCATCGCTTTTCAACACTGCGCACCGAACCCAACCATCCAGCCGTTATCCTTTCCAAATTTCACACACATCGCCGCCATGTGGATGCTGCGCGCCAAGCCACTCTCAGACCCCTCCCTCCAACCACCACCGCCGCCGCCGCCATGTCACCGCTCCTCCGCCTACCCGACGACTGCCTCCTGCTCGTCCTCTCCCTCCTCCCATCCACCCGCGATCGCAACGCGCTCTCGCTCGCTTGCCGCCGCCTTCACCGCTTAGACGCCTCGTCCCGCCGCTCTCTCCGCATTGGCTCCGGCCTGCACCCGGCAAGTGCGGCGCTCGCGCAGCTGCTGGGCCGTTTCTCGCGAATCGCCGATTTCCACGTGGACTATTTTGGGTGGGAGCCGGCGCAAGGCCCGCAACTCGCGGACGATGACGTGGCTGCATTAGCGCTGTTAGCCAATCAATGTGCAACTCCTATGCCCCCCTCGGAGCATTGCTATTCTAATGGCGTGGCTCTTCCCCCCCTTCTCCCCGAACCTCCCCCTCCTCCCGCCGCTCCCCTTTCTCCAATACCCCCCTGCTCCGCCATTTCCGTCTCCGCGCACCTGCTGTCCTCCGCTTCCCCATCCCCTTCCCCGTCCTCCCCGTCACCTTCCGCCGTTCCGGCGTTCTCCCCGTTTCGGCGCCCCTTAAGAGATCATGGCGTCACCCACACCCTTCCCCGCGATCAGCCACTCCCGTTGCGCCACGTGTCCCTCTCCTTCACGTGCCGCGTCACCGACGCCGCCATGCCTCACCTCGCCTCGATCCCGTCCCTCACCTCCCTGCGCCTGGACTCCGTTCCATGCCTCACCGGGCGGGGACTTTTGTCCGTCGTGACGGGTTGCCGACAGCTACAGTGCCTGCAGGTCGAGAGGTGCACGAACGTGCGCAGTAGTGAATGGATCGCTGCGATTGGGGAGAGATGGGAGCAGGCAGGTGGGGGAAAAGGCGGGGATGAAAGCGCGGTGGAAAGCAGCAGCAGCAGCGGAGGCGGAGGCGGCGGCGGCGGCGGCGGTGGCGGCTGCAGCAGCGGTGGCGGCAGCCTACGTAGCCTGGCAGTGGTGAACTGCCCTGGCATAGGCGAGGCAGACCTGTTCACAATGCGACCGGCAGCATGGGAATCCCTAGAGGAGCTGCGTTGGGAGATGGACGAGGACAGCACCCTCTCTGCACTTCCTGCTTCTGCTACCTCTGCCGCCTCCTCTATGGACTGCCTGTCCGCAGTTGCCTGCCCGAGGTTGCGTGTGCTGCGCCTGGCCAACTGCCCCAGTGTGCCTCGTGCGGGGCTGGCCCTGCTGCTGCTGCAGCTGGCGCAGCGGCATTACAAGGAGCAGGAGCAACAGCAGCGACAGCAACAGCAACAGCAACAGCAACAGCAACAGCAACAGCAACAGGAACATTTCCTGCAGCAGCAGCAGCAGCAGCAGGAGCACTTTCAAGAGCCAGTGAACGCTGCAGCCTGCATGGGTCGCCATCAACGCCTCTCTTTCCGGATGCCCAACCCGCACACTCCCTCTCCTCCTTATCACTCTCCTGCCCGTCCTCCTCCCCTGGCGCAACCCAACCACCAGTCACAATGGCAAACGCAAGGCTGCCACACTCACGGAACCTCACCGGCTGCTCCCCAAGATACTTATCATTGTCCCCATCCTCCTCCCCATCCTCTTACCCATTCTCATCGCTGCAGGAGCTTCAGCTGTATGGGTGCCCTGGCATATCAGATACCACAATGGCAGTAATTCTGCAGTCCATAGGCTCCTCTCTGCTCACTCTCGAGCTGAAGCTCTTCAAACAGCTGCACTTCCTGCCGTCCGTCCCCAGCGCTCCTCTCACCCTTCACCACCGCGCACAACTCCCTGTATCCCCCGCTTCACTCCCCACGACCTCATCTGTACCGCCATCAGCGGCAGCTGCTGCAGCAGAAGATACCATATCGACAGTGGTGCAGTCAGGATTGGGATTATCAATGCAGTTTGATCAAGCATCAGCAGCGGCGGCGGCAGCATTCAAAGGGTGGGCGTCAGAATCAGCCGCATGCGTCGCGGCAAGAGCAGCAGCACGGATGGAGGAGGCCATGGGTCCATTGTCATTGAGAGCACTCACAACTGCATGTCTTCCTCTCATCGCCCGTTATTGTCACAAGTTGAATTTCCTGGAGCTGCTGACGTGGAACGATTACCCGCTCGGTGCTTCTCTATTTGCTGGATTTGCTGACGTGGCGGTTGAGCAGCTGCTGGTGGCGTGTCCTCGCTTGGAGGTGCTGCGGTTGGATAAGGGCTTTCATGTGAGCATGTGTGTGGTGATGCAGGCACATCCCCGTGTTGTGATAGTGGATAATAAAACACAGCACTGTGTAATGTAAAATATTACCAGTACCGCTTGGTGTCATGTTGTAAAAGCTATATGGTCAGGCAAATGTGTTCATATGTGGCATCAAGTGCTGTTAAGCCTCGAAAGAACAGCTTATTCATGATTATGGTGTTTTAGGACAGATATAGTTAATATTCTAGATACGTGAGTAAACCACTGGGACACGGTTTCAATATGACAGCGAATGTTACTCTGGCCTTTTGCTTCGCAAATATCGCAGCTTGCCATCTCATTCCAAATTCTCCCATACAATCGACCAGCACTGTCCCCAAAACCCTAGCTGGCTAGCCATCCCTCTCATCTTCCCCACCCCCTTCTCCTCCACCCCATCCCCATAAATTTGCTTCTCGTTTGTTTCTTGAACCCAAATCCTTCGGTGCCTTGTCCATATGTAACTCAAAGTTCCAGCGACTATCCAAGCCTCGTGTTTTCTCCAACTCGTCGCACGTTTGAAGGGTAAAAAAAAAAAACAGTTACTCCTTCTGGGTGACCTTCCGATTCGTGGTTCTCGTTCTCCGTTAAACCCGCGATACTGACGCGGCGGTCGAAATGCCAGCAGCAGTCACGCCCGCGCGGCGACAAAGCGGGTCGCCTGCGCGCGGAAAAGGCGGCGGCGGCGGCGGCCGCGGCGGAAGTGGCGGTAAAGGCCTATCAATGTTCCCCAAGACAGGGAATACCCCTCGGGGGGGGAAAGGAGGCGCGGGGAGGGGTGGACGAGGAGGTGCAAAGGCAGGGGCGGCGGGAGGAGCGCAGAAGGCTACGAAAAAAATGACGAAATTGGAGCAGGAAGAGGAGGAAGAGGCGGCGATGGTGGAGGACATTGAGGAAGAATTGAAACTCGAGGGTTTTGGCAAGGGGAAGGGTTTGGCAGAAGCAGAGGAGGAGGACGATGAGGAAGAAGGGGAGGAGGAAGATGAGGGCGAGGAGGACGAGGAGGATGACGCGGATGAGGCGGATGAGAAGGATAATGTTAAAGCGGCGGGCGGCGGGAAGGAGAGGGCGTTCAGCGACGAGAATCAGTCGTGGCTGAAGGTGAAAAAGAGGAACCTGCTGGAAGGCGACGGCGATGACGACGAGGAGGATGATGACGATGCTATGCCTGATGACTTCGAAGGTGAGGAAAATGGTGTGCGTACCTTCGGTAATAACGCATTCACCTATGCCTTCGTGTTCCGCACCTGTCCACTTCTCTGTTACACGAATTGGTATCCAATGTTTTAGCGCCGTTTTGAGGCGCCTCAAAAACTTGATTCTGCGCCGTTTCTGCAGGTTGCTTCGTGCCGCCTTTGTTTAGGAATTATCGAGGAAAAAAGAGAAAACTGCTTGATGTTTCTCCACTCGTCTTCAGGTGGCGAGGACGACGACGAGGAAATGGACGAGGAGGGGAAAGAGGACGAGGACGACGACGAGGAAGAGGAGGAAGAGGAGGAGGAGGAGGAGGAGACGGCGTTTGAGCGCAAGGCGCGGAAGCTGGAGGCGCGGAGAGCGAAGGAGGCGGAGGACGCGGAGGCGGAATTGCAGCTCAACATACAGGACGGCGAGGACGTGGGACTGCTGCTGCCCACCGACGAGGTGCGTCCTGCGTGATAAAAGACGTGTTCTGAGACGTCTTTAAACATGCAGGACGGCGAGGACACGGGGCTGCTGCTGCCCACCGACGAGGTGCGCGGTGGGGGGGATCGTTGCGGGGGTTGTTGCGGGGTTGTTGCGGGGGTGATGGCGGGATGTTTGGGGAATGTTGTGCGTGCTGCTGAGGGTGTTTGGTTTTGGGGGTTCGAGACGGGAGGGGTGGGAAGGAGAGACGCGAGGGGACAGATAGATTATAAAACATTCTCTTATCTCCTCGCCGTCTTACCTGGCCTTGTCGTACCGACCCTGCCCTGCCCCTCATGTCCATTGTTGCTCCTGTCGGCCCAATCTCGGGCTCTCACACACATTGTCTCACCTCTTTCGCCGTCGCTTTTTCTCTTTTCCTGCCGGCATTCCCCGAGGAGCAGGAGAGGGAGGCGGAGGCAGCAGCACCGCCGGACCTGTCGGTCATTCAGAAGCGGATCAACGACAGTGAGCCCGCTTATCCTACTGCATGCTTGTTCTCGTCTCCGTCTCCCTGCATGCAGTCTCTCTGTTCACTCCCATGTTCCCGACCCTTGGTCTCATGTTGCCGCACCAGTGCCCTGATCCGGGGTTTAAGCAAAACCTGAACCCAATGCTTTCACACTTCGCCAGTTTCGAAACTTGTTTGTAGGTCTACATATGTCCTCTTCTCTCGTCGAGCTGTTTGCAGAGCAGCCGCGTGATGCCACCCTTTTGGCCGAAAGAGGCGCTCTCGCTGCCTCTCATGCCGGCCCTACTCATGTCATAGTTACTCTGATGGCTGCGCTCACTGCTCGCACTCCCTCTTTCGTGGTGTCTGCTCTCTTAAATCAGTAGCTTCATACATGACACATGCCAAAGTCGGGACATAGCAATATATATGGAGGAAGAAGATGAAAACGAGGATTATCTGCGGATATATATGTCTCCTGTTTCTATCCGGCGCCTCTTATTGCCTTCCCTACCCTCTCGCCTACCCTCCCCGTATTCTTTCCCCTGTTCAATCCGCTGCCCGCCCACTTCCCTCCCGTGTTACCCCCCACCTCCTCCTCCCCCCGTCCCCGCCCCCGCCCCCGCCCCCGCCAGTCGTGCGCGTGTTGGGCAACTTCTCCAAGCTGCGCGCGGAGGCGGTGCCGCGCGCGGCGTACGTGCGGCAGCTGGCGGCGGACCTGGCGCTCTTCTACGGCTACAATGACTTCTTCATGGACGCGCTCATGCAGGTGCGGTGGGCTTACCGATGGGGCAGCATTCGGGGTTTAAGCTAAACTCGTGCGCAGGGGGAGGGGGGGGGGGGGGGGGGGGTGGGGCGGGGGGGTTCAAGGTGCTGAAGCTGGCGGCGGACCTGGCGCTCTTCTACGGCTACAACGATTTCTTCACGGACGCGCTCATGCAGGTGCGTGGGACTTACAGAAAGGGCGCGCATGCAGGTGCGCGCATGCAGGTTCTCGCATGCAGGTGCGCGCATGCAGGTGCGGGCATGCCGGGGATCTGACTTGTAGGGAGATCAGGGGTTAAGCGAATTTTTCTGCGGCTGGGGTTTAAGCTCATGCTGGTGTGGATAAGGAGCTGATCTGGGGTTTCTCGTGCCTTTCCACCTCAACGGTTGCAGGACTGCATGGGGATTATGCGTTGTTCCGGGGTTTGGGGAAATGGCCTCGAGGGTTCGGGGTTTAAGCCATTTCCACTCTAAAGCTCTCCCTCTCCCGACTCACCCATCTTCCTCCCCAACACAGATGTTTCCAGTGGCGGAGGTGATGGAGTTTCTGGAGGCGCAGCTGTCTTTCTTCCTCACGCTCACACACCCCCTCACGCCCCTTCCCGGCGCACCTTTCCCCACAACCCCTCTCCCTCCTCCCCCAGATGTTCCCAGTGGCGGAGGTGATGGAGTTTCTGGAGGCGAGTGAGAAGCCTCGCCCGGTGACCATCCGCACCAACACCATCAAGGCGCGCCGCAGGGAGCTCGCTGCTGCGCTCATCAACCGCGGAGTCAACCTCGACCCGCTCGGGCCCTGGAGCAAGGTCAGTCCTGCCCGCCTTCCTTCCGCCCCCTCCCCGCGCGCTCTTCCGGTCATTGAGCCGTTGAGCGCGACGTTTGGGCATAACCCCTTCCTGCGCTCATCAACTGCGGTGTTAACCTCGACCCGCTCGGTCGGTCCCTGGAGCAAGGTCAGTCATGCGCGCTGCACGCCTGAAGAGCCCTCCAACATACATACACCCTCCCCACTCCCTCCATCCCTCCCTCCCTCCCTCCCTCGCCTTTTCCCTCTTTTCTTTTGGATTAGAAAAAAAATCTCCCCGCTTTGATTGTCCTTTTCCCCATTTTCCACCCTCCACCTGGTTATCCTCGTGAGGGCTTTGGGTTTCCGGGTGGGTTTCCGCTTTCCATCTCCTCTCGTCACTTGTCTTTTCTCCTTCCTCCGTCTCTCCCTCCGTCCCAGGTGGGCCTGGTGGTGTATGAGTCGCAAGTGCCGGTGGGAGCAACGCCCGAGTACATGGCAGGCCACTACATGGTACGTTGTGATGCTGTGCGGTTCTGAGCTGTGCTATGCTGTGCTGTGCGGTGCTGTGGTCTTTGGCGTGCTTGTGCCGTCTTTGCAGCCTCTGCTTGTCGCCGATTGCTGCTCGTCAATCACGCCTTCCGTTGACTTACTCCTTCCATCTCTTTCTCCCCTCTCCTCCCTCTCTCCCCCGCCGCCCCCGCCCTCCCCGCCCCACCATCAGTTGCAGAGCGCGGCGTCGTTCCTGCCAGTCATGGCGCTCGCACCGCAGGAGAAGGACGTGGTCGTCGATGTTGCGTGAGTAGCTCCCTTCCCTTCCTGCCTCTCCCTTGCGCCCTGCGCCCTGCCCCTGCTCCCGCTGTTTCTGTTCTGAGAGCTCCCAAACGGTGCTCGCACCGCAGGAGAAGGACCCGGTTGTCGACGTTGCGTGAGTCGCTCTCGCTCGTGCTGCCCCTCTATCACGTGAGCTGCTCTTGCTGCCCCTCGCTCCTTGGTCTGTTTTGGAAGAATCCTTTCAAGGCACTCGCCGAATAGGACACGATCGATGCTCGTGCTGCCCCTCTCTCGCGCCCTGCTACTGCTTCGTCCTTTCCTTCTTTCGAGGAGAATAGACGAGCGGAAAGGATAGGAAGGCTCGAGTGCGTTTGTGCGTGTGTGTGTGTGCGTGTAACAGTGTGTGCGTGTAAGTGTGTGCGTGTATCTGTGCCGGCCGTGTGACGGTATCTGGTTATCAAAAGTGTTTCAAGACGGATCTGACATCTTAATGATGGACAACACACCTAATCCGATGGCCGCACGTGTCTTACATACATTCACATTTGCGTCATCCAGTGACCGCGTCTTTCCTTCCCTCTGCACTTCTCTTCCTTCTCTCCTCTCCTCTCCTCTCCTCTCTGTGCTGTCATCATTCTTCTTGCGTCCCTTCCTGCCCTTGCTTTCATGCCTTCGTTAGCACTAGCAGCAGTAGCGGACCTTCGTTCCCTTCGTTATTCAGTCGTGCGTGATTCCCGAGTACCCCAAAGTAGTGCCCTACGCACGTCCATGGTGGTGGAAAAGAAAGGGTTTCCACATGCATGATGGAGAGGATAAGTTTTTTGAGACGCCCCAAAACTTGTTACATGCATGAGGGATGGAAAAGAAAGGAAGGTTTCTGTTTATGCGTGTGTGTTCCTAACCGGCCATATGATGATATCTGGTCATCAAAAGTGTTTCAAGACGGATCTGACATCTTAATGATGGACAATGCACCTAATCTGATGGCCGCGTTTTAATGTCTGATCACTATATGGAAAATCCCACATTAGCAGCACCAAATAGCAGCAACGTTTTCTGACGTTCTATCGTTTTACCATAGTAGGGTTTTTATCCATGCATGACCAGAATAGGAGGGAGAGGAGAGGAGAGGGAGAGTATTGTGTGTATGTTTGTTGGCCGTGTGACGATATCTGGTCATCAAAAGTGTTTCAAGACGGATCTGACATCTTAATGATGGACAACGCACCTAATCCGATGGCCTTGTCTCCACTTCCCCTCATCTTGCCGTAGGAGAAGCTGTGGCGACTCGTGCTGCTGTTTGCTAAGCACGCGTACATGCCATGTTACCCCCGTATAGCTCTTATTAGCTCGACTAAAAAAGTATTGCAGTAGAACTCGGTGCATGCAAGTGTGTGTGTGTGTGTGTGGGCCACATGATGATATCTGGTCATCAAAAGTGTTTCAAGACGGATCTGACATCGGTATGATGGACAACATACCTAATCCGATGGCCCATGCATATACTTCCCTTGCCGAAGATATTTCCCTTGCCTACTTTCACTCCCTCACACAGTTCTCCTAAACTCCAAAATCCTTTCTCTCCCACCCTCCCCCCCCACCTTCTCCGCCCCAACCCTATCCCTCCCTCTTTCCCCCCACACCTCTTCCTTCTCCCCTATGTTGCAAAATACGCGTTTCACGTACCAGTCGCGTACGTACTGTACGCTCACGTACGTACGTGATACGGGCGATTTCAGCCCCACGATACGCTCGAAATACGGTCGCCCGGGCAGGTGAAAAAAAGTTCCGGGCAGGGAAAAAAAGTATGGGGGGGTGAGTCACGCTGCCTATGTTCATTTTGACCTTGTGCAGTTGCGCCTCCGAAGTCGAGGCAGAAGGATCACTATGCTGAGTAGACGGACCAGAAGGCTGAGTGTGGTTAGAAGGGACTGGAGTAGACATAGCTCAACACTGAACTGAACAGGAATGAGAGATGTGTTGTGGTGGGGTCAATTATACCTACCACGAATTGGTTGCAGGGTGGGGGACGTGCTCTGGTTGGTCACGAGTTGTTGGGGGTGATTGGGCAATGTTGAGTTTCGTGGGGTGAACGTGGCGATTCGGTTTTGCACGTCCACAGGTTGGAAAAACGCGACCCGAAATGTCGGAATACGTGCGTACGGAAAAAGCGCGAACTTTTTTTTTTTTTTTAATTTTTTTTTGCCCTGCCCGAATTCACGTATCGCGTATTTGTCCCCGTTTCACGTTTTCCCGTTTATACGTGAACGCATATACGCGATACGTTAAATTTCAAAAGCGTATAGTGCAACATAGCTTCTCCCCAATTCCTTCTTCCTTCACCTACAGTGCTGCGCCGGGTGGCAAGACGACGTATGTGGCAGCGTTGATGCGAAATACAGGTGAGGCCATGGGTGGATTGGCTTGGCTTGGCTGGGCTTTGCTTGGCTGGGCTTTGCTTGGCTTGTTTGTGTGAGTGTTCTGGGGCTCTGGTGCATGTATGCATGAGCGTGTATTGCATGTATGTTGCGTGGAGAAACGCAGTCGTGGGTTGCGTTGCGTGGCATATTGTTTTCCATGCAACCCCAAGCATGCTGTGTACAACATGTATTCTGTGCACCACTGATGCCACGTGCTGACATGACATGACATGACATGCCATGCCATGCGCTGACTGACGCCTCAGTCTAGTTTTGAGGCGCCTCAAAACTTGCCAGGTGCTGCTGACATGACATGACATGCGTTGACTGACGCCTCAGTCAACGAATGCAAGCTCCCTCCCGCCAGCCAGCCTCCGCCTTATGCTCTCCCCCAATGCCCGTTACGCTCCCAGTGCCCCCCGTGCATGCATGCCTCCCGCCACCCCTCAATGACCCCACACCACACCCCCATGTTCCGCCATCCAACCAACCAACCCCCATGGGCAGGCATGGTGTTTGCAAACGAGCTGAAGCAGCCGCGCCTCAAGTCACTAATAGCCAACATTCACCGCATGGGTGTCACCAACACCACCGTCTGCTCCTATGACGGCCGCCACGTACGTCCCTGTGTGTGCTGCTGCTGCCGTGTGCGTCCGTGTTTCGTGTGCATCGTGTGTGCTGCAATGTTACAATTCCTGCTTTCGTGCCCCTCCATCTGTGCATCACTTGATTCTTTTGTGGGTGGGTTATCTATCTCCCCTCATGTCCCCACCTCTCATCCCCCTCTGTGCTCATTATCCTCCCATCTCCCATCTCCCCACCTCTGTGCTCATCCGCCCAGCTGCCCAAGCTACTGGGACTCAACTTTGCTGACCGTGTGTTGCTGGATGCACCCTGCTCCGGCACAGGGGTGAGTCGCTGAGCCTGCATTGGCCGAAAATCCTCCATCGCGGTTTCCAGACGTCTCGAACGTTCTGTCAAAAGAGTGGTTTCTATGAGACTACCATGAATCATTTATATGAGAGTCTATAGAGTTGCGAGTTTTCAGCAGCCGCGTGATGCCACCCTTTTGGCCGAAAGAGGCGCTCTCGCTGCCTCTCATGCCGGCCCTACTCATGTCATAGTTACTCTGACGGCTGCATGCACTCTCTCTCCCTCGCATCTCTCACCCTCTCATCTCTTGTTGTTGGCACAGCACAACACGACCACCATACAAGTCGCGTTTAAATCCCTGCTGTTTGTTGTGCTTGGGAATAGAGAGCGCTGTGTGCACGCTAAAGTGTACGAATTGACAGGCTGAGAGTTGTTCCGTCCATGCTTGCTCCAAGAAACATGTGCTCTGCTGTTTCGCTCCTTTCTCGATCTTACCCAGCTGTTTCTCACCTCCCTCCCTCTACCTTTTTCCCCCCTCCACCACCTTATTTCTCCCTTTTCTCTCTTCCCCTCAACCCCCCACAGGTGCTATCAAAAGACTCATCGGTCAAAGTGAGCAAGACAGAGGCTGACATTCTCAACTGCTCGCATCTGCAAAAGGTACGCACATGCACGATCAGTGAAGAGGCAAGCAATTGAGAAGAGGCGAGCAGCTAATATTGTATTATGTATATACTATACTTCACTCAAAGCACGGCCGGCCCAGGGGACAAGAGGGCGAGGACGGGACGTGAGGATGGCGTGAAGCCTCTCGTGCTCCTGCTTACCTTGTGGGGAATGGAATGGCTGCCTGATTCTTGACGCGCCTCTAAAACGTCTTGTGAAGAAATGATTGGCTGAATAGACCAGGATGATGACCGTCCCCCTGGTTCTTGACGTGCTAGCGTCATGTGCTTAGGCTTGGCTCAATTCCATTCTATATTATCCGCTCCCATCCTCTCCCATCCTCTCGCATCCCATCCACCCCACCCCATGGCATGCCATGCCACACTACGCCACGGCAGGAGCTGATACTAGCAGCCATTGACATGTTGAGTTCGGACTCGCGCAATGGAGGGGGCTACCTTGTCTACTCCACGTGCTCCATCATGGTTGCCGAGGTGCACTCCCTCCCCTCTCTCCTTTTGAGTCGACTCAAAAGCCATCCCCAGCCCTCCCCTCTCTCCTCCGCTCCCCTTCCTCCCCTTTCCCCTCCTCCCGTCTTTCGTTCCTGGTATTTCTCTTGAATCCCTCGCACTTGTTGTTGAAACAGAATCTAGCAACAGTTGACCCACTTCAGCGCTATTCCTCACCCTTTTTAAATACGCAAGGTCTGGTCTTTTTCAGTGTCGCCTAGATTGCCGCAGGATTTTCTTTTCCTCTGACTCTCGTCGAGCTGATTGCAGAGCAGCCGCGTGATGCCCCCTTTTGGCCGAAAGAGGTGCTCTCGCTGCCTCTCATGCCGGCCTTACTAGTTACTCTGATGGCTGCAAAGTGCACACTGACAGAATCGACTCTCCTTTGACCTTGTGCCGCCCTCTTTCTCCCTCCCTCTCATGTCACATGCATGTCACATGCACATTTTTGGCCCTCAATTTGACACTCCTTCCGTCTTCTCTACCTCTCCTTCCCTTTCACCCTCACCTTTTCTGTCCCTTCTCTCCCCCCCTCTCCTTTTGTCCCTCCCCGCATCGCATCTGCCCATCTCCACCCGCTCCCTCACACTCCCATTGTCACCACAACCACCATCACCATCCTTCCCCCCTCACTGCAATGGCAATGGCGGCGGTGGCAATGGCAGAACGAGGCAGTGGTGAACTACGCGTTGAAGAAGCGAGACATCAAGGTGGTCCCGTGCGGACTCGACTTCGGCCGGCCCGGGTGCGTGCTCTCAGCTTTGCTCACTCACTCACTCACACGTACAGCCACGTCACGTCAGGGTCTTGCACACGCGTGCGGCACGTTGGGTTGGGTGGGCTTCTCGACAGAAATTTGAGGCGCCGTAACGATGGCTTGGACACAGGGGCCTAAGAAAAACATTGGCAAACTAGGAACCATTTTCCCTTACCTTCACACCACAATCCTTCCCCCTGCCCCTCCCCATAATCCACCCTCCTTCCCCCCCTGCCCCCTGTGCCCTACCTCCTACCTCTCCCCCTTGCAGGTTCACCAAGTTCAGGGAGCACCGGTTCCACCCATCGCTGGCACACACACGGCGATTCTACCCACACGTGCACAACCTGGACGGCTTCTTTGTTGCTAAGGTGCGTCCTAGTGCTACTTAGGAGGGGGAAGGAGGGGTTAGGGGGAGGGGGGAGAGGTGTGTGGATAAGGGAGTTGAGTGTTTATGTGCGTGTGGTGTAGGAGGTGTGAGTGGAAGGAGGCATGTTAGGCTGGTTGTGGGGTGTCAGGGGGAGGAGAGGGGATGGGGATGTTTGGGTGATGGGTGAAAAGGAGATGGGAAGGGGTGGTTGTGGGGTTGAATTTGGGTATGTCATGTCAACTGTATTTATGTCTTGTTTCTTGAGGCAGCATGCTAGCGTGCTTCTTCCTTCCTTCCTCCCTTCCCGTTCCCGGCATACATTGTCTGTGATGCACTGAGTGGATTGCAGCCTTTCTCATGTCGTCTGTGTGTTGGCACTTGCAAATTGCTCTGCTGCCTCGGATTCACGTTCCCTTTCTCTTGCTCGCTGCTAGTCCCTGAGTCTTGTGTAGCAGCCGCGTGATGCCACCCTTTTGGCCGAAAGAGGCGCTCTCGCTGCCTCTCATGCCGGCCCTACTCATGTCATAGTTACTCTGATGGCTGCTCCTTATTTCAAGCTTCTGTTAATTCCCGCTTCAAAGTGTTGTTTTGCTCTTGCTGCCATGTCACGTGTGACGCTTTCCTCTCGCCGCTCGACCTTGTGTGTCAGCCACGTGATGCCACCCTTTTGGCCGAAAGAGGCACTTGCTGCCTCTCGTGCCGGCCCTACTCATCATGTCATAGTTACTCTGATGGCTGCTCACACTGTCTCTCACACCACACACTCTGACCTGCTCCTGACAGCTGATGGAATGTGACAGCTGTGTCTGTCGTCAGTTTGGCACCGCGTGCTCTCGTGGTAGATTCTTACGAAGTTTATGTCCCCAATCTAGGCTTGAATCGCAGATCTGACCTATTTCCATCCCCGTCGCTTCCCCCATTCTCAACCCCCTTCTTTCTGCTGGAATGTGTGCGTTAATGTCGGTCGTTCAGATCAAGAAGATTAGCAGCAAGAAGAAAGACGAGAAGGACAAGGACGAGGATAAGGCAGGCGGGGAAGAGAAAGAGTCAGGGGAAGAGGAGGCGGGAGAAGTGGAGGAAGATGCAGAGGATGCTGAGGAGGAAGAAGCAGGAGAGGTTGAAGAAGAGGACATGGAGGAGGGTGAAGAGGGGGAGGAGGGAGAGGAGGGGGAGGAAGGTGAGGAGGGGGAGGAGGGTGAGACTAAAGCGAGTAAGAAGGGGAAGAAGAAGCGGGTGAGTGGGTCCCAGGAAAGCTCGGTGTATTTTGATGCTGCCAAGGCAAAGGAAGCGACTGTGGATCAGATGGAGAAGCGGCGGCAGCAGCAGAACGCGCGCAAGGACAAGAAGGAGGAGAAGCGGCGGCGCAAGCAGCATATGCTCAAAGAGAAACTTAAGGCACAGGGTGGGGTGAACAAAGGAGGCCGTGGTGGGAGAGGAGGATTTAGAGGAGGCAGAGGTGGGAGAGGTAGAGGGCGAGGGTTTGGTGGAGGGAGAGGAGGGGGGTTTGGGAGGGGGCGAGGTGGGTTTGGAGGAGGGAGAGGGGGCAGAGGAGGGGACAATTTCTAGGCTGTGTATGAACCTCTGAAATGCAGCTCGATGTTGCTTATTGCCAGCGTTTGTTACCGCTTTGACTAATAGTGATACCTGGCTGGTCTGCTGATGAGCCGCCCTGGCCAGGTGTTGAGCAAGATTACAACGTTTCTGCAAGATGTCTTGAGGGTCTATTATGGTACTTGGTTCAAAGAAGATGAATGGTTGGTGAATTTATAATGGGAATAAAACTTATAACAGAACGAGACCGGGTAGTACAGTTCTTGAAGTTCTGCGGAGCTCTCGGGGGAGGTCATATGAGTGAAGTGACCCGCTCATTCTAGTTCTATTCAACGGCTCTCCGACATTCGAATTGCCCTTCGAAAGTCTAGCAACAAACCGCATCACCCCACAGTCGGTGTATCCTACATCCGAGCTGTCCGTGACCGTTGAGTGCACGGCGTCTCCGTTCCCTAAATCCACACCGTTCCCTTCCCCTCCGTGCATGATCAACCACGTCTCCACGTCGTACGCGTGGTTCGCCATGACTCACCACCTCGGCAAATCCTCTATGCCTTCTGCACACATGTATCCCATGCCAGCCCCCCACCAGCATGTAATCCGCGCGAGGGATTTCTCAACAAGTCTCTCCTTGCACGCTTTTCCTCCTCACTAGCTGGCGACGCTGCGGCTGTTCCTCGGTATAGCCACTACTAATCATGAATCGAATCGTTTTTCTCAGTTGTGCGTTTCCTTCCGTGTTGAAATTTGAAGAGTCCTTCGCACTCAGATTCATGTGCGTCTTCCTCCGAACTCATCCTCTCGTGGACGACAAGCAAAGCTCGACGGCTCTCTTCATATGCCGGTGATGGCGTCCCAGATGCTCCTCGCGTCCAGCAGCGCGAGTGTTGCTCCGTGCAGCACTCGCCCGCTCCTTTTACTGGGATTTCCACCAGCAAGGAGCACCACCAACAGCAGCTGCAGGAACAGCAGCAGCATGGCTCCGCACATGCTAAAACATATGCCAACCTCCGACTCTTGCATCCCCTCTCCGCTGCGCTCCTTGCCGTCGCTGCGTCGCGCGTCGCCCTCCTTGCCTCGACAAACCTCTGTCAGACGCCACGCGATTGAGTGCTCTCAGTACAAAGGAAAATTCCCGCTCAACCCGCCGCCGATTCCGCCGCCATCGCCGCCTCCAGAATCCCTCTTCGCGATTCTCGCCAACACTCACACGCTTCTTCCGCTCGCGCTCGCCGTCGCCGTCCCCCTTATAAGCGGCTCCATCGTCGCGCTAGCAGCGAGTCCGCTGCAGGAGTGGTACGCGGAACTGCAGCGCCCGTGGTTCCAGCCACCCGATTGGCTCTTCGGCGCCACGTGGTCGATCCTGTATCCAATCATGGGCGTCGCGTCGTTCCTCGTGTGGCGCGAGGGCGGATGGGCGGCGCAGAGGGGACCGCTGTTGCTGTATGGAACGCAACTGCTGGTGAATCTGGCGTGGCCTGTCGTGTTCTTTAAGATGCACAGGATTGGTGCCGCGCTGGGAGTCATAGGTAAGCATGCGTTTTCGACTCCAGGCGTTTCATCCATTTAACCGCGTTTCTCCTCACCCCGTCTCAGACCCTGAACGAATCTGCTTTTTCTCAGACGTTTTCAAAACCTTTTTTCCGGGCAAATTCGTTTCACTGTATAATAAACTCTACCACAACCGCTATACGTTGCTCCCCTTGTTTTTCTCAGCATCGCCAGCTGCTCTGTGTACAGATCCATCCACAAATCTTATCATGCACACCTACTTCTGTCTCCTCCCTCCTGTGCCTCCACCCTCTTCCTTCTTCCCCCAAGCAGCGCTCCTCCTCCTCCTGGCGTGTCTCACGCTCTTCTCCTTTGTCACGGTCAGCCCGCTGGCAGCAAGTCTCTTCCTGCCCTACGTCCTCTGGGTGGCCTTTGCAACAGCACTTAACCTCGCTCTCTGGTTCAGGAACAAGGGCAACACACCAGGGAGAGGAGGTGGTGGTGGTGGAGGAGGGAAGAAGTGGGGCGAAGGAGGTGGAGGGGGAGGGGGATGGGGAGGGGTTGATGGGGATGGGGGGCAGGGAGTGAGTGTGATAGCAGAGCGTGGGAACTGGGGAAGCGTCGTGATGAGCAGGGCTTTGCCTTTTGTTCTGGGGAGACCGGCTGCTGCTCATGCTGCTACTAACCGTGCAGCTACTGCGTCTCTTTCTTGCAAGCAGCAGCGCAAACGGCAGCGGCAGCAGGACGTGGTGGTTCGACAGTCGGAGTACAAGGGGTACTCGCTCGGTGCACTCAACATTGCTTCTGTGGGCACAGGGAAACCCAGGGGGAGTCATGCCACAGGTGTGACAGGCAATAGCAGTACTGACAGGGACTCTGCTGGTGCATCAGGAGCTGTTGCCGACTTAGTTGGAGCTACGGCTGGAGCTGTTAGGTCGGAATGTTCGAATGGGCCTGACACCTGACTTGGATAGAATGGATGAAGAGTTTCTCTGTACAGCAGTTGTGTTTCGAAGTACAGATACGGTAGGATTAGGGTAGGTGGAAGTGTCAGCGATGTATTGTTCGTGGGAAATAGGTGGAATGAAAGCAATAGTTGGGACTGGAGGCAATAACAAAAATACCCAGAGGTTTGACACCATGTTGTCCCTTATCTCAACAGAGGTGAACACATCTTTCTGCCATTTGAGATACGGTAATCTCCACACAATCCAAGCTATCGTAAGGGTCATGTATGATAAACCCAATTTCCCTGCTCAATTCCCCCATTGTTAGTGCTGCTAGATATATGAGTATGTGATTTTATTATAACGGTTATTTAAAATCATTATTATTCCATCTGTCCATACGACAGGCCAATTCTTTCTTTTGATGAATATGATTTGTGAAAGAGAGGACATATACACATGGACGTTGTCTAGCTTTACTGTACATTTATAGGGTTTTCCCGCAACTTTCTGCCCCCGAGATTCTGGTTTCCGTAGTGGGTAAATTCCGCTGTCAACCGCGATTTCCTCTCGGCGTTTCAAGTTTATCCGTCCACCTTGCTCAACCTCCGTTTCCCTTTATGAAAATCGAAATGCAACTTTCTTTCTCCCCTTTTTTTACCCTACTAGATCCTGCCATGCTGTGCCGCCGTGGCCTAGCAACTGACTGACTCACTTCCCGCACCGTCCGTGATGCTTCTGCTTCCTCGTAGCCCGGTGTCAGTCGCGTGCCGCGTACGTCTCTCCGTGCATTGGCGGTGGTAGGTGCGGCGTTTTACGCCATGGCGGATGGTGCGCATTTGTGGGGGGGTCACGAAACGCTGGCCGCGGATGAGCCGGGGGGGGAGGGACTGTGCGGGGATGGCGGACATGAAGCCGTCGCGTTGGCGGAAGGCGTAGGGGCGAGGACTCACGTCTGCGAGACAGGCGCAGGGATCGGCGCGGAAGAGGTGGTGGCGGAGGGGGGAATCGGCGGAGATTTAGCGGAGTATCTTTGCGGGGCCGCGGAACCAGAGGCGGTCGCGATGAATCCGATGAATGCGATCAACGCGATGAGCGACGACGAGATGTGGCGGGATGATTACGCGGCTGCTGCTGCTGAGTGCATGGCTTTCGACGGATCGCTTGCGGACGCCATGGCTGCTGCGGGCTTAGCGGCAGATGTTCTGGGTAAAGACGAGATTGTTTCACATGCTATGGGGACTGGCCGTATGGGTACAGATGAAATCGGTAGAGAGGTGTTTGATACGGTGGCTGCGGTAGCGGCACACGGAATGGGAGACGGAGTGGTTACAGCTGGAACAGTTGTGAATGAAGCTGTTGCTGAGGAAATGATGATACACGCTATTGCGACAGATGGAATCGTTACGGATGGAAATGTTGCAGGGGGGACAGCGACAGATGAAGCATTCGCAGTCGCAATGGTCGACGGAGCAGCTACAGACAGAGTGGTTACAGACGGAGAGGTTACAGACGGAGAGGCTACAGACAGAGCGGCTACAGACGGAGCGGCTACAGACGGAGCGGCTACAGACGGAGCGGCTACAGACGGAGCGGCTACAGATAACACAGCAACCAACGTTACGGGCGCACAGCACTTACCAGCAGGGACGATGGAAGGCGCGGGTGGAGAGGCCGGTGCTGGAGCTGATTGTCTTATTGTTAAGGCGCCGCAAGGGGCGATAAGAGAGTCGAATGAAGAGGCAGGTGCAGGGGCCGAGGGGAAGGGCGGCAGTGGGAGAAGCGATGCTGCCAACCCTAGAGTTGAGGTTCATAATGGGGTCGATCCTTGCCATTACGGTGCGGAGGCTAGTAATAGCGTTGATAACGGTGCAGAAGAGATGGGAGCGATAGGAAATAAGATGGAGGAGAATTATTTAGCGGAGCATGATTCAGTGGGGAAAGATATGGTGGGGAGGAGAGTGATGATGAACGTGAGTGGGCATGGCACGGGCGAGAAGACGGATGAAGGGGGCGAGATGGGAAGGGGAAGTGGTGAGAACGAGGAGAGGGAGGAGAAACGGGATGAGAAGGGGGAAGAGGAAAGGAAGGACGAGGAGGAGGTGGAGGAGGATGAGGAGGGAGAGGAGGTGGATGTGGTGGGGTGTGACGAGGTAGGAGGAGGGGCGAGAGTGGAGGAGTGTGCTGATGCTATGGTAAATATCCAACAAGACGACACCGCTGCTGATGTCATGGGAAGTGACAAAGCCGTTGATGACGTCATGGGAGGTGACAAAGCCGTTGATGACGTCATGGGAGGTGACAAAGCCGTTGATGACGACATGGGAGGTGACAAAGCCGTTGATGACGTCATGGGAGGTGACAAAGCCGTTGATGACGTCATGGGAGGTGACAAAGCCGTTGATGACGTCATGGGAGGTGACAAAGCCGCTGAGAACGTCACGCTGGAGAGGGAGCAGGGTAAAAACGTCTTGCAGGGTGGGAGTGAGACAAGGGTTGAGCATGACACGAGGGGTGGTGGAGCGTTGGTAGGCGAGGTTGAGGCGGAGAAGGTAGGTGAGGAGCAGGGTGGGAAGAGTGAGGGTGAGTGTGGCGGAAGGAGGGAGACGAGAGATGCGGAGGAGATCGAGGGTGCAGATGGTGGTATGAGTGAGCGAGGGATGAGGGATATGGATGAGGTGAAAGGGGTGCGGTGAATGGTGGGGATGAGGTGAATGGTGGGGGTGGGACGAAGGGTGAAGGGCAGGAGCGGGGAGCGGGGGTGACTGACGGAAAGAGGGAGGAGGAGGAGAAGGCGAAGGAGAAGGAGAAGGAGGAAGAGGAGGAGAAGGAGGAAGAGAGGGACGAGGAGAAGGAGGAGGAGAAGGAGGGAGAGGAGGAGGAGAAGGAGGAAGAGAAGGAGGAGGAGAAGGAGGAAGAGAAGAAGGAGGAGAAGGTTGCAGAGGAAAGAGGGGGCGATGTAGGTGTGCGTGTGGAGGCAGGGGAAAGAGAGGGGGAGTTGGAAGGCGGAGGAAGAGCGGATGGCGATGGTGGGCAGCAGCAGGTGCAGGAAGGAGAATCAGGGAGACTGGAAGAGGCAGAACGAGAGGTGGCGAGGCCGGAGAGAGAAGAAGGGGATAGTGAGAGGGAGGCGGTTGGGAAGGAAAAGGCAGCAGGAGAGGCCAAGCAACACGAGGAGAAAGGAGAGGCGGAAGCGGAAGCGGAAGACGAAGAGGAGGAGGATGATGGGGAAGAAGAGGAGGAGGAGGAGGAGGAGGAGGAGGAGGAGGAGGAGGAGGAGGAGGAGGAGGAGGAGGAGGAGGAGGAGGAGGAGGAGGAGAGAGGAGGAAGGAAGAGGTGGGAAGAGGGGGTCAAACTTGGGGTTAACCAGAGGTGTTTCTAGGGCAGGCAGAGAGGAAGACGGAGAACCAGTGCTGTCAAAATCAGCAGCAAGAGCAAAAGCAGGAGCAGGAGCAGCGGCTGGTGAACACCTGTGGCCTGTGAGTAAGCTGGTCTCGCTGATATCAACCCAAGGGGAGGTGCTATCTGAGCAGGTGGCAACTCTCCAGCAGGTTGTTCTGGAGCAGCAACGTCTGGTGCAGCAATGCTCTGTGGAGTGGAGGGAGCAGCAGAAGCAGATTCAGCAGCAGGTGCGGCTGCTGCAGGTGCAGCAGAAGCAGCAGCAGCAGGCGCTGCAGCAGCAGCAGCAGGCGGAGGAGGAGGAGCAGCAGCGGCTGCAGGAGATCACCCAGCGGCCGCGGTTCAAACGACCCACGGACTGGGAGAGCGAGTGGGAGCGGAGGATCGGGAGGACAAGCGCGGGAGCAGGAGGAATAAGGAGTAGAGGAGAAGGAGGAGGGAGAGCGGAAGGAGGAGTTGGAGGCGGAGCAGGAGGAGGCGGAGGAGGAGTAGGGGGGAGAGGAGGAGACGGAGGAGGGGGGCAGTTGGGGGGACAGGGAGGAGCAGGGGTAGAGGATGTGGGGCAGGTGCCGAGTCACATGTACATGCAGCAGCACCTGCTGCTACCGGGGCAGATGCAGCTGCTGGAGGAGCTGGGGGAGGAGGGCACGGAAGCCACGTGGGAGAACCCTCTAGAGGAGGCAATGGTGGGTGCTTTCTGCTTGCCCTCTGCTCTCCTTGCTCCCTGCTCCCTGCTCCCTGCGCTGCGCCCTGCGCCCTGCTCCCTGCTCCCTGCGCCCTGCGCCCTGCTCCCTGCGCCCTGCGCCCTGCTCCCTGCTCCCTGCGCCCTGCGCCCTGCTCCCTGCGCCCTGCGCCCTGCTCTCCACCTCCTTTTCTCTCTCTGGGATTGTCCATGCTTTGATTAATGCACCCACCCTCTTCCACTCCAGTAATCTCCAACTTTTTCAACTCTTCTCCTTCTCTCCTCTTCCTCTCCTCCCGCTCTGCTCACAGTCTCTCCTGTTTCCTGCTCCCCTGTTCTCGCCCCTGTTCCCTCCTAATTCACGACTCCATCCCGTATTTACCCTGTTCTAACTCATGACTCCTATCTATCTCGTGTTGCTCCGCCCTGGCCTCCCTGCAGGCGTCCATGTTACTTCACCCAGACGCAGGTACCGTACCGTACCATACCGTACCGTACCGTACCATACCGTACCTTCATTCCCTGGCACTGCACTGACTTCCTTGCTGTTCCAACCTCCCCGCACGATTCCCACACCATTCTCATTCCAGTATCACACACACCATTCTCATTCCAGTATCACACACACCATTCTCATTCCAGTATCACACACACCATTCTCATTCCAGTATCACACACACCATTCTCCCACTAGTTCCCCACCATCTTTGCATGATTCCCCTCTTAATCGTTGACATTCCAACTAACGATTAGCTGCCTTTCACCTTCATCATCCCCTCCCCACCATCCGTCCACCTCTCAAGCCGCTTCTGCTCACCTTGCTCCGCCATTCCTCCTCAATCTCACATCTGCCACCAACCATTCCCCTCTACTGCTTCCTCTCTTTCCCCTCCCCTCATTCTGTTGTTTGTCCCCCCATTCCTTCTCACCTCCCCACTCCCCTCTCTCCTCTCTCGTCCCTCACTCGTGCATGACCACACGAGCACGGCACAGATTCAGAGGCAGCGTTGCAGCAGCATCTGGCGCTCTTCTTTTCCTTAAAGGACACCATCACTAAGAAAGAGGCCCGTGCGATCGCCACTGCAGCTGCCACCTCCTCCTCTCATGTGAGTTATTGTGTTGAGTTACCCCCCTGCCTCCTCCTTGTTTTGTCTTCTCCTCGGCCAGCCTCCTCCTTCTTTTCCCCCTTTTTTCCGTTACCAGCTTCTCCCTTTTCCCGTTGCCTCCATATGATCTCCTTGCTAACCTTCTGATTTCTGATGTTTTGTCTTTTTTCCTCCTCCCGCCTCCCTCGTCGCACCTCCTCGCCTCTCAAACCTCTCATCACTCCCCTTCTCTGCCCCCCCATCCCCGCTTGGCCCCAACACAACTTCAGGTGCGGGAAGTTTTCGGTTCCTTCCGCTCTCATATACGCTCCCTGCTCCAGTCATTACCCACCACGTGTCCCGCACCGCAGCACACACCAACCACCACAGCCACCATCAATAACAGCACCACCAACAACAGTCCCTGCATCAACCCCACCAGCAGCAGCGCCTCCCCAGCAGCGGCTCATCTCCCTGTCTCACAATCAGCATCTCTCCGCCTCTCCCAATCCCCAGACACACCCAAGCACCTTGCTCCCAAACCCACTGCTGCCTCTCTTTCCCTCTCCCAAACACCTGGTCAAACCCCACTTTTGGTCACCAGCGCTGGCGCCAATGGTGGCAGTGCAATCAGTGCAGCAGCCTCTAGCAAACCATCTGCACCACACCCGCACCCCTCGTCCCCATTGCCCCACACAACCACTCCTCACCCCCCTGTATCAGGATCGAAATCCAACCCTGCCTCTAAAACCCCCGTGGCAAAACCCCTCTCCCACAAATCCCCAGCAACCCCCGCAGCCCCAGCGTTTAAACTCCCAGCAGCGCCCCTCTCTACTGCATCCCACCTGCCGGCCTCCCACCTTCCTGCATCGCACCCTCCTGCATCTCACCCCCCTCGCACACGGGCGGCTCTGGTGGCAAAGCGGCGATCATCCATGCAGGGGGGAAAGGAGATCTCAGAGTCGACCCAGAATAAGGAAGCACCAGGGGAACGCGAGACAGGGGAGGAGGAGCGAGCGGCGGAGGTGGAAGAGAGGCCGAGAGAAGCTGACCTAGATGTGCTTTTATCTGATGCTGAACGCGCTCTTTCCTTCTCTGCTGGCCCGGCTGCCAACACCCCCTCCTCCTCGTCTCGCTCTGCTCTATCCTCGACTCCTTGGTGGGAGGGGCTGGAAGAGAAAGCGGCAGCAGCGGCACGAGAGGCAGAGGCTGAGGAAGCGAGCGCAGCAGCAGCAGCAGCAGCAGCAGCAGCAGCAGGAGGAGGAGGGAAATCAGGGATTCGTGGTTCTTTTTTGTCCTCTTCGTCTTCTACTGCTGCTGCTGCGGCTGCAGCGGCTGCTGCAGCAGATGCCTTACCCAGCAGTGCATCTGCACGGGCTGGGTGCCAAGTTGCGTCTATACTGGCCTCTCACCTGCGCCAGAGCACAGGAGGCTTCACCGCACAGCAGGCGTCGCTGCTGCAGCTGCTGCTGGTTCGGCCAGTCTCAAGCCTGCGCAAGTGAGCATGGTTGTTACTACAATACAAGTTAGTGGGGGAAAGGGAGTAAGTGTGCGTTTCTAAGGCGCCTCAAAAGGCTGCTGCAGTTGCTGCTGGTTCGGCCAGTCTCAAGCCTGCGCAAGTGAGCATGGTAGTTACTGCAAGTTAGTGGGGGAAGGGGTGTAAGTGTGCGTTTTAAAGCGAGGGAATGTGTGTGTGTGTGTGTGTGTGTGTGTGTGTGTGTGTGTGTGTGTGTGTGTGTGTGTGTTTTCATCCCCAGGACATCAAGCTTTGCTTGTGGCTCGTATCAAAGTTGCCATATACCTCTCTCATTGCCGTGGCACTCTCGCTTTCGCACTCACATACACACTCACTCACCGACGTTCCTGTTTCGGCATATTTGGCCATCTACATGCATGTACATCCATCCGTGCATCCCGTGACGTGTGGAGCAGGCTACTAGAGGTGGAGAGCAAGGCACCAGTGCTGGCAGCATGGCTCAGGCATGCGGCAGAGGAGAGCCAAACCACCATCCTGCTGCTGCTGCTTCAGGTGGGTGGGCCCATAACAGCCGCTACTTCCTCTTTCACCTTCTCCTCCTGCTGCTGCTGCTGCTGCTGCTGCTTCGTTCGTGCATGTCGTTGCTTCTGCGCGTACTGCTGCAGCGTGTTTGTTGCATGTCTCGTGGTAGCGTGCTGTGCTTGCATTTTTAACTGCACAGAAGCAGACTCTCTTCTGGGGGACGCAAAACATCATCGTCAGGGTTCATACAATGTAACCCGTTTTTCTCGCCTCCTCCTGCTTGTTACCGCCCTCCCCTTCCTATCTTCTCCCCTCTCTCCTTCCCAACTACTCCGTCCTCACTGTCTCTCTGTTTTTCTCTCTCTCTCACCCCCCCCCCCGCATGTCACACACCTACCCTCCGCCCCAGTTACTGGCAGCCATACCAGTGTCGCTGTCTGACCGGCCGGTTCTCACGTCGCTGAAACCGCTGCTGCAGGGTCTTTGCTCCTATGAGCCCTCAGGTGGGCATGGCACCGCACCGGCCAGCACAGCACAACATCGCACGGCACCTTATTGCACCACACCACATACGTAGCACTGGAAAGCACAGCACTGATCACGTGGTTTTCATTTCAATCGTTCGTTGCGCGCATTGGTATGCCATTTGATAGCACGGCACGGCACGGCACGGCACGGCACGGCACGGCACGGCATACTCAGTCCATGAATGAAGGCATGGCAGTGAGTGTGTGAAAGCTGAATGCGCTCTTCTTCACAACTCTCAAAGAATGGCTGCCGTTACTGCTGGATGGCAGTGAGTGAGTGAGTGAGTGAGTGAGTGAGTGAGTGAGTGAGTGAGTGAGTGAGTGAGAGCTGCCGTGCTGCATGAGTGCTGGACGTTCAGAGCTCCCACCACTTCCCCTTCCTCTTTCCCGCTTCCCCCTTCCCGCTTCTCCCTTCCCCCTTCCCCGTTCCCCCTTCCCCTTTCCCGCTTCCCCGTTCCCCCTTCGCCTTTCCCCCTTCCTTCTTCTCCTTTTCCTGCTCCCCGTTTTCCCCCTGCATCACCCCCAATCCACCCACACACGTATGCCCCCTACCGCCCTCCAAACCCTCCCCACTTTCCCACTTTCCGCTCCCCTCCCCACCCCCTTCGGCGCCCCCATTAGTGCGTGTGAGCCACGGCGCACATGTGCTGCTGTCCGCATGGCACCCCATCCATCCTCACCCCACCACTCCCCGTTCCCCTAGCCCCCTCTGTGTCACCTCTCCAACCTACCCATTTACACCCTCCACTGCCCCCCCCCACAACCCCCTTGCACGTCCCCATCAGTGCGTGTGAGCCACGGCGCACATGTGCTGCTCTCCTCGTGGCAACCCATCCTCACCCCCCCGCTCGTCCCTCTGCCCCAGTCGCCCCCGCTCTCTGCTGCCACCAGGCCGTCTCTGCACAAGGGCGGGAGAGGTGAGTCATGAGGCGCCGCCTCCTCAGGAGAGGAGTAGTTCTGGGAGTTTACGTGGGGGGTTTCAAGTTAGGCGGTTTCAAGTTCGAGCCTCAACTGAAACATCGGTCGTTGTATCGGATTGGATGGCACTGTGTCAAGTCAAGTCAAGTCAAGTCAAGTCAGGTCAAGTCAACCCAGTGTTGAAAAATGATTCAAGGATACCCTAATAATGGATGTATGAACTCTTGATGGTCACCCACCCGCCGCTGCTGGCAGTGCCGCCTTCTCCCCCTTCCCCCCTTGCCCCGGCTAGCAGCGCACTGCACACACACCCATCACCTTGCACCGATGTCTGATCTTTCACGAAAATTCAAATCTAAAACACCCTCTGCTCCTTCCCGCCTCCCCCACAACCCCTCTCCCCCCACCTTTTCCCCGCTGTTTTCCCCATCCCCATCCCCTCCCGCTCTGACCCCGCCCGTCCCATGTTCCACCCCCCGTCCCTGTGTGTGTGTGTGTGTGTGTGTGTGTGTGTGTGTGTGTGTGTGTGTGTGTGTGTGTGTGTGTGTGTGTGTGTGCGCGCGCGCGCGTGCAGTGCTGCCCCCGCCGTCAGCAGCGCATTACCGCCGCATGCGTGGTGCTGCAGCCAGCAAGCGATTCGCCGACCTGGCGAAACGGGCGCAGATAGGCAAGTGGGGTGCTGTAGGGTGGGGTAGGTTGGGGAAAGGGTGGGGTTGCTTTGGGTGGGGGATGGGGAAAGGGTGGGGTGGGGTGGGGTGGATGGTGGGGAAAGGGTGGAACTGCTGATAAGTGGGTCCGTTGCTCTCATGCTGCCTTGCCACCATGTCATGCTCTCCCTCCTCTCCTGTCTTTCTCTTCCTCCATGCCACTGCTGTCACACCTGCCCAACTGGTCCTTCCCTTCCTTTTCCCCTTTCCCAACCCTTCCACCTTTCCCCACCCACACCCTATCACCCACCCACCCTGTTCATTTTCAGGCAAGGTTTTATCTCGTCGCCGAGAGATCACTTCTCCCATGGCCGCCCAGGTATTCAACCCATGCTCTCCACCACCTTCCACCACCCTCTACCATCCTTCACCGCCTTTCTCCAAAGTCCACCTCAGTACTGTTGAATCGCTTTTCTTACACCCTTGTTCTCAACTCCCTTCTTCCCACCCTCTCCTCTGCCATCGCTCCCATAGCATGCAGCTACCCCCCTCCTGCCCTTCAGTGATGTACCGTACTCTACTTTCGCTCACGTGTAATCCCATGACCGCGAGTTCATGTATGTGTGTTTGCATCTGCGTTTGTGTGTGTGTGTGTGCACGTGTGTGTGTGTGTGTGTGTGTGTGTGTGTGTGTGTGTGTGTGCACGTGTGTGTGTGTGTGTGTGTGTGCACGCGTGTGTGTGTGTGTGTGTGTGTGTGTGTGCGTGCGTGCGTGCGTGTGTGCGTGCGTGCGTGCGTGCATGTGTGCATGTGTGCATGTGCGTGCGTGCGTGTGCGTGTATGTATGTATGTGTGCATGTGCGTGTGTGCGTGTGCGTGCGAGTATGTATGTGTGCATGTGCGTGTGTGCGTGTGCGTGCATGTATGTATGTGTGCATGTGCGTGTGTGCGTGTTCGTGCGAGCATGTATGTGTGCATGTGTGTCACCAGCAAGCCTCTGTGAAATCCCCAACCAAGCACACCTCTCAGTCAAAGGGCCTTCGTCTCTCAGCCGACGATGAGCAGCAGCGACTACTCTCAGGCAAGAATTCTCCTCCCCATCTCCTCATCTCCCTTCCCTCCTCTCTCCCCTTCCCTGCCTCTTCTCCGTACTCTCTCATTTCCCCTCCGCTCGCTATTTTTCTCCTGCCTTTTGCACCCTTTGCTCTCTCTTTTCTCACTCCTCTCACTCCCTCGCTCTTTCTCCCTGTTTATCCCTCCCTCCCTCCCTCCCTCCCTCCCTCTCTCCCTCAGGCGACAAGCGCGCAGTGATAGTATCAATAGCCTCGCCGCCCCATGCATTCGGCAAGCCCGCATTGCACAACCGCCCTCTCTCTGCAGACGAGATCATGCATGCCAAACGCCGCCGCATGTTGCAGCAGCAGCAGCAGCAGCAGCAGCAGCCAGGGAAGAGAGAGCCAGAAACGATGATGGGCGAGGGAGAGAGGGGGGTGGGGATGGGCGGGGTGCAGGTGAAGTGTGAACTGATGGGTGAGAAGGAGAGTGGAGCAGGGGTGGGCGTGGTTGGGGCTAGTTTTACTGGGAAAGCGGGTGAGGAGCATGGAGGACAAGGCGTGAAGCAGGAGAGGAATGAGGAGGCTGTATCAGCAGCAGCAGGAGGAGGAGCAGGAGCAGGAGCAGGAGCAGCATCAAATGTAGGGCCGAAGAGGGAAGAGGTCTGTGCTGTGACGAAGGCAGCGCCTGCCAACATGTCAGCTCGGCTGGGCAGCAGCAGTGGCGGCAGCGATGGGTTTGGGGGAATTACTCGCTCCTATGTGGGCCCTGCTCGCCTGAGGTTCATGGGCAGAGGGGCAGGGCGAGGTGGTATGTCAGCAAGGGGAGGTGCGGGAGCAAGAGGGGTTGCGTCTCCTCCTCCTCATCATCCTGCTGCTTCTGCTACTGCTGCTGCTGCTGGCAGGGTGCGAGTGGATGGGGGCTTGGACTGGGGAGGAGGGGGCGTGGAGAAGGGGCGGAGTGGGCCGAGAGGTGCTGCTGGTGGGGGGGAGTGGTCGATGGGTGCAGATATGAAGGATTATATGCGGGATGTTGGGAGCAGGGTGGTGCTGACAGGAGCAGCGTCAGCCACAACACCAAGTCCAGCTGGAGGAGTGGGTGGAGCAACAGGAGCGTCAACAGCTGCAGCAGCTGCAGCGGCGGCGGTTTCGGCGGTGTCGGCGGCGGCAGCAGGAGGAGTGGGTGTGCGTGGAGTGAAGCAGGAACCTGAAGTGATGGATTCACTGTCCGCACTCACTCACGGCGGATTGCCGGCCTTTAGGGGAGTCATTTCAGCAGTAGAGGCATCAGCAGGCGAGCTGCGGCAGAGCGTTGCTTCTGTTGAGGATTCTCAACAGGGCGTTGCGTTTGAGAATCGCGCACAGGGGGCTACAGTGGCAGCGTTGATGGCGGGAGTGAGCGGCGCAGTCGGGTTTGGGGGAGTGGGGCAGATGGCGGATGCAGGGCAGGTTGAAGCAGGTTCGAGGGCGGCCCAGGATATGGAGATTGGGCCACAAAAGTTGGCTGCTGCAGCAGCTGTGGGGTCTGTAGCAGCCTCTGTAAGAGTCGTGGAATGTAGGGGCGTTGAGGGAGGTGAGGAGGATGAGGAGGGTGTGAAGGGTGTGATGGATGTGGGAGGTTCGAGGGGTGAGGGGGGTGTGGGAGGTGAGGAGCGTGAGGATGCAGGTGAGGGACAGATGGGCGCTGCTGGTGCTACAGGGTGCGCAGAGGAGGCTACAGTGGGTGCCGCAGGGGCTATGGAGAGTGGAGAGGCTGCCGAGATGTTGGGGGTTGCAGGGCATGTGGGGGGTGTGGGGAGCACTGCGGAAGATGGTTCTCATGTGGAGTGTAACCAGAACGAGCCAGGGGTTGCACCGGTGAGCGGACGAGCAAGGGATGGGGCAGTATGCGTGGGAGTAAGGGAAAAAGCTGGTGTTGGTGTGATGGGTGGTGGCAGAGGGAGTGGAGAAGGAGGAGAGGAGGAGGCAGTGGGGGTGAGGGTGGAACGTTCTGGCGGTGAGTGTGCAGCAGCAGAGGGCAATGTGGGGAGTGAACAAACAGGGCAGCTGGGAAGTCCTCTGGATGAGGGTAGACAGAGTGAAGCTGCTGTGGCTCCTGTCCCCGTGGCTTCCTCTGCTTCAGATTTGATGGGAGGGCCGCGAGAGGAAGTGGCGGCAGTTGTGGGGGCAGCAGTTACGGGGGAGCTTGGGCTGGAGGTACTAGGAAATGAATCAGAGGCACACCCTGCTGCTGCTGCGGCGGCGGCGGCGGCGGTGGCGGCGGCGGCGGCGGCGGCGGCTGCTGTTGGTGGGGCATCAGGAGGATCGGGGGGGATTTCTGTTGCGGAAATAAGAGTGGGAGAAGGAGCAGGGCCGATGGGTGTGAAGGGGGAGAGCGGGGGCGTCAACCGGGTGTTAGGGGCGGTGGGCGTGGAGGGGAGTGAAGCGAGGATCAGTGAGGTGGCAGAGGTGGCGGAGGTGGGAGTTCATAGGGAAGAAAGCGCCGGGGGGATGAGGAAGAGGGCAAAGGTTGAGGGTGAGGGAGTGGAAAGGCGGATGGCAGAAGTAATTGCAGTGGCTGAGGACGGAGGGAAGGAGCAGCGGGAGGAGAGTAAAAAGGAGGAGGAGCGGAAAGTGAAGGAGAAAGACAAGGAAGAAGAAGAGAGGGAGGAGACAGAGGAGGAGGAAGAAGAGGAGGAGGAGGAGGAGGCTTTAGATAGAATGGTGATGGAGATAATAGGGGTGCCGAACAAGGGTAGGGCGCAGCAGCACATGTGTGGCATGGGTGGTGAGGAGGAGACGGCTGAGATGCGCAAGCAGGTGGCAGCTATGAGGATGGGCATGGTGCTGTGGCGGAAACCACCGAGTAAGTGGAAACCCACGTTGCCATCATGATGGATGGTGGTGCTTGCTTGCTTGCTTGCTTGCTTGCTTGCTTGCTTGCTTGCTAGATAGCTTGCTAGATAGCTTGCTAGATAGCTTGCTTGCTAGCTTGCTTGCTTGCTTGCTTGCTTGCTTGCTTGCTTGCTTGCTTGCTTGCTTGCTTGCTTGCTTGCTTGCTTGCTTGCTTGCTTGCTTATAGTCATGACAACTTATGCTGACTGAGCCTCACCTCACCGACCGTCACCGTCTTTCACCGACTCTTTCCGGCCGTGGCTGATGCTGCTCAACGCTACGTCCAGGCCCTGTGGCCCTGTCTTCCTTCATGCACACGCTGTACTACACACTCATTTTGACGCCCCGCTCTTCACCCGGAGCCATCCACGTGAATCTCAACAAGCCTTCCTTCCCATCCGCCTGGTTGCCCTCCCTTTTCCCCCTTCCTCTCTTTCTAACCATAACCGAGTCCCCCTTCTTGGTTGTCCTTTTTCACCACCCTTCTTCTTTGCTGCACCCCCTTCGATTTCATGCGTGCAGGTGTCCTCCACTCACAGTCCAACCCTGTGGTGGTGGTGCGCAATCATTGAGGCGCCTCATACTTCCACTACCCACCACCTTCCCTGCTCCCGTGCTGCACCCCTTGCTTGCATGCGTACAGATGTCCTCCACACGCGCTATTTTGAGGCGTCTCAAAGATAGACTGCTTACCCACCCTGCTCACCCACCCTGCTTCCGTGCTACAACCCGTATGTGTGTGCAGGTGTCCTCCACGCGCGCTCCAGCCCGGTGGAGGTGGCGCGGGGGGAGAGCAGCAGCGAGCTGAAGCGAGTGGAGCACCACATTGCATCGGTCATCGCCAAGGGCGCGCGCCGCACTCCCTCCTCCCATGGCTGGTCTCCCGCCGAGCCTGCCCTTGAGAGTGACACCGCAGAGGAGGTGGATGATGCTAGGACGCCCGTAATTTCTACAGTTGTGCAGAGGAAGGTGGGGGAGGGTGGGGGTGGGGGAGCGCAGCAGTGGCGGGGTGGGCTGGAGGTGGGAGGAGGGGGGAGGAGCGGGGAGTGGATGAGGCAGGAGCCATACCAGCAGCGGCAGCGGCAGCAGGAGCGGATTCAGCAGCCGCACCAGCATTCGCATGTGCAGCATCATCAGCATCTGCATCTGCATCAGCACCAGCATGCGCAGGGGACTCATCGGCAGTCACAGCAGCAGTTGCAGCACGCCTCACAGCAACCGCACTATCCATATAAGCAGCAGCAGCAGCAGCAGCAGGACGACAATATCATTTTGAGCCACCACATAAGAAACAGCGTCAGCAACACCAGGAAGCGCATTGGCCGCATCCTCATCACCACCATCAGCACGGGCAGCAGCACAACCAACAGCAGCAGCAGCGACAGCAACATCAACAACAACAGCATCAGCAGCATCATGGGCATGAGCATGGGCATGAGCATGAGCATGAGCATGAGCATGAGCATTATCATCAGCAGCATCATGAGCCTGTGGTACCAGAGGAACAGGAAGGCCTGGAGCAATTTGACTTTGAATCGCAGCTGGAGGGACAGGTGGGACCTGGGGAAGGCTTTGATGACCAATGGAGGGATCCACAGCAGCAGCAGCAGCAGCAGCAGCAGCAGCAGCAGCAGCAGCAGCAGCAGCAGCAGCAGCAGCAGCAGCAGCAGCAGCAGCAGCAGTACGAGCGGTATGTGCAGGGGTGGTCTGAGGAGGAGTTTGCATTCAGAGAGCAAGGATACGGGGAGGAAGAAGAGCAAGCTTGGGCGTACAACGATCACTCGCGTGGAGGGGGGCAGAGAGCAGAGACAAAGAACCACAATGTCAGGCAACTGAGCAAACCACTAACTTAGCAGAAATTTGGTAGCATTTGATTTTCTTCCCCATTGTATCTTCTGTCTCTACCCGTTGCTCTCTTTGGTCTGGTCTGGTCCTTTGTTCTCGTTGCTTCATTCTACCAGGTAAATCCTTTCTCCTTCTGTCTAGCGCTATGCTCTGCTCTCCTCTGCTCTTCTCTGCACCGCGAGGCGCTCATGCATGCCTGCTCATCAGGGGCACATGCATGCCACAGCTTGTGTTGAAGCCAACGAAAGCCAATGAAACTGCAAATTGCATGCCTATGCACCTCATAGCGAGCAGCAAATAAAGGCTTTTTGGTGCAAATCGGCGCATCAACTACTCTTATCCGGGCAGAAATATTCAAACTTACACAAGGTGGTGGTTCCGTGGCACATCTGAAATCTGAGCTCCGGTCTGGATTCCGGAGTTTGATGTGCTTGTTATCTGTCAAATGTTGTAGCCTATAATGAGGTTTGTCTTAGGGGGTACAAAACTTAGGGTTAGCTATATGTACCCCAACCAACATCAATGCATCATCCATTCTTCATTTTGACATGGTATCAGTTAGGTTAGGATCCTGTGGGATCCCGTTCCTCCGTTCTCCGTTCGAGCCTCCCGAGCCTGATCCTAGCTCTCATTCGTCCCGGTTCCGTTGTTACCGCGCGTAGTGCCGCGCCTAGCGCCACTCCTAGCGTCGCGTCCTGCCCGTCCCGTCGCCCTGCCCCGTCGCGTCGCCCTGCCCCGTCGCGTCGCCCTTCCCCGTCCCGTCGCCCTGCCCCGTCGCGTCGCCCTGCCCCGTCGCGTCGCCCTGCCCCGTCGCATCGCGCCCGCCCTTTCCCCCGTCCCGTCGACCCTACGCCCTGGCCCGTCGCCCTAGCCCGTTCTTCCGCTGCGACTAAGTCCCCCCACCTGAACCCTAATTTGCCTCTTACCTCCTGCTGTTACTCGCCTGCTCGTTCGCGTTAGTTCTCGCTATGGCGACTCCGCGAGTTCTTCGTTTCGACGCTGACGGTAGACCTCTTGACTTTTCCGTCTGGCTTCTTCGCGCTCGCCGTCTGTTAGAGAGTCAAGTCCAGGGGGGCGAGACCCTCTGGTCGCACGCTACTGGTGACCTCCCCGAGCCCCCCGAGCCTGCCGCTTTAGGTCCTGCCCCTGACGATGCTGCTACGGCTCGCTTTGCCCGTCAGCGCGCTGACAGGACGGCTTGGACGTCGCGTGACGCTGCGGCCTGCATCGCACTCAGCAGCCTCCTCCCTGAGTCAGAGGAGGTCCACTTCACTCAGGTTCGCACCGCTGCTGCGTACCTCACTGCGATTAAGGCCCGCTACTCTACTCCCGCTACTGTCTCTCTTGGCCGTCTTTTCCTCCCGTTCCTGTTTCCTGATCTCGCCTCGTTTGAGCGCTCTGCTGACTTGATCGCTCACCTCCGCTCGCTCGACGCTAGTTACCGCGCTGCTTGCACTGAGGCACAGCTTGCACTGCTTCCTCCCCCTATGGCGATTACTATCTATTTCATCGCCACTAGCCTCCCTGACCGCCTTGCCTCCGTTCGCGACGCGCTTCTGCTGAAGCACCCTAGTGAGCTCACCGTCGATGTCCTTGAGTCTACACTCAAGGACGTCGAGAGCAACCTTCGCTCGGTAGCCGCTGCCTCTGGTGCTGTGCCCCCCCCACTCTTCCACGGGTGCACAGTCCCGCAGTTACCCACCTTTACTGCCTCACTTGCCACTGCCGCTACTGACGCGACTGCAGCTGCTGTTACGACTGCGTCGCGGTCCCGCGGTAGGAGTGGCAAGAAAGGCGGTTCTGGTGGTGGTAGTGGAGGTGGAGGCGGAGGTAGTGGAGGTGGCGTTGCGCCTGGCGGCGGTGGAGGTTCAGGGCCTGGAGAGGCGCCTCGTGCAGTGACTGGTGACTCCACTGCGCCTGCTAGTGGTGGCGACGCCCGAGTTCGTCAGTCGCCTCCTGTACTTCCTGCCCCGGTTGGTGGAGCAGCGGCGTGGTACCAGGCTCAGCGTCAGCAGCAGCTTCTGCAGCACCAGCAGCCCCTCTCCTCCCAGCAGCCTCAGCAGCAGCAGCGGCAGCAGCTGGCTCCAGGGTCGGGGCTGCGTCAGACCCAGCGTGGTGCTGCTTACACTCCCTGCACCTACCAGGTTCTGACAGGCCCTCGTCGTGGCCACCCTTGTGGCCGGTTTCACCCCCCTGGTCAGTGCTTTGCTCAGCTCACTGACACGGTTCGTTTGGTCTACGGGGTTGGTGCTCCTGCCCCTGACTGGCTGCCTCTTGTTCAGCGCTACGGCTCCGCTCTGTGGGGCATGTCTGCTGAGCAGTTAGTTGATCTGATTGGTACTCCCCATGCTATGTATGCTGTTGTTGACTCTAGTGTTTCTGACTCTGCTTACTCTGGTGTTGTTAGCTTAGGTGCTAGCCTTGCTCAGTTGCCTGTTGCTAGTGTAGGTTCTTGTGTAGACTCTAGTCCAGCGGCTACCTCAGAGGACGGTTCGCTGTCGTTCACGCTGGACTCTGGAGCCTCTCACTGCTTCTTTCGTGACAGCACGACACTTACGCCTCTTCCTGCGCCTGTTTCTGTGGCGCTGGCTGATCCCACTTCGGGACCAGTCACCGCGCGTCACACTACCACCTTGCCGTGTCCGGCTGCTCCTTCTGGGTCTCTCACTGGGTTTCACGTCCCCTCGTTCTCCCGGAACTTGGTGGGCGTGCGACCCCTCGTGAGTCAGCACGTGGGTGTGTGGTTTGAGCCTTCTGGAGAGACTGCGGTGTGTGTTGACGGGGACTCTTACCAGCCCCTCGCCACTTTTGCTGCTGAGCCGGGCTCCGGTCTCTACACTCTTCACACTGGCCCGCGCGCTCAGCAGCGACTGCAGCAGCAGCAGCAGCCGCAGCAGCAGCAGCAGCAGCAGCCGCAGCAGCAGCAGCCGCAGCAGCCGCAGCCGCAGCCACAGCGGCCGCCGTCGCAGCAGCCACTCCTCCCAGTTCCTGTCCCTCCCCCTAGTCTCCTCCCTGCGTCTCACCAGGTGGTTCCGTCCCCTCAGGTTGTCGCGTCCAGTCCAGTCGCTGCGTCTTGCTCCTGTCGGTCACTTGCCCACCCCACCGTTCTGTGGCACCACCGGATGGGACACCCTTCTCTTCCACGTCTGCGTGCT